AGTCACATCTAGCGTAGCTGAGACCACGAATTTGGGAGCTCCAGCTTACGCTGTTAAGTCTGCTGCTAAGTCATCTTCATCTGCCAACACTGAGGGCACTACCACACTTGCTGCTGCTTACACTGTTAGAACCACTGGTTCGTCTCAGGGTACAACTACTCTTGAGAGTGCCTCCACTGTAAGCACAACCAATCTTGGTGCTCCAGCTTACGCTGTTAAGTCTGCTGCGAAGTCATCTTCATCTGTCAACACTGAAGCAACCACTTCTACTAAGGCTACAACCAACTTGGGTTCACCAGCATATGCTGTTAGATCTGCTGCGAAGTCATCCTCATCTGCCAACACTGAGGGCACCACTACTCTTGCTGCTGCATACACTGTGAAGACAACCTCCGCAACTGCAGCAACTTCCACTACCAGCACTGAGCCAGAACTTGTGGGTGTTTTCTCCTCCGGAACACTTAAGTGGAGTTTCGTTATTCCAGGCTACCTTGGTCCATGGGAATCTGTTGAATTAAACTTGGAAGTTGCTGAAGCTGGTTCCTTTGAATACACTGAAGCCACTGCTTACCTCAATGGAGAGGAACTCACAGATGCTAACATCGAGATCACCTCTAGTACAATCACATTTATCTATGGTTCTTCTATTGGTGAATCCGACTCATTAGAGATTAAGTATTCTGCCAGAATTGTTACTGGTGCTTCTTGGACTTCTAACGCACACTTGTCTATCACTTCCGATTCTAAGTTGATGAAGAGAGAGACACTCACATGGGATTTGTCATCCACCATCAAGGTTTCTGACTCAGAATCTTCAGCTGAAGTTGTCGAAGCTGGAAGCACAGAAGTTGCAACTAAGACTGTCGATCCTGAGACTTCAACTGCTGCTGTAACTGTCCAAGAGACTACTACTCTTGCAGCTGATGAGACCACTAAGGTCGTTGCTACTGATGCTGAGACCACTACTCTTGCAGCCGATGAAACTACTGAGACCACTGCTACTCAGACTGAAGCCACAGAGGAGACCACTGTAACTGAATCCTCAGAGGAAACAACAGCAACTGGATCCACTGAGGAGACCACTGCTGAGTCTACTGCTGAGTCTACTGAAGAGGCCACTGCTGAGTCTACTGCTGAGTCCACTGAAGAGGCCACTGCTGAGTCCACTGCTGAGTCCGTTGAGGATTCTACTGCTGAGTCTACTACTGAGTCTACTACTGAGGCCACATCCACTGAAGCCACATCTACAGTTCCAGAGGTTTCGGCCATTGAAGGTGGTGTTGGTAAGGTTTCTGTTCCAACAGTCTTCTGTTTGGTCTTCGGTTTGTTGTTGATTTGATATTCTAAAAAGAAGTGGAGTTATTTGGTTTTGTTGTTTTATTATAAATTATTGTTTTTACTTTTGCATGCTATAAAGAATGGTTCTTTATAACCTTTTTCATATACAAAACTTCTTGTAGGACATTGAGCTTTTAGGCAAGTAGATAACCATGCTGTGGTGGTCCGTCTCCTCTGGTTGGTGGCTATGTGGCTATGTGGTCTAAACATCTACGCCATCGCTCAGACCTTGCATCTAACAAAGAAGTGATCATTGAAGTGACTCTTGTGAGATAGCTTCAACGCTATTAGATACTCAACGTGAGCCTCTCCACCTCTCCAATTGTAACTCTTCTCAGGGAGTATGAAGTCGCCAGTTTCATTAGCTGTTTCTATGAAGCCTCAATGTCATGTAGAAGAACTGTCCATCTCATCCCATACTCATATGTGCCAAGTTACGGTATACATCGTCTCTATTAAGAGTAGTATTGTATAGTAGATTGGGTGTTGAGGTTTTGGGCACGTGATAGCGCACGTGAAATATTTGCTTCACATACATCTCAGCTCCGATAAAAGTATCTTATGCCCGCTTAACTCCATCAACAGTTTCCTCTTCCCTACTCGGGCTCATCGCTTTTTGAAGCCACATCTTGTTGTATTAATCCCACGTTCTGCTCCCCTCAGTGCAGTCTAATATGACGTTATTGTATTATTATGAGGTTCTTGAAAGAATAAGAAGTGTGTCGATAGTGGTTGAGCTTCTAGATGGCTCTTTGAGCTCATGGGATGCCTTCTACGATTCTAAGAGCCATATACTCACAGTGTCGGTTGGAGATGAACAAATCGCCATTGAACTATCCGACGAGATACCAGAGCTAAGTAAGGATGACCTGAGACTGTGTACAAAGCAGAACAAGCAAACGTTGGTGATGAGACTACCGATGGACGGAGCTGGTAAGTTCAACAGGGACTTCAACGAGTTGATGTCTCTCAGCACGCATTATAAGTGGGATGCCAAATTCCTCGCATCAAGCAGTTTCCAACTACACTGCCGTGACTGTGATAGTCCGATCTTAGACTCTGACGATATCTCGTCTCTCAATGAGATGCCTTCCGAACTGTGGGCTGAAATGATGGACTTCTGGCACTGTCATAAACCTCATGATGAGAACGGCCACGGCCATATCGCTCACGACAATACCAAATACACTTCTTTGAAACCAATCAAGAATGGCGTCCTTGTCGGGACGTTCTATCTGGCTTTCAACTCCAATGACAACCTTTTCAAGGTGAGGATGGACCATGGCAGTTGTGTCTGTGCTGAGTGTGGTTCCCCTTTGGGGAACCACGATAACGGTACTGGGCTGGATAAGATCAATAAATGGCGAGTCGTCCTATCAAGGGACAAGGCGAGAGATACCTACCATGTCTACGACTACGTCTACTCCTCCCTGTTGGACAATGTCAACGCCAGTGCTGCAAGAGTGGTTGAATATACCGACGGAACTTCCAGCCTGTTGGTCTGGGTCTTCAACACCAACATATCCTACAAGATCAATGAGCACGCTCCAGAAGAAGGGATGAAGCTCTACTATACAACAGATCCAGAAGACATCGCACGAGAACGTGAAGCTCGTGGTGAATTCGAAGTCATCGATGTCGATTCCACTATCCTGAAGGGCACTGTACACCACCTAGATGATGTGAACAACACGCTTCCTCCGAGCATAAGGAACATGTCAACCTGGAGACTATCACTGCTGCATTGTATATAAACCATCTTCCATACAAGAACCGTCAAATACCGTCAAATTCCTTTAAAGACCGTTGTTCAATGCTGTAGCTTCAAGAGAAGAGGAAATTCCGATGGCACCCGTCGGAATTTTTCCCAGTACTAAAACGGTGAGCTTCCTCTTCACCACAGCGGCAGAGGATGTAAACACAGGGAAGGAAACCTCAACAGAGAGCCGGTGAAGATGAACCAGATGCGTTCGAATGTCCTCACTCTGAGGATCAAAAGGGGCAATAACAGCGAGCTCACGGTGGAAAGCGACTCTTTACCACCGACAAGGAGCCAAACGCTGCGGAAGGAGCCCGTTGTGGAGGACTATGAAGACCATACAGACGAGCCGGTTCAGCTGACGGCATCGCTACACGACGCTCGTGTCTCCAGTGAGACAGTGTGTGTTGACATTGCTCAATTCCCCGGGGCGAAGGAGGGTGATGTTGCTGAGCTGGAAGTGCCCAATAGTAAGAAGAAGCTGTTGTTCACGGTGAAGCCGTTCAACGATGAGCTCTCAAGAAGGTCCAAAACTACACAGCTGTCCTTGATATCGGGCCCCTTGCAGCACATGCTGTCGCTGAGCACCAGACAGCAAGTCACTGTGACATTGAGGGACACTGTTGCTGTTGAGGCAGACCTGGTGGAGTTGATGATTAGGGACGTTCACATGTCGAGGGGAGACATGTGGGTCCTCTCATCCACGCTGGTTGGCTCCTGTGTCTATGCCAATCAGAAGGTGACCTTTGTGGAGTCGATCAGGGCCAATGTCTCAGCTATCTACAGAATGGGCAAGAAGGTGTTCTCCGCGTACATTAGTGAAAACACCAAATTCGTGTTTCGTTCTGAGTCTGCGAGGTTGGTGTTTCTCATCCAAATCACGGAGGAAATGTACCATTTCCAGGAAGATGGTGAGATCATGTTCCACAAGATCGTGAACTCGTTATTCCCAACAATCTTCAAAAGGTGGAGAGACGAGGGCACTCATCATCTCATAACAATTGTCTTTGCAGCCAATTTGGACTATTCAGAGAACAGCTGGACTGAGCTCAAAGAAGGACAAAGACCGACAAATACTCGAGACTTCTACAGAGTTGTTGTTGACCAGGTGAATATCGTCCACTGGAACGAAATCATGATCTCGCTTCGTTATGAATTTGTCAATTTCAGAAAGGATATCATGAGGCATCAGCTCAAAACAGGTGAGAAGCCTTCGCATAGGTTCCTTCCAACGATAAAGTCCGACATACTGAACACAATAAACCTATCAACAACACTCGTTGTTGACAGGTTTAGTGACCCGGATTTGAGACATACAACAACTCATTTCATTGTCATCTCTGCTGGTAACGGACTGTTCGATGTTCAATACGATGATCTCTTAGATACGGGTAAAAGGCTCCTGAACTCTGAGCTCTCCGTTGACATCATATGTCTCGCACAACCACCACTACACGTTTCGCCTCTGTTTAGATATAGAGATAGGATCGGTGCACTCCATCATTGTGTTCCCGGGTGGATTGATGCCTCATATTGGAGTGAAGAACACTCCAGACAACTCCAGTGGCATCCTCGCTGTAAGATCTACGAACTACAAATGATGGGTGTGATGGAGAATGAATTGAGTGCTGTCAGTGTGGAACAATTGAACCTTGATCCTCTGTCTTCCGTATCTGAGATGATGGATGATTACGACAAGGGTGTTTTCAGTGCAGATGTCTCAAGAGAAGCCCACAAACAACTATTGTTCTCAGCAGTGACGCCTCATCGTCCCACGAAGAAGAAGAGCAGTCTATTGTGGAAGGTCTCTACAAACTCCCCTGTGGCTGAAGCTGATGTTACAACAACAGAACCGGTGTTCACGCTTCCTGAAAGTGCTATATCGTCACTGAGACAATTGAGCTCTACCTCTAATGATCGCTCATTCATATCAAGGAAATCTAGTGACGCACAATCAACCACTTCTTCAACATCCACAGGTGTGGTATCTAGGCCTACTGTTTCACGTGCAAAGACTTCAAGATTGCTGGCATCCACAACCCCAACCCAGAGAGAGAAAATCACATCGGTAGACTCTCTCAAGTCTGTCATGTGGACTGAAATCGATAACCCTTCGAAGCAACTATCCAAAGATCAGTTGAAGTCATTGAGTGTTGGTAAATGGCAAGATGTCTTCCCAAAATTGGTCAAGAGAAGGTCTATCAAATGGAGATCACTTTCATCGCCTTCAGAATTGCCAATCACGACACCGTTGTTTCCTACATTGGATGACTTTGAAACAAATTTCTCTTTCCAAACACACAACGTATCTCTGAGTGCTGAACATGAGAGATATATGACCATGTCGGATCTGATGAGAGAAATGATATACTTGAGGCTGATGCTGGGATTCCAGGTGTGTTATGGGCATAACGTGGAGAAAGTGGAAAGCAAGACTCAAACTGAAGGAAGTAGTTCCACATTGCTCAAGTACATAGAGCCAGGACAGAATATCGTGGGTTCGAAAATTGTAATGTCAATGGACGAGGAAATACACCGAATCTCTTGTGATTACGATGGGTACATCACCGTGCAAAGATATACCAGGAAGCACTTAGAAGACTTTTTCATCAATGGTTTCAACAGGGTGATGATCAAAACAAGATATCAAAACAATTTCCATCCTTACGATCCTGATCCTATGGTTGTTAAGCCAAGAACATTCAAGTGGAACCTCTTTGATCAAAGATTGGCAGGCTTTGAAGAAGATGAAGAGGCTGGTAGGTTCAAAAAGTGCCTGAACAGGATCAAATTTGTTCTTCTACCTGCGGACTTACCAAAGAGTACCTATTTAACCTCAAATGACAAACAAGACCAGTTAACACCAGAGGAAACACGTGTTGAAGGTCTTCGTCGTTTGATTACTGCTCTACACCGTGGAACCTTTTCACCCGATGGTCGTTCCAAGAAGTCCCGTAAAGAAGAAATTTTCCCTGAGATCAACTTCTATACCGGTGATCTAATCACATTCCTAAGCGAACAAGGGGATGAAGAGACCGTTAAACTTGGTGGCAGAGATACAACTACGAATAATGAGATTACTAAAAATATCACACTTGATGACCTCTCAAAGATACTTCAGGGTCCTAGTGGAGTGAAACTTATTGATCGTAAGTGGCACTGGAAAGTCCATAAAAAGTGTTTCAGAGGTGTTGAACTTGTCAATTGGCTTTTGGATAACTTTGATGATATCACTACAAGGGATGAGGCAGTTGCGTATGGCAATGAACTGATGCAAGAGGGGCTTTTCGTCCATGTTGAGAACCGTCACAAGTTTTTAGATGGCCACTACTTTTACCGTATTTCTTACGAGAGTAAGGGACCAGACGAAGGTGAAGTGAATCCAAGTAATAGTTCACTTGATTCTAAAAGGACCCCAACCATTCATCCCGAAGCAACTCGCGAAGGCACTGATTCACCTTCTAAGAAGAAGAAGAAAAGATTTGTCCTCAGTCGTTCTTTGAAGTACGACCTTGACCCTTCAAGAATCTCCTATAGAAGAGAAGTCATGACAGTCCACTACGATACTGTTCATAATCCAAACCACTGCTTCCACATTCGACTGGAATGGCTAACAACCACGCCAAAGCTTATTGAAGATACTGTTAATGGCTGGTTAAGGATGTGTGAACGTTATGGTTTAAAACTCGTGGAAACACCATGGGGAGAGCTTCGTGAACTGCCTCACATTAACCCATTCCATTCATTTGTGGAGATCAGACTTGCCATAAATCCATGGGAAGACCCTGAGTTTGCAGACCTTGAGATCTTGAAGAAGCAGAAATTCTACTACCACATCTATCTCCTGGAGCATTCCGGCTTCCTCATGGATAACAGGGCATCCATGTTCTTCATCAACGAGGATGACACGTTAGAAGTGCTCTATTCATGGGGTAAACCAGTCTTCAAATATGCTCAGTACATTCATAAGACTGGAGCGTATATGGCTGAGATCCGGGACGATGGTGATCTTGTGCTTGCACCTAACAACACCCATATCGCACGTGTCAACGTTGGCAACGTTTCATCTCAACAGCAACCTCCAAACTTTGTGCTGGACTCTCAAAAGATCATGCTTGCCTTCAGGGCCACTTGTTTCGATGCCAAACAATTACGAAAGATATTCTTGAAGGCGAAACTGAACTGGGGGACATCTTCAGTTCCACAGACTGCTACAATATTAGCACCTATCAGCGACGATTTGACGATATAGGGAAAGGACTACGACGTATCTCTCTTATTAGACAACTGTGTAGATCTATTTGGCAATTCTTTGAGCAATCTTGATGGCATCGGCAAGGACACCAGCAGCAGTGACCTCAGCACCAGCACCTGCACCCTGGACGATCAATGGGTTCTGGTAACGTTCAGTCTTGATGGAGATGACGTTGTCAGAGCCCTTCAACGAAGCAAATGGATGGGAGTAGTCGTACTTCTCGATACCAACAGACACCTCATTCTTTTGCATATCCACTTTACCGACGAATCTAAGCACCTTGTTCTCAGCAGCAGCCTCGTCTTTCAACTTCTGGATCTCATTGTCATAGTTTGGCAACTTCTCCATGAACTCAGCAGCGGATTGGACAGACTCCAAGTCCTTTGGAATGAGAGATTGAACAGGGAAGGAGGTTGGGGACTCGACCAAAGCACCTGAGAGTCTTGCAAGGATGGTGACTTTTCTAGCAACGTCCAACCCGTTCAAATCGTCTCTTGGATCAGGCTCGGTGTAGCCGAGGGACTTTGCCACTGAAACGATGTCGGAGAAGTTGACGTCCTTTGTCTCTGGAGAGGAGTACTCGTTGAAGATGTATGACAGCGTACCTGAGAAGATACCTTCAATCTTTTCAACCTTGTCACCGGTGATGACCAGGTCGTTGACGGTACCAATGATTGGCAAACCAGCACCGACGGTGGCCTCATGGTACACCAACCCACCGTTGTTCTCAGAGGCCTGGAACAGCTCGTTCCAGGACTTCAAATCAGAGGAGAAAGCCTTCTTATTTGGAGTAGCGATGGAGATACCGTTGGAGACAAACTTTGTGTAGGAGGAGGCGATGGTGGCATCAGAGGTGTTATCCACCAAGATGGTTGGCAGCGGAGACTTCTTCAAGAAATCCACCAGCTCATCCATCGACAGGTTCTTCTGTGCCGACTCGTCCGTCAGCTCCTTCCAATTGGTCAAGTCAATTGGCGAGTAGTCAGCTGAAATCACAGAGTTCGTGACTCTTGCAATGAGGATAACGTTGTAGGTAATCTGAGACTTGAGTGCTCTCAATTGGTTGAGGAAGGCAGAGCCGACAACACCGGTTCCGATGACGGCAACGTTCACAGCTTTCACCATCTTTGTTCTTTGTCTTGGGAAGATAGACAGGGATCCAACAAGCGAGAGAGAAGGAGAAAGGGTCAACGTTGGAAGACGTGAATGGTTTCAAGGCGTTGCGTCGAGGTGAAAAAAAAGTCCCAAAGGGGTAACCGTCGCGGTTGCCTCTTTAGGCAATATTCCGCAGATCCCGTTTCCGGAAATATTCGCGACGGGCGCGAAAAACAAAACCACAAACCCACAAAAATCATCAACAACAAAAAAACATCAACAAAGGGCGCTGTTTTGCCACCAACATTTGGCGAGATCAAAGGCAGCGGCTACGCAATTACACACTTTTCACGATGGTTTTAGAGGCGACGATGGTTGTTGTGGACAACTCTGAGTTCACACGGAACGGAGATTACCCTATGAACCGCTATGAGGCCCAGCTGGACGCGGTTGAGCTGCTGTTCCAGGCAAAGACGAACGCCAACAGGGAGAACACCGTTGGGGTGATCTGCTATGGAGGCGACGGGCCTCATGTTATCTCCACGCTCACAGCGGACTACGGCAGTATCCTCAGTGGCATCCACAGCACGAAGATCCAGGGCAAGTTGCACTTTTCCACCGGGATCCAGGTTGCCGCCTTGGCTCTGAAGCACCGCCAGAACAAGGTGCAACACCAGAGGATCGTGGCGTTTGTGGGCAGTCCAATTGAGGAGAGCGAGAAGGAGCTGGAGAAGCTTGCGAAGAAGATGAAGAAGAACAACGTTGCTGTTGATTTCATCAATTTCGGTGAGGATGCGTTGAACACTGCGAAGCTTGAGAAGTTCATCTCCACGGTGAACTCCCACGACAATAGCCATCTGCTCACTGTGCCTGAGGACGATGGAAGATTACTCTATGAAGCTGTTGGGAGCTCGTCGATTGTACGTGGTGAGGCCGATATGGCTGCTGGTGCTGCCATGGGTGGCTCAGGGAACGATTTCGACTTTGGAGGTGATGCAGACATGGATCCAGACCTTGCCCTGGCCTTGCGTCTTTCTCTGGAAGAAGAGCAGGCGAGACAGGCCAGAGAACAACAACAGCAACAGCAGCAGCAACAGCAAATGGAAACCATAGAAGAGAATAACGACAGCACTAATGGAGGCAACAGTAATAACGATGACGGAGACACGCATATGGGTGACGCAAAGTAAGAAATTAACAAGAGAATAGTACAAAGAAGGGAATAGATTGAATATGAATACCATGTATTAGACCCAAATCTCATTGACGGCTTTGGCGAACCTTTCTATACCTAACTCTAAAGTCTGGACGTCTGTTGCAGCGTAAGTTCCTCTGAAGAAGATCTCAGTACTATGCTTACCATCTATATCAACCATTTCAAACCAGGAACCGGGAACAAGACAAGAATCGTGCTTGATTGCGCTTTCAAACAAGGCATTTTCCAATTGAAGTGGATCCTCTGAATACTTTGTCTTGAACTCTTTATGCCTTGTGCAGTCAAATCTAATTGTAAAGAACATACCTGCAATCGGCACAACAACGTTGGCACTCTTTGGTAGGAATTTGTTGCATGCCTTTATAGTCATATCCCTCTTGAAGGAATACTCATGTCTCAGTGCCTTGAGCCAATCCAGGTAACCCGATTGTCCCCAACGTGACAGCGTTCCATACACGATGGCATTGGTGAACCCAGAGGGAGTTTGGATACTCACTTCGAATTGTCTTTGCAATCTTTCAATGATTGGGCGTTGGCCAACTATCCAGGCCAATCTAACACCTGGTGCTAGCACCTTTGAGAACGAGTCCAGTCTGATGACAATACCCTCTGTGTCCATTGACAAGAAGGATGGGACCAAAGATTTGAGGAAGTGTTCGTCAGTCTCATTCTTGAACGTCTTAGCACCTGCTGACTCCTCTGAATAAGGGTCCAATTGGAGGAAATAGTACGGTTCATCCTCAACGATAATGATTTGATATTCCACTGCGATCTCATAGATCCTTTGTCTTCTCTCCTTTGATAAGGAAGAACCAGTTGGGTTTTGACCAGTTGGAACCAAATACATCAATTTTGGTAACGCACCAGTCCAATTGGAGAGCTTCTTCTCTAAGATCTCAGGGACAATACCAAAGTCATCCATAACAATGGGGGACATCTTGATGCCTAGTGGTTTGGCAGTTTCCACAGCACTGGCAAAGACGTACTGTTCCACAAGGATCGTATCACCTGGATCACACAGTGTTCTCAACAATGCGTCCCAGCCATGGGTACTGCCGACCGTTGTGATGATGTCATAATCTTCATATGGCACTCTGTGGACCAGATCCGTGTGCTCACGGATAAAGGCTAAGATCTGTTCAGGACCCTTGGACGCACCATACTGTAACGAGCTGCCCAGGGGTATATCGTGTTCGCTCGGGCCATAGCCAACGGTGAAGTCGAGTGCGTTCTCCTGCGTCTGCTCACCAACGATACCTCCTTCGAACGGTGCGTGTCTCGTGGACACGGAGATTGAGTCCCAGGCAAAGTACTTTGGCAGAGGTAGCCCACCAGCCAGGTAAGCCATCTGTGGGGTTCTATGCTTGAGCACAGCTTTGAGCTTCGAGGGCTCCCTTCTCTTTGCCTCCTTAGACAGGTGCGAAGTAAGGTCGATCATCCTGGATGCCTGTGGTGTATTCTAGTGAGGCTCTGAGTTGAAACGTGGTTGCTGAAGAGGCTCAAGACATATATATATAGCTATCTCAAGAACGAGACAAAGACTGGAAAAATGACTCATGGGCTACGAATTACAGCACGCAGATATACAAAGAGGTGCATTCCCATTGGCTCTCCGGGCGATAAGGGAAGTTTCCACGCGAGATCAATACACGGAGCTCCAGATTCGAGTCATCGAGGCATGTTAATCTGCGATGCGAGGGCTACGAGTGTGGCTTAGAGCCGTTGCTCGGGTGGCGGTATGTGCTGCTTCTCCTCCACCAGTGCTGCGGTGTGCGGGTGTGGAATGTGGAATGTGGTGTGCGGGTGTACGGGTATCTGGTGTGCGGGTGTACAGACCCACTCCTTCCGGGGATTGTATGCTTCGAGAGAGTGCTTCCAACACAACAGTTTGCCTCATCGGTATACGTCGTTGGCCATATCAGCGTGGCCTGAGTGGCCTGAGTGGCCTGAGTGTATTCACTGCTCGTGACCGGTGATTTCAGCCACGGCTCTTGGTGCTAACACGTACATCCATTCCACACCGCAATTCTCCACACAGCAGCCATAATACACCGCATAAACCCTCCCAAGATGCAATTCCCATCACCAGCCACCTCACACCAACGACAACACCACAGACAACACTACAAACCAGGCACCAGGGCTACTGAACCGCTTCCATTCCACCCAGCATTCATTCATCTCCTACGCCGGAATACCACCTCAGCCAATCACATCGCCGGCGTGGCCGTACCAAAACCACACCCACCTTCCACGACGCGGCCGTGCTCGAGGCCTCGGACTCTGGTGAAAAATCTTTCGATTCAAACTTGCTCAAAGCTCCCTGCTGAACTCCTTCTGGAACTCCTGGAACGCCGCTAGAAGTTGATAAGGAACATGCTCTTCCAGAACTTTACCCGTTTGGCGACTCGTGTTGCCGTCCGTGCACCAAAGCTGGTTCGCTTTGCTGGCTTCGAACGTACCAAACCTCACTTGAACATTGGTACCATTGGCCACGTCGATCACGGTAAGACCACCCTTACTGCCGCCATCACCAAGTGCCTTGCTGAGAAGGGAGGTGCCTCGTTCTTGGACTACAGTGCCATCGACAAGGCGCCAGAGGAGAGAGCAAGAGGTATCACCATCTCCACTGCGCACGTTGAGTATGAAACTGCCAACAGACACTACTCGCACGTTGACTGTCCAGGTCACGCTGATTACATCAAGAACATGATTACCGGTGCTGCGCAGATGGACGGTGCTATCATTGTCGTTGCAGCCACTGACGGTCAGATGCCACAGACCAGAGAACACTTGTTGCTTGCCAGACAAGTTGGTGTCCAGCACATTGTTGTCTTCGTCAACAAGGTTGACACCATCGACGACCCTGAGATGCTTGAGCTTGTTGAGATGGAGATGAGAGAGTTGCTTACTTCGTATGGATTTGACGGTGATAACACCCCAGTTATCATGGGTTCTGCTTTGTGTGCTTTGGAAGGCCGTGAGCCAGAGATTGGTGCTAAGGCCATTGACAAGTTGATGGAGGCCATTGATGAGTACATCCCAACTCCTCAAAGAGACCTGGAAAAGCCATTCTTGATGGGTGTTGAAGACGTGTTCTCGATCTCTGGTAGAGGTACCGTTGTCACGGGCCGTGTTGAGCGTGGTAACTTGAAGAAAGGTGATGAAATTGAACTTGTTGGCTACAACAAGAACCCAATCAAGACCACCGTCACCGGTATCGAGATGTTCAAGAAGGAGTTGGAATCTGCCATGGCTGGTGACAACTGTGGTATCTTGTTGCGTGGTATCAAGAGAGATGACGTCAAGAGAGGTATGGTTGCTGCTAAGCCAGGCTCCGTCTCTGCACACACCAAGTTCCTCGCTTCCTTGTACATCTTGACGAAGGAGGAAGGTGGTCGTCACAGTGCCTTTGCTGAGAACTACAGACCACAGATGTTCATCAGAACCGGAGATGTCACCACCATCTTGACATGGCCAGAAGAGCACGCTGACCACTCTCAGCAGATCCTCCCAGGTGACAACGTTGAGATGGTGTGTACCTTGGTTCATCCAACTGCTGTTGAGGTTGGTCAGAGATTCAACATCAGAGAAGGTGGCAGAACCGTCGGTACCGGTTTGGTGACCAGAATCATTGAGTAAACACCTCAACAATGACATCTGGCGATTTTGAGTATGGGCTATTCTCTTTATATACTTGTACATATCTCTATCTATATCTTCTTTGTATAGTGTGAACACCACTTTGCACGTAGTGAGTCGATGCCTTCTAGGTGTCGATGTTGATGCAACGAGCACAGTGGCTTTACCGGAATTGATGCATATTGGGAGAAAGCAACCAAGACGTGAACACTTTGGACTAACATCAACACAGCCGGACAAAGCGGACAGAGAGCCAGAGACGATGATACAGTCGATGCTACAGACACTGGCGAAGACTCCACGGCCGGAGCCTGACGACTCGGACTACGATGTGCTAGCGGAGGCCAGCATCTCTCAGCACATTGTGTCTCGAAGAAACGGCCTTGCATCAGTGCCCAGCACACCATTGAGGGCCCATACGGAGAGGGCCAGCGTGTTGCACAGTTCAGGCAGGAAGGGCGTGAAGCACCAGGTCGAGGCTGATAGGGGCGAGATGGAGGAATTGATCGACGTGAAGCAGGTTGTTGAAGCGTTGGAGAGTCTGAGGTCTCTGATACGGGAGCCAAGTGCCGTTGATGGTCCGCAGTTCATGGATGTTTATGTCTCTCATACACAGCAGCTGGTGAGCGCAATGCGATTGAACGCCGTGGAGGCTAAGGTGAGGGAGGAGGACAAGGACAAGGACAAGCGGGTGGGCAGAGGCCAGCTGGAGGAGGTGTCTGGGATCTTGGAGAGGAAGAACAGAGGCGAAGTGATGCTGGGGATCGTTATCGTAAGCATCAGGATTATAAGGCTACTCATCGAGATCACTACACCTTGGCTGAAGAGCCTACAGACATTTCTGATAAGAGTCACGGAGAACGAAACAGTTGGACTAATAACGGAGAAACTGGCAGAGCTGGTGCTGGTGGTGCTAGCAGTGGCTCTGAACATCCTCAAGATGGTTCAGAGGTGGACTAGGCAATGATGCGTATCCTCATTGTGATGTATACCATCTCCACAGGTCCTTGAAAGATTGGTCCAGTGAAACACACGGTTGCCAGTCCAATTGAGCTTTCGCCTTTGTTATATCAGAGATCAGCACGTCCACGTCACCTTCTCTTTTCCCTGCCTCTCTGTATGGCACATGGACGCCGGTTGAGGCCTTGAACAGTTCCAGTATCTCCTTAACCGATAACCCCTGACCACTTCCTAGGTTCCAAGACTCAAACACATTGGCCTGTCTATGATATTCCAAGTACTGTATAACCAACATACATGCCCTAGCAACGTCCAAAACAGAAACGTAGTCTCGTATGCCGTCGTAGACGGTCATCTCTTTGCCTTCTTTCAGGCTCTTCAAGACCATTGGCATCAGGTTCTTTGACTGCTCGCCTAGTAGCCCAGAAGGATGAACACCAACAGGGTTGAAATACCTCAACATACCAATGTTGACTGTTGGATATGAATTGGCAAATTCCCTGAGAATGGCTTCAACCTTCAGCTTTGTAGCACCGTATGGAGTAGTTGGTATACACTTGATTGACTCCGATATGGGGCTCTGCGCAGCACCATACACAGCAGCAGAGCTGGCAAACACCAGCGTCTCAATCTGTCTAAACCTCCTGATTTGATCTAGCAGGTTCACGGTTGCCTTCACGTTATGGTCATAGTACAGCTCCGGCTCAGCAAGAGAGTCACTCACGCTCTTCAGGCCAGCAAAGTGAAGCACCCTGGTGATCTGCCTCTTGTTATGGCCATCATTGTGGAACTCGTCAAAGAATTTGGCCAATTGTTCAGCGTCTGTCAAATCCACGTGGTAGAAGTCCACAGGCTCGTCTCTAACCAGTGCGTTGATGCCCTTCAGCGTGTCAATATTGGAGTTTGAGCAGTTGTCCACGATCACAACTCGGCCTTCTATAAGGGGAATGGTATGTGACGCAATGTATCCTAAACCACCCGTGACAAGGGTATAGTTGATGCTTTTGGTGCGAGGGGAGGCTGTTAGTATACGATGGACGTTATGGTAGGTATCGAAGGCTTTGAGTTCATTCCATACATTGTCATAGGGTTAAAATGTCTTCACAAGTCGTCTTGTCTGGACACAGTGTTATTAGGGGGATAATGACAGGAGAAGTGGCCTTAAGCTGCTGTATTTTTAACGGGGAACCTGCGCAGCCTTTAATATCACACTCTCTATGCACACAGCTCTCAGCAAGTGAAGGACAAGGGGGTCTGAAGAGCTATATATGCGTACAGAGAAGGAGAGAGAGAGGGAGAAAGCAAAAAACAGCATGTAGGTGCTGCTTCTCGCTATTGTCTCACACCAGGGGAGACCGAGATCGCAGGGAATGCACCCTCGGTGATCCAATTGGGCCTTGTGCTGTACCATCCATGCGCGTGCTTATGCACTGTTTATAGATAAACAAGCGTTGAAGTTACGCTGGTTTCTGACTAATTGAAAGGTCATTTTTCCCACCACCAAAAATGCACAGCTTCAGCGTGATTCGTTGCAGTTTATTCCCCGTTCGTTTAGACCAATTGGCCAGCGTTAGTTGCTACGGAAGAGATGCTAATAGACAGTGCCCTTGGAACGTTAAGGACGCTGCAGTGCCTATATCAAGCACACGTGTTGATGTATGGTCATCCACTTTTGGCCACACACCCCGTGAGGGAGCGAGAGCAGCACCCGCTCTTGCTACGGAGCCAATTGGCTCCACCAATTGATGGTCCCTGTTGAAGTTCTTTAACTATAGCGTTGCCGTCGCCTCAACGTACGAGCAGCTTATCCGGTGATGGAGTTAGCCGGCGATACACGAATATACCGGCGATACCTGATCGGGAAACTTACCCAATCGGGACGTATTTCCGAACCCGCCAGCTGGCCGAGAATGGGGAGCAATTCCGGCTTACCATGAGACGTATACACATGTCATGTGTCCATTGTTCGATCAATTGGTGGTGATACGAGCTACCGACAATGTCACTCACCATCTTCAACGTCAAGCACGGCGAGACCGTGCACACTCCCCTGTTCATTGTTCATGGACAGTGCGCAGACGGTGTCCAATCAGGCATCGTTTCAGTACAGAGCAAGACGAACAGTTATCCACCCTTATTCTACGAAGTGAACGGAGGGTTCTTCAAGGCTCCGGTCCATCTGAACAGAGGCTCAAACGAGCTGATCTTCATGCATTCCCAGGGAAGAGTGGTGAATGGCTATCCACAGTACTCTGACCAGAACACCCGAGGAGGAGGTGTTGCGATGACGATCAATTATGACCCGTTACCGAACAAGCCCGTCCATCTCTGTCTGCTGGTAGCCAAGGACTCACCTGGCTACTTCGATACCACCAGTGAGAAGGGCAGAGAAGAAGGCAACGGTATTGACCTGGCAGTTAAAAAGCTGAGAGTAGGTGCAAGACTGATGCAGGCATTCACCAATGAGCAGATGCTGAGGGCTGGGTTTGGACAAAGAACGTTCAACTTTGCAGAGGAAGAGGCCAATGACACACTGTTTGAGCAGGAACAAGGCCGTGTCTCCCGACCAACTGTTAAGATCCACGTGATTAGATCAAAGAAGACTTTGGCAGAGCTGAGAGATCCGAACTTGGCTCAACAGAACTCCAAGGGAACCAACACTGGTGGACTGTTTGGAATCGCCATGGATGAGCTGAAACACTATGGCCCACTGGCAAACGAACAGAGACCTTTCCAGGCTGCAGTGATGTTCTTGGATACTCACTGGGATACCAAATTGAGGTTGATCTTGACACATGCTGCGCTAGGTGGTGGTGATGGGGAGTTAAAGCTGGCGATCTTTGGCTCTCATGGCCTGTACTCATGGCCTTCCTCTCTGGAGAAGGTGGTTCCAGCGTTCCAGGACGACAGGAAGAGTAACATCAATGAAGTGGCCAATGACTGTAACGAGTGTGGGACGTACTGGGAATGCTTCAACATCACCTTTGGTGCTTTCCTCCACGAGATTGGACACCTGCTGGGCTGTCCTCATCAAGTCAATGGTGTGATGCTCAGGGACTACGTCCGCATCAACAGATCATTTGCTTCCCGTGAGACGTACTGTATGAGAACCAAGTCAAACGGAATGTCACCTCTTCTGCCTAAGGATGAATGTGGATGGAACAGACTGGACCTCCTGAGATTCCTACACCATCCATCGTTCCGTTTGCCGTCAGATTCCCAGGATCCAACTTTTGGCCTACCACAGCAAGGTGGTGGACCTGTCATCCTACCACTTGGTAATGGCCAGGCAACCATCAAGTCGCCAACTGGAATCTATGCCGTGGAGGTCATCAAAGACGACCTTGCCCGTGGTTATCTAGAATTCTCACCTCGTTCGCTAGGAGGCCAAGGTGCTCAGAATGAAATCCACGTCACCTCACAGCAGCTGAAGAACTTGCTGCCTAGAGACAAACAGAACGGCGATTACGACGTTAGAGTCTTAACAGCAGGTGGTGAAGCGTTCCAGAAGGATGTTGAACATATGCTCACAAGCAATACCAATGCCTTGAATGTTGATATTGGTGATGGAAAAGGCCAAAAGACAGCAATCAAATCAGCACCGATGGGTCAGCTGGACCGTGGTAACAAATTCGAGCCTGTGTTCTTCAACCCTCATAGGGTTGTCAACGTTAGAGTGTACTGGGGTGGAGCCGTTGACGGTATTCGTATTGACCTTGGAAAGGAACAGGATCAACCACAGGCAGGCTCACCACCACCAGTGCCTCAGAGAGATTACAAGAGCTCCTTCAACAAGCTGGTTTCAGGGTTAAAGGACATGGCTGTCAACAGACAACCAGCCTATCAAGCTGCAGAATCCTCTGTGCTTGCTGGCAACGTGACCAACAACTATACTGATTTCCCATTACAGCAGGGAGAAACCATAGCAGAGCTACGTTTTAGATCAGGTGCGTGGATCGATGCTGTCCAGATCGTCACTTCCACGGGGAGAAGCTCTCAGATGTTTGGAAGAGCAGATGGAGGCAGTGCCAATGCCTTGAGTCCGCCTCAAGGATATCAAATCATCGGTCTCTATGGTTCTCTGGATCGCTGGCTAGGATCCTTGGGTGTTATCTATGCACCAGCATAGTCTGCTATATCCTGCCACACCCCTGTTGTCTTATGAACTGAGGTACGTGTTAGTTTGTTATGATATAAAACATAAAATAAATATAATTGTATGGTTTAAAGCGAACATCACGGTAGAAGAGACAAAACCAGTAATCATCTCGACTCAGAAGCCTTCAATTTGGATAACTTTTCACTCAGCTTATACGCTTCAAGGTGTGCAACTTGTTGCTGTTGGCTAGAAGCAGGGACTCTGTCCGGGATAGGACCTCTATCAGGGATCGGAACCCGCTCAGAAATACCCCTTGCCTTCTTGAGCGATTCAGAGTGGCTTAGTGATCTTATAGAACTAACCAGAGGGGAGCCAGATGAGCTGGAATGAGAACCGAGTCGTGGTGGGGCAGTAGGCACCACAGAGTACTTACGCTCACGGAAGGCAACACCGACTTCTTTGACTCTCTTCTTGTGCATCTGGTCTTCTGAAACTTTATAGAACCAGTCCTTTTGTTCGTCATACTCGTACATGGACCATTCCACACCATATGGCTTTGGTTCCAGTAGGTAGATGCAATGAAGTGGTATGTCCAAAGAGGTGATTGCATCTCTGTTGAGGTTCATGAAATAGCCAAGCAGGACACGGGCAACGACACGATGGGTTATAAGAAGAACATGGTCAGTGGTACGCTCCACCTCGTTAATAACCGGTCTAACCCTATTGATAACATCCATGTACGATTCACCACCGATACCCGGGTACCTGTATCTCAGCTTATCCTTGATACGAGCGTTGTACTCCTGTGGATACTTGTTCTGGATTTCTTCATAGGTCATTCCTTCACAGGTACCGGCACACAGCTCGTTCAACATTCTAATCTCTCTGATATCGAACTGATCCTCTGGGAAGTGGTCTGCAGTCTGAATAGCTCTCATGAGCATACTTGACCAGACGTTGAACTCCGGTTCCGCTGGCATGGAATCAAACTCTCCCTTGGAAATCATCTCGGTGTATCTCTTAACTTGATCCTGTCTAAACCTGACACGTTCGTGCTGGATGAATTTGGCCAGAGCCTTGGAGAATCTCTCACCACGAGGAGTTAGAGGCGCATCACCACCGATACGTCCCTTAACATTATCGACACTTTCACCGTGTCTTGTAATCCAGATCTGGCGCTCGCTCAAGTTGAAGTTCAAAAGGTAGTAAATCGCCTGGGATGCCAGAAACCCTTGTATGTTATACGCCACCACTTTCTTGCCAACATCGATCATCTTGATGTATTGTAAGTCCTCATCATCCTCTAACGTCTCGTACGCCTTTTCGTAGTTGTGCAGTCTTTCCGTGAAGTCCTTGAGTGCCAATGCCGGGTCCATGTCTTTATAGTCAGGACCACTCAGCTTGAGATGGACGTTTCTCTGGATGATCACAGGGTCAGAGCATATACTCTCGAGGAAAAGCACTTTGATCAGCGAGCTCCTCTCACGTATCTTGTTCAACACACGTTTCCGTCTCTTCTTGGTGCTATTCGTAGCGTCAAAGATCCCCACGGAGCCCTTTCCCTCCAAGACAAAGTCCAGCAGCGAGTCCAAGGTATCCATGGCCCACTTGTCTCTGATCTTGGTGCTCTCTTCATTCTCAGGGTTGAAGAACGCAGCATCATGCTCAGTTCCATGGTGTGCTTGCGCGTTATCGCCCTCAGTTAAGGGCTCCTTCGCAGGACCAAAGCTCTGTCCAACATGTGGATCCTTTCTTCTGGTGTTACCAACGTTGAACACGCGGCACTCGTGTTGCAACCAGTTCAGGTAGCGCGTGAGTTTGTTGGTGATGTACGACTTACCACGAGCTGGCAAACCAACCATCACAATCACCAACTTCGACGCCGCCTCGTTCTCAGCGTACTGCTGTTGCAGTTGAACGCTTGATATCGACTTTGTCACACCTGGCAGGTTGATGGCAGTTCCACGTCTCTTGGGCAGCCTCAGAACAGGCGGCGGATGGCTATGGCTGGCCTCACAGGAGTAAACAGCTCCTTCCGCCAGCAGCGGTGACTCTTCAATGGCCTTTGTTGACACACCACCTGGTGTCGTTGGTTGCAACTCTGGCGAGTTCTCCATGGAAACGTCCTCAGAGTTGTCGTGAGATACCGACGGCGAGGTGCTGGTGGACCCAGCAGGGGTGTCCGACAGCGGCCTCTTGTTGAAATCCGGCATTCTCAAGTGGATGGTGTCGTCAGTGCCTGTTCTACCCTTCACAGTGGCAGCAGCATCGCCAGCAGCAGCATCGCCAGCATGGGCCGCCACGCTTGTGTGCGATGCCATTGGGCTCAGATCGTCCTCTGAGCTCGAGGCAATCGCATACTCCATCGACAAACTGTCACTCATCTCGGTAAATCTGTTGTGATTGGCTGTGTTGGGCGTGTTTTCGTTGTGTATTCTTCAAGTTGAAGTAGGCGGTGATCCCCTTTTGCTCCCTCTGTTGACACATAAAAACCACCACGCAGTGGCACACAGAGAGCGGCGGCGGCAGCCGCCAGCTGATTGTTTTCGCGGTGGTTTACAGCGGGCGCCGATTGCGTTACGTAGTGGTTACGTAATGATTACATAAGCAGGGCGGTTAAAAGGCCGGGTAACGGTGAAGATGAGGTGCTGCGCGTACCGTCCAAATTGGGAAATTCCTTAAAATTTTTTTTCACTTTTTTCTTTTTTCCCCTTCTCAACTCTGGTTTCCGTCTCTTATCACTCGATTCATAGAGATATCCAGTGGTAGTACCAATCATAAGCAATGTCTGACGAAGTATGTTAATACAGGAAGCGTCTTTGGCAAGGAGCGTCTGGAAGGAGCGCCTGGAAAGCGCTCCTTGGGAAAGACTTCTAGGGAAAGACTCTCCGTGAAGGACTCTTACTAACACAACGCACAGATCATATGGCAGGTGATCAACCAACAATTTTGTTCTTTCAAGCTCAAAACCACCAAGGGCCAGAACTTCTGTAGAAACGAATACAACGTGAGTGGGTTGTGCTCGCGTCAATCTTGTCCGCTGGCGAATGCGAAGTACGCCACCGTTAAAAACGTGGATGGGAAACTCTACCTGTACATGAAGACCGCAGAGAGGGCCCACACCCCGGCAAAGCTGTGGGAAAGAATCAAGCTGTCAAAGAACTATACAAAGGCATTGGAGCAGGTTGACCAACATTTGCTCTACTGGAACAAATTCTTGATCCACAAGTGCAAGCAGAGATTAACCAGACTCACACAGGTGGCCATAACAGAGCGTCGTATGGCACTGAGGGAGGATGAGAGACACTACGTTGGTGTGGCACCAAAGGTGAAGAGAAGAGAGGAGAATAGAGAGAGAAAGGCGCTCGCAGCGGCCAAGATTGAAAAGGCCATCGAGAAGGAGTTGCTCGAGAGACTGAAGTCCGGCGCGTATGGCGATAAACCATTGAACGTTGACGAAAAGATCTGGAAGAAGGTGTTAGGCCACGTTGAGGAAGAGGAGGGAGTCGAACAGGAGGACGAAGAGGAGGAGGACTACGACAGCGAACTGGAAGAGGAGGACGACAGCGACGTCGGGGAGATCGAGTACGTCGAGGACGATGGCGACGACGACGAGCTCGTCGATGTCGAGGACCTCGAGAGATGGCTGGACGGATCAGACGGCGACGATGACAACGACGTCTCCACGGACAGCACTGACTCAAGCGACGAGGAGGACAACTACAAGAAGCGCAAGAGACAGGCCAAGGAAGCAAGGGCGAAGAAGAGACGCGCAAGGGTCGAGGTGGAGTACGAAGAAGAGCCACAGCATATAAACACAGTCTCTGTATAGAATCCACGCTCCTCCCTGGGCCTGTATATATTACAAATATATAAGAATAGCGTATCATTTAGCACTGAGACGAATTGTAGGTTTAGAAGCGGTACGCCCACGACAGCACCGTAGGCTTAGAAAGCGGTACGCCCACGACAGCACCGTAGGCTTAGAAAGCGGTACGCCCACGACAGCCGCCAGACACAACAGCCCGTCCCACACAGCCCAAACGGACGAAAAGCCGCCTACAAAGAAACATCAACAAAGAGGAGGAAGAGCACACGGACACCTGGCGCTTCGCTTCATACACAGAGCGGTTAACTCAGTACACGGACAATGGCACAGGGAAAGAAGCAGGGAGAGGATCCGTTCGAGGAAACGAACAATAACACGCTGTTTGATGTGGATTTGCTCGATGATTCCACGGAGCAGCAGACGAGTAACAGCGGAGGTGATTTGCTGGGCGATGACTTCTACAACGTGCCCTCAGCGTATGGGCCTGGCGGCCGGGATGGACTGGACGACCTGAGGAGAGGCGTAATACCGCAGGAGACTGTGAACCTGGACGACCCCTTTGACGACAAGTACGTTGAGCAGGATGATAGTTTTGACACGCGTGGGACGTCAGTGCACCAGGGCCACGATGGTGGGAAGAAGGGGATGTTCTCCAGCATGCGCCAGAGATTAGGGATGTCGACGCCGTACGAGGACGTTGGTATTCCATTGGACGACTATCCACAGCCGAGAGAGTCACAGGACCCTTTTAGAGACCCTGAGAGGCCCGCTGCTAGGGCAAGGCCGCAACAAGAAGGAGGTGCCAATATGGTTGAATCTGAGCGGAACAGGTTTGACATACGCCGTATCTGGGATCGACTTAGAGGGAGAAAGGCGAGATATGATACTCAGGGACCAAGAATCATCCATATAAACGACCGGGTTTCGAACGATGCGTTTGGTTATGGTGATAACCATATATCAACTACAAAGTACAACTTTGCAACGTTCTTACCGAAGTTCCTCGTCCAGGAGTTCTCCAAGTATGCGAACGTGTTTTTCCTGTTCACCTCTGCGATCCAGCAGGTTCCAAACGTCTCACCTACAAACCGTTACACCACAATTGGAACGCTTCTCGTTGTGCTCTTGGTTTCCGCGTTGAAGGAAATCATGGAGGATATCAAGAGATCGAATTCTGATAAGGAATTGAACTACTCGAGGGTGGAGGTTTTATCACCGGAGCACGGCGAGTTCATATCGAAGAAATGGATTAATGTGGCTGTGGGTGACATCATCAGCGTCAAGTCCGAGGAGGCCATTCCTGCGGACATGATCATACTGAGTTCTTCTGAACCAGAAGGTCTATGCTATATCGAAACCGCAAATTTGGATGGTGAAACTAACCTGAAGATTAAGCAATCTCTTCCAGAGACTGCGCATTTGGTTTCACCACAAGATTTGATAGCGATGAAGGGTAAAGTCCTTTCAGAGCAGCCAAACTCGAGTCTTTACACCTTCGAAGGTACACTGAACTTGTTCGATAGGGAGTACCCATTGAACCCGGATCAGATGCTTCTTAGAGGTGCCACGTTGAGAAACACGGGATGGATTCATGGTTTAGTTGTTTTCACAGGTCATGAAACGAAATTGATGCGTAACGCTACAGCAACGCCAATCAAGAGAACAGCAGTGGAACGTATCATCAATTTACAGATCATAGTGCTGTTTGGTGTATTGATTGTTCTTTCTTTAATTTCATCAATTGGTAACGTTGTTAAAGTATCTGCAGACTCGAAACACTTGACTTATCTTTTCCTTCAGAACAGAAACAGAGCTGGTCTATTCTTTAAAGATTTGCTTACATATTGGATCTTGTTCTCAAATCTTGTGCCAATCTCTCTATTTGTTACTGTGGAAATCATCAAGTATTACCAAGCATATATGATTGCATCAGATTTAGATATGTACCATCCTGAGACAGATACCCCAACTGTGGTGAGAACTTCGAGTTTGGTTGAGGAACTAGGACAGATTGAATACATCTTTAGTGATAAAACGGGTACATTGACGAGAAACATTATGGAGTTCAAGTCTTGTTCCATAGCTGGACATTGTTACATTGAGGAAATTCCGGAGGATAAAGAGGCTAAGATGATTGATGGTGTAGAGATGGGATTTCATACATTCAAGAAGATGTTTGAAAATTTGGAAACAGGTGACGATGCTAGTTTGATTGACGAATTCTTGACACTTTTAGCCATCTGTCACACGGTCATCCCGGAAGTCCAAAGTGATGGATCCATCAAGTACCAGGCTGCTTCTCCTGATGAAGGTGCTCTAGTGGAAGGTGCAGCGTCCTTGGGATACAAATTCACTATCAGAAAACCAAAGTTTGTGACGATTGAGGTTCATGGCCAGCAGTTGGAGTACGAACTACTCCATGTTTGTGAATTCAATTCGACCAGAAAGAGAATGTCTGCCATCTTCCGACTCCCTGACGGGTCTATCAAGTTGCTCTGTAAGGGTGCGGATACTGTTATCTTGGCACGTTTGTCCGAAGACAATCCTTATGTCACTGCAACAACTCGTCAATTAGAAGATTACGCTGCCGAAGGGTTGAGAACTCTTTGTATTGCCACTAGAACGATTCCAAACGATGAATACGAAGAATGGGCTCAACAATACGAAAAAGCGGCAACTTCCATGGATGATAGACAGCAAAAGATGGATGATACTGCGGAACTGATTGAAAGAGATATGCTCCTTATCGGAGCCACTGCTATTGAGGATAAGTTACAGGACGGTGTTCCAGAGACAATTCACACTTTACAGGAGGCGGGCATTAAGATCTGGGTCCTGACAGGTGATAGACAAGAGACTGCCATCAACATTGGTATGAGTTGTAAACTGCTCAGTGAGGACATGAACCTTTTAATCGTTAACGAGGAAACAGCAGAGGCCACGAAACACAACATCAGTTCCAAATTGGAAGCCATCAAAGAGTACAAAGTGTCTCAACATGATATCGATACGCTTGCTCTTGTTATCGATGGTCAATCCCTTGGGTACGCCTTAGACTACTGCGATGATTTACTCCTGGATTTGGCATGCTCGTGTAAAGCCGTCATCTGTTGTCGTGTTTCGCCCTTACAAAAGGCACTTGTGGTGAAAATGGTGAAGAACAAGAAAAAAGCATTGCTACTTGCCATTGGTGATGGAGCCAATGATGTGAGTATGATTCAAGCTGCACATGTTGGTGTTGGTATTAGTGGTATGGAAGGTATGCAGGCTGCTAGAAGTGCCGATTTTGCCATTGCACAGTTTAGATTTCTGAAGAAGTTGCTGCTTGTCCATGGTTCTTGGAGTTACCAGAGAATCTCAGCTGCAATTCTGTACTCGTTTTACAAGAATATTGCCCTTTATATGACCCAATTTTGGTATGTTTTTGCCAATTGTTATTCTGGTCAATCCATCATCGAATCATGGACTTTGACTTTCTACAATGTTTTGTTTACAGTTCTACCACCATTCGTTATTGGTGTGTTTGACCAATTTGTGAGTGCAAGGTTATTGGAGCAGTATCCACAATTATACCAATTGGGCCAGAAGGGTGTATTCTTCAACGTTTCGATCTTCTGGGGATGGGTGATCAATGGTTTCTACCATTCCGCGTTGACGTATGTTTTGAGTACACTATTCTACAGATATGGATTTGCACTCCATAACGGTTATACTGCGGACCATTGGGTTTGGGGTACGGCAATCTACACCTCCTCCGTACTAACGGTGCTCGGTAAAGCTGCGCTCATCACTGCAAACTGGACCAAATTCACGGTGATTGCCATTCCAGGTTCCTTCTTATTCTGGCTTGCGTATCTTCCACTGTATGCCTTGATTGCCCCACTGACTGGTGTCTCTAGAGAGTACCGTGGTACTATCTCTCACCTGTACACTTCTGTCACCTTCTGGGCAATGATCTTCGTGCTTCCCGTGTTGTGCCTGTTGAGAGATTTCGCCTGGAAGTACTACAAGAGAATGTACTACCCAGAATCCTACCACTACGTCCAAGAGATTCAGAAGTACAATGTTGCCGACTACAGACCACGCATTGAACAGTTCCAAAAGGCCATCCGTAAAGTGAGACAGGTTTCAAGAATGCGGAAGCAAAGAGGGTTTGCATTTTCACAGGCCGAAGAAGGACAGGAGAGACTTGTTAGAATGTATGATACCACTCTTTCGAGAGGCGCCTACGGAGAGATGAGAGAGGCTGATCAAGACTGATCAAGACTGAACGTGAAACTGCGTGTCGAAGAGTGTTTAAACCAATTATACGTATGTCTTAACTTCTTATAGAGTGACACCTCTGATGTCGATGTCCTTGTGGATGAATTCACGTGATCCACCACCTCCCAAGTAATCGCCAACCACTTGTCCATGGCCTCTGATCTGGTATTGATAGATCACCAAGCCTTCCAGGCCCACTGGGCCTCTAGCGTGGATCTTATTGGTGGAGATACCAACTTCGGTACCGAACCCATATCTAAAGCCATCTGCAAATCTCGTTGAGGCATTCCAGTACACACCAGACGAGTCTATGGCTTTCAGGAACTTCTCAGCAGTCTCCCTGTTCTCGGTGATGATAGACTCAGTGTGACCAGATGAATGCTCGTTGATGTGCTTTATGGCAGAATCAACGTCGTCAGTGAAGTCCACGGCAATGTCAAAGGACAAGAACTCCTTGTCGAAGTCACCATCCACTGCTGGCACTATGAGCTCGGACTCTGGCAAGTGGCTTGCAACTTGCTGCGTGACATGGAGCGTGACGTTACTCTCCAGCAGCAACTGGACAACCTCCAGAGTCTTGCTAGCCAACGATCTGTGGATCAGCAGCTGCTCCACAGCATTGCAGCCAGCAGGGTAGTTCGTCTTTGCATCCAAGACGACCTTAGCAGCCATCTGGAGGTCTGCGTCCTTGTCGACGTAGATGGAACAGATACCATCCGCATGGCCCAGCACTGGGATCTTTGTATTGCTCTTGATGTTTCTCACGAGCTGGTTGGAGCCTCTTGGAATGACCAGATCAATGTACTGGTCCTGGTCCAGCAGCTGGGCCACATCTTCCCTTGATTCGATCAGCTGGATGGCATTGCGTGGGACCTTTGTATGGCTCAAGGCCTCGTTCACAACGTTGGCCATGGCAGTGAACGTGTGCAACGATTCCTTGCCACCTTTCAGGATGGCACTGTTTCCTGACTTGATGGCCAGCGCAGTGATGTTGGCAATCACCTCAGGACGGGACTCGAAGATGATCAACAGCACTCCCACTGGCGCACTGACCCTATACAGGTCCAAGCCTTCATCGAGCTGTCTCGCCAGGGTGACTTTCCCCACAGGGTCCTCCAGAGAGGCAACGTCCAGCACACCTTGAAGCATGACGTCAAACTTGTCTCCTTTGGACAAGTCCAGTCTCTTCACCAGACTGGAAGACAGGTTGGCCTTTGTAGCGTTGGCCATGTCCTCCTTGTTGGCTGTGAGGATCTCCTGCTTGGTCTGTGCAAGGGCATCGTGGACGGCTTTCAGGGCTTCATTTCTCTCCTCGTTAGACAGTGTCTTGAGCACAGTGAACGCATCACGGGCGTTCTTCGCAATCTGTTCAGCCATCTTCGGTGTGTATGTGTGTGTGTGTGTGTGTGTTTTGGCGTTGAAGGAAGCCAATTATGGGCGATGAGTAATGTGAAGTTATGGGCGAATGAATTTTTCACCGTCTCGGGATGACCCGAAAAGCATGGAAAGTGCATAGAAACTTCACAGGGAGTACGTTAGAATGATCGTGATATAATTGGCAAATGGGCCGCTGAATTCTTGGAAAGTAGATCATTTTGAAGCTAAAGCTTGGTGTAAGAGGCCTACGAAGTATGGGAATGCTATCGTCCATGGTTCCTGAGATATAAGCGTTCAAAGATTGGTAAAGAATGAATATTAAACGCATTTGCCTATGTCTCAAGAAAGCATGGAAAGTACACTCAAATTACTGGATAATTGACCAAGTTATGGCCCAAGCAAACGGTGATTAGCACACAAGTGAGACTACAGCAGAGAACTGCAATTTGGAGCGTGATTAGCATGAGCATTACGGCTTCATAGATGTCTAAACTTGCATTCAGGCTCAGTACACTTCTGGTGGATGAGCTCGAATGGACAGAGCTGTCTGTCGTCGTTGTCTGCATCGTTATCAATGCCTTGTCTCTTGGAGAGTAACGAGTGGTAAGGCTGGAATGCCCTGGCCTGCTGCTATAAGAGTGGGACACAAGTGTTAGTAATTCATCTGTCTATCATGTGATAAGAATGAAGGGGAGGAGAAAGCGTGCTAGCTTACCCTCGTAAGGTGTTTGGAATAAAATATTACCTTTGGAATCTTGTGGATGGTTTCATCATACGCATTGGATGCTTGTTCCTGTTCCTTCTCGGCTTGTTCTTTCATCATCTTGTTCTTCTCTACGGCAACCTCTTCCCTTAGAGCATCTCTGACTCTCCGTTCATCTTCTAAGCGTTTCATCCTTTCTCTCGTGGTCCTCAATTCCTGTTCTAGTCCTTCCATTCGAGCTTGACAGCTCGAGATCTCCGCATCTATATCACGGTGCTCTTCTTCCCACTTGTTCAACTTTCCAGTCAGTAGCTTTAGTTCCTCTGAGTCTCGGTTATCGTCAACTGATAGTTTCCTCTTCTTCACAGGCGAGTGCGCTTCATCGTCACTCTCCTCCTCACTCGACTCTAAATCTATAACCAAATCGGATAGCCATTCAGGCTTGTTCTCACTCATAGGCACTCTGTTGTTACTAATGATATTGCTATTGCTGTAGTAATCCCATCTTCGTTGTTGTCTGTCCATCCTGGGCACCACACTGGCCTCCCTACTGGCCTCCCCACTGGGCACCACTCTACTCTCCACGCTGGCCTCCACAACTGCCTGCGGTATGATCTCAGCAACAGGCCATTTCATCTCTCTGTAGAGCTCCGCCACGAACTCTCTACGTACCTTTGCCCTCGCCACGATCTCGTCAAGGCTCAACCCGTAGCTCCTCAAGTCCTCGAGTGCTTTGCACAGCATCTGCTTCGTTTCAGAGCTCATGGGCCCCTGTTGACACTGTGCTGGTGCCTCTTCCCGTCCTTGTGGCTCTGGTGGTTGTGGTGTGACACTTTTACTGGCTCTTTTGCTCTTCATGGAGAGGAGCACAGCCTGTCTCTTGGCTTCCAAGTCCATCAGGCTCATAGTCTACTCACTCAAACCCTTCAAAGGAAACAAAGTCGGCGAAACAGAGCCGAAATCGAACAAGTTGAAGTGGTATTTAGTACCCAAACACACACACACACACACACATAAGCAGTTGATGGAAAAAAAAAGTCTAATTTGTAAGCATTTACGTAAGCAACAACAACACGTGAGTCGTGGTCCCCTAACACGTGACCAGATATTACGTAATCATTTGGGACACCCCCTTCAAATCAGAAGCGGCCCGTGAGTTCTTCACCATCTTACACAACTTCAACTTGTCACTGTGTTTGCGAAGCCTGGAACGACCAATTGATTGGCAGGTGAGAACGACAATGAGCTCGAACCATGCACAAGTGCCCTCCATGCTGATGAGCCCGAAGAAGGCTCGAAGAATATCTGCCAAACCGACAATTATTACACCTTAGTACGTATACGCCAGAGATGGCATCACACACCTTTTGCGTTGGAACCCGTGTTTGCAGTGACTAACTCGGTACCCAGCTACTCGGAGAAGCTGTTTGGGTCGTCAATCGGCAACAGAACGACGTTGCTGCCGACGTACAGAGAGATTGGACCTCCAGACCTGGTTCACTTGTCGACGTCCAACAGGGCATCGCAGAAAGAAGACGGCCAGTACCATTACATCACAGGTATCGATCTCAGCTCCACGGTGGCTCCCCAGGCATACATCCAGATGTTGAGCTTACCATTGGACGTGTCCGTGAAGCACCCAGCAATCTTCACCTACTGCTCGTTCAACAGCTTTAGCAAGTGTGATGTTCGGATCAAGATTGAGTGTCCGGAGGCTGAACAAGGCCAGTTCCAATTGACCGTGCTACCAGCAGACAGGTTCCAGAAGACGGCTCCAGAGGTTAGCGACACCATGTGGACTGAACTGTTTGTGTCCTGTGTTGTGAGAAGCGTCATCATTGGGTTGGGCAAGGAGAGGAAGTTCCCTGGCTTGGTGGAGAAACAGCTGTTCCAATCAAAGCACCAAATCTCCGACCTTATAACGAAGCTGGTGTCGATGCTGCCTAAAGGAATGCTCCTAGGTGCTGAAGATACCGTCCAGAAGCCAACTCTGTGGGAAAACTACCTCGTTGACACCCTCTGCTACGTAGTAGAGGTCTCTGGCGAGTTCAAACATGCAATCCAGAGGATCCAGGCGTTGCCATTGGACTTGACACCGATAATCGCAAGATTATTGTGTCTAATGGACAACGAGATAGACGCCATCAAATACCTGAACAGGGCAATCAAGGTGAAACCTCGTGATTCGCTGTTATTGAACGAACAGATCAAGTTTCTCGTCGAGAAGGACCAGCCTCAATTGGCGTTGCAATGTGCGCTGGAATCGGTGAATTGCAACCCTATATCCTTCAAATCCTGGTACTGGCTTGTGCTTTGCCACCTGCTCAATGACGACTTGAACTCTGCCTTGATTGCGCTCAATTCCACGCCAATGTATGCGCAGAGACCACGAGATTACATTCCTATTGACGTGAAGGACTCCTTACTCCTGCCTGAACCTACTGAAGGGAAAGTCCAGTCAGTATGGGACTCTGCTGTACAGATATTTGGTGCAGACTCTGAGAACTTATTGTTATTCTCTCCAAAGATTGAAGTGGAAGCCGTGGACCCGGCCTTGAAGAGGGTGAACTTGCACCTCTTGAAAGGCACTCATAAAGGTGCCTACAATCTGCTGGTCTGGATGATTGTGAAAGCCGGCTGGGACCAGGTACTCAAGGCAAGGGCAGAGGTGTTCATCATGGACGAGGAGTACAAGACCATGTCCACCGTGACATTGCACTCACAGGCGAAGCCGATGGATATCAGAAAGAAGAGACAATGCGAACGCTGGCTAGACGATCTGTTCCTGATCATCTATGACGACCTGAGAATCACACTCATCGTGGAGAATGAGCTGAACGCTGCTAAGCAGCTGAAGCACAGTGCACTGGAATGGGAACTGATCGGGTTGACCTCGTATAGAACAGCCCATTATAAGAGCGTTGTCCCTGCTTTGAGAACCACGCTTGGAGCAAAGTTCGACATCGTTGCGGCTCTCAAACTGCTCAAGATGTGGGAGTTGCACGTGCTCGAGCCTCAAGCGAATAAGCTGCGCTGGCTCAAGAAAGACACTCCTCTGGACTTGACCTTGACGATAGTATTGGAGATCTTGATCCAGGTGATCAGTTACAATGTTCGATTCTATAACGAATTCCAGTTGGAGGTGCTGCTGTTCTTGAAGAAGTTGTGTGATAAGTTCGACAAGGACTTCATAAAGAACAAGATCCAAGTGTCATTTGAGAATGACAACGATGACTTGACCAATTGTGGTGTTATTCCACCGTTCGATAACCTAATTAGCATTCTAGATACGTTCGATAACTCTTGAGATGATGTTATCGTCCTGGCAAAAGTTACTGATTTTATACACATGTTTCTCGTCCTTTCTCGTGTTATCCAATTTGTCTTCTATCTGAACAAAAAATAACAAAACATGAGAGTGGGCTTTATATAAACGACCGTTACAGTTACAACTCTTCACCTTCACGTAGTGCAATGTCAGCTGGTTTGTAGTCCATGAAGAAATACTTCAAGACGAGTTCGATGGCCCATGCAACCACCAGATCTAAGACAAGAGTGATGGTCAACTTGGTCTTGAAGACTGAATCCATTGGAACAAATTTCATAGCGTCGTTCAACTCTGGGATGAACTCTGTGGAACCTGCCAATGCCAAACCAGCAACAGAGATCAGTCCATAGTACATACCCTTGTTCTCAGTGATGGACTCCTTGAATGGCTTACCTTGATAGTTCACTGCAAAGGTGGACACCTGTTGTGCCAGCTGGATCAAGAAAATACCAGTGTTCAACAAAGATGGTTCGAATGTCTTCTCAAGATCTGGCTTTGGCTCTCTTGGTTCTAATTTGTAAATCTCTGAGGTGACGTATACCAAGGTGGCAATGTGAACGGCAAATTGACCCAAAATCGATCCCATGATGTAAATGTTAAAGATACCAGGTTGTGGTCTTTGTTTGGACAGCTTTTCAACTGGTCTACCCTTGGAAATACTGAGGAAACAAACAGAGATCAACAGTCCAGAAACGGTTGCTTGACCATCACCGAACTTGACACCAGCCAAGTAAATGACAGAGAGGGAATAAGCACTAATCAAACAATTCAATGCCAAAATCTTATACATCTGAATGGTTGACACCAAGGCGCAACGTCCTTGACGAATGATATTTGTAACAGCAGAGACATTGGACAATTTGGAGGTGAATGGAGCAGCAACAGAAGCATCACCAAGTTTCAAAGTTGGTGCTTCATTTTGTTCTTCTAATTCGTTAAGAGAACCCATAAGCATGTTGCTCAATTCACTGGAGGCATCGTTACCAACAACTTGGCCCTGAGCGTTAACGACAGGCAATGCGTTGTGAGTAGATTCCTCATGTAATTTACGCATTTCTGGAGTAATTTCGATACCTTGCTTCTCAATAGCCTTCAAATAATGTGGGTTAGATGGACCAGGAGGATAAAGATGGGCAATGGTTTGAGGAACAGGTGGTGTTGGCTTACCCCATCTTGTCATAAGTTCACATTGCTTAGTATAAACCTTTTGGCTGGCTTCAAGCTTTCTCTGTTCTTGGATCTTCTTCATACCTTCTTCAGTACCGTTCAAAAGCGCAACACCGATATGTGCTTGCTTCAACGCACCAACATCGTTGGTACCATCACCACACATCAATGTATTGTAACTCATGGATTTCAAAGTAGTCAAGATGAATTCCTTTTGAGCAGGTGAAACACGAGCGTAAACCCATGTGTGTCTGATCAAAGCCTTCAACTGTGGATGTTCCAACAACTTAGCCAAGGCATACCCAGTAATGGCAATATCATTGGTTTCAAAGAGTTTAACATCAATCTCATCAGAAGAGCTGAATGGGATAATCTTTGTTTCCTCAACGTTTCTCCAAATCAGCTCGTGGTTACCATGGTGCTCTTCTGGGGCATCCAAAATCAAGACCTCACGTTCAACAATCTTCACTTCCTTGGCAACATAAACAGCAGTCAATGGGTTATCACCAGTAATCATCACAGAACGATGACTAGAGTCGTTAAGCATCTGAATGGTCTCGATGGCATCATCTTTCAAAGGACAATGGAAAACGATAAACCCTGCAAATTCCAAACCTTCTTCAACATCTTCACGCTCTAACTTGTTAACCTTTGAATGGGCAATTTCATCTTCTAGGTACTTGTAAGCCAAAGCAAGAACACGAGAACCAGAGCGTGTGAATGATTTGTAAATAGCTTCATACTGTTCTGGGATCTTTGTCAATCTATGGCGAATAGTTTCCGGAGCACCTTTAACAGAGACCAATGTCTTTGAACCGATAGCAGATATAGATGAAGATCTCTTCAAAGCCGAAGAGAATTGGAAACGACGAAGGATATGGATCTTTTGGGTCTTATTCTTTCCCAAGGCCCTATAAACAACATCCTTTTCACCCAACTCCCAACCAACAGCTTCTAAGGTGGCCTTCTCCATTGGATCACCAACAACTTCACCGTCATCGAGTTTAACTAAAGCGTGTGCAGATCCAAGAACCAAGCTGGTAACCTCTGGAGCATCGGCAGGTTTTGACAAATGACGAATGTCATTTCCAAATCCAGCCAAACCTTCAAATACCAAATCTTCACCTGTCAAAGTACCAGTCTTATCAAAACAACAAACGTCAATTCTTCCAGCCATTGGGATTCTAAAAGGCTCTGTACAATAGATGTAAAATTTGCCGAGAGCGGCCAAGGATGAATTAACAGCCATTGTAAGTTCCATTGGTAATTCTGGTGGCACCACAGAGGTGATAATCAATACACAGTCCAAGATTAACTTATTTTGGATACGACCCATACGTGTACCTTCAACCCAGACGTACCAGGATGCGGCGATTGCGAATTGCAGCAAGAACAGAATGAAGAAGAAAGCCTCCCAATTACCCACAGAGATTCTCTCTGCGGAAAAGATCATAACACGAACGAGGGAACCTTGTGAAGTTTCAAACCCAGTTTTGGAAACCAATGCCAAGGCACCACTATCTGGGGCCAATGCAACAGTTGGTTCATCTGGGGCTGTGACTTGTAGAGCCTTAGTACCTCCGTGTAAGACAGAGTTCTTATCCAATCCATCCAGTTCTAACTTATCATGTGCCGGTCTCAGCTTGATAGACTCTTTCAAAAGTGGGGTTGATTCACCAGACAGCATTGCCTCATTGACAATGGCAGAACCATCGACGAGCACCATATCACAAGGGACTGCAGAATCCTCACCTGTACGTGTCACTGAGCACAGATCACCAGGCAATAGCTCTGTGGTGTCCAATTGCTTCCACTTGTTGTCCCTGTATACCCAGATTGGGAAAGGTTTAACACCCATGGTTCTGAACTCTCCCATCGTTGAACGACGTTGGAACACCGTGGTGCATTCAAAGGTCACCAACATGAACAACGTGAACAGGGAGTAGTACCAAAACTCATCCAGTAACCACAATCCCACGCAGAACACTTGAAACACAAAGAATGGCGCAGTGGCGTGCTCCTTGAACAGCTCCCAGAAAGTTGGAATCGGAATATCGAACAAGTTCTTACCATAGAGCCTTTGCAGCTTGGACAAATCGCCCTTGAGACCCTTTGCCTGCTGCAGGTCACCAACCGTCGGCTCTTGATCTATTGAGAACTTCGGTGGCGAGAAGCTGCCGGACTTTGGGTCCAGCAAGAATCTTCTCTTTTGGAACACGAACGACACCTGCTGCTCTTCGCCCGGGTGGGACTCCCTCACCACTGGAACTATCGCTCCAGCACCGAAGTTTGCCGCCGGCTGAACAATGATGTGTGAAGCCTCATCCAGCGAACCAACCTTGACGTAGTTGAACAGCGCGTCAATCGCAATGTTCCAGTTCGGCGCCACCATCAACACAGAGTGCACCGTGATTATCGACCCGAGGTAAACAAACGTCCACTCAGAGCCCTTGATGTACTCGTCATACTTGTTCAGATAGATCTGGAAGAACAGCGGATACACAATGAGAAATGGCCACACGTAGATCCTCTGTGTGAGATCACGCGGTCTCAATAGCTCGGCTGACTTCACAGCGGCATTGTCTACCAACATTTTCCTCGTAACCAGCACCTTTTCGTCTGTTTGTTGTGGTTTGTTGGTGTTTGTTGGTGTTTGTTGATGTTTGTTGATGTTGAGCGAAGACAGCCGCCAACGAAAAAAAGGGCAGGCGACGCGAAAATAAGCGCCGCCACAAAGACAAAAGCGGTAGGGACACGTCCGTATAATGTCTGGATGTTTTGCAGTGTTTGTTTACTTCTCACTTCTCTCACAGGTGTTTGATGAACTACGTTCTGTCCAGTTGGATGGAACTGTACGGGCGCTACAGAGAATATACCGTAGTATTTCGTATTGTTGATGGTATCTCTCTCTCGTGTGCGGAGAGCGTGGGCTGACTGGCGATGACCACATCAGCTACCCTCGTTTTGATCGCTAACCATGTTCAACCTCACCATGGTTTTCCATTTCTCCTTGTCGTACTCGCCAATGACCTCATGAGGGAAGACAGACTGAGTGGAGCTGCACGAGCCTGGTGAGTTGTGCGTGCCGGTGCTCGTGTTGGTTGTCTCGCTCAGTATAGCGGGCTCGTTCCTCGAGCCCTTCAGAGGTGTCTGGGGAATGCTTGAAGAGTGTGGTTGAAGAGGTTCATTATGAGCTTTCATTGTGCTGAGGGTCTGTATGCTGCCTCTCCTTGGTGTTCCCAACGTCAGCACACTCTTCCTTCTAGTTGGAGAGCTTTGCAGCTCGTGTACGTAGGGGAATTCAGGCACGGAGGTATGGTCGTCATCGTAATCGCAGTCGTTATCAGTCTTGTAGACGATGTTCGATAGGGATAGGTTCTTCAAGGACCCCAGCTTCTTTGGAGAATTCCTCTGCGATGTTCTTTTCCTTGGTGATGAAGTTGATCCGTGGGGCGATGCATTCATAGAGGTGGTGAATGCTTTAAACGAGATGGACGAGCTCATCCGGCTATGTCCAAAGATTGACTTATGCGGTGAGCTTGATTTGGAGGTATTTGCAGTAGTCGGGGTCTTGAGTCTCTTGAGATTCAAGTCACTGGAGGTCTGATTGATACAGCTTCTCAGCTCTTCATCGTCCGCTTTACGTGCATCCTCTATAAGTTTCATCGCCTCGTCTGTAGCTGTCTGCTCGAGATCTACCAGTTCATCATCTGTAAGTATTGTCTGCAAATTTGCACAGGTCTGTCTGATCTGCGATAGCTGTGGAGCCGACTGGAATACGTTGGTGCTCATATATGGATCCACCCTGTTCTTTTCATAGTCCTCTAGTGAAATGGTGCGCAATTCACCAGTGTGTTCTGGATTCGTCAGTGCATCTAAACTCATTGCTCTGGGTATCGTTTGGATCACGGGCTCGTTATACATCATGGCATCTCCATGCTGAGACTGTGCTGCATGGATCAACTGATTTGTGCTATTCAGTTGAGGGCACATCTTGTCGTTCAAGCCTCCATCGTTTGTTGGTCTCAGATGTGGTGGTAACAACACACTAGGGATCCGATTTATGGCATCTCGTTCACGCATTATGACTCCATCATTGTTCAAATCCAAGTCCGATGCTTTATTGTCACCTTCTGAAGGCTCAGATGGTGGTGGTAAGAAGGTTGCCAATTGTGAGCCCAGCGAGTTATTGGATAATCCTCTAGGAAGGTTCTTATTCTCAATACCTGAAAGCTCTGTTGACGACTGTGATTGGTTTATCACAGAGAGCTTCTTTATGGAGTAGTCCTGGGGCTGCACCAACTTCTGCCTGCTGTTGCTATTTCTCAATGTGCTTAATGATATCGAGCCAAGTCTGAAAGCTTGATCCACTGTGCTTTGAGCAGTTGAAGGTCGAGTGCTCAAAAAGTGATCCACCAGCGTTGCTGCAGACGCCTTCATCGATACGACTCTATGGCTCTCCGTGGTCTTGTTCGACTGCTTCTCATCGTCATAATGATCAACTCTCATGGCACTGTCATGGCTCATCCACTGTTCATACGTCTCAAGCATGGAGCCAATGCTGTAACCGCTGATCAACAGCCCAAAGATGTACAGCCCAACCAATGCCTTCTCGACCTCGCCCTGAGATGCCGACATCCATGAAGCATCCGTGAGTAGAACGACACCGGCCGCAGCACTGAGCAAACTCATCAACGCTATAACCAACATCGATCCCTTCACCATTATGGGCCGCCTCGAGGCCCACAGTGGTAATGCCAGCACGCAGCACAGCTCACCAACGATTAGCGAGAGTCCAGCTCCCCTGTTGATGCTCTCCTGCTGCTCATACACCACTATCCCCAAGGCTCCGCAACCACATGACACCACTGACGACAGAATCACTGAAAACAACGACGGTATAGCTCTGGGTACCATTTGCTCTCTCTATATCCCCAGCTCTGTTGATCAAGGCAAGTAAACTAGGACAATATGGTGTTCCAAAGGGGGAAAGGCCTTCACAACTACTCTGTATCACACAGAGGGCAAGGAAAACGTCCAGGCCTTTCAATTTTTCTGGTTTGTTTATGTTTTCGTCTCCTGCTTACCCCTACGGCTAAGGCCAACATACATACGCATAAGCACAGATTCTTTGCGAGAGGGCAACTGGCCGTCCAAACCACGGCGAACTGGCACCAGAATTGCCGGATTTGCTCCCTCGTGCCTCGCCCTCGTGGTCTCCTCTGACTGTAAATCCAATCTACGGGCTGCTTCAGCCTGGAAAACCTGGTTGAGACGCTTCATTGATGGTGGAAACAGGACGGGGGAAAGGTCATGTTGGTTACTTGGGAGACGCACCATGCATCAAAGTACAGCTTATCACCGTGGCGACGACTGAAGGTAAACATCGCCAACGACCCCGACTACAACGCTGGGGCTGGCAGGTGCTGTGCTAATAATTCAGCACACGTTTCATCTCGATCAATTGATGTGTGTTTCATGATCTAAATCTATAAATCTCACGTCTCATCAGAGTTGTGAGTGGTATGGTTGTTGCTCTGGCTGCCCGCGGAGTTTCAGTGGAGCTGCACGGGTTTGCACGGTGTTTACAGTTTGCCGAATGCGGTAATCACATTGAAATGTCACGGAAACAGCCATAAAGCAAGCAGTGGACATAGGATGAGCCGGAGAGCAATCGTCTATCTACTGGAGATGAGGTTATGGAGTGGCGATGATGGAGTCCAGCTTCTTTTCACATACCCTTGTGGTTCTTCTGTGTAATTTGGCATCACAATTATGATGCTGTGGGATGCAGTTTTTAAGAGACTCAACCACTTGTAACACTGTGGGTCTGTGCGATTCATCAACTTGGAGCATTTCCATCACGATTGGCTGTAATGGCTGAGGGAACTTGTCCTGGAGCTCTGCCCTGTCGTTGTGTATGAGTCTGTTGTACTCCTTGTCGGATTGAACTGCGCTTTTCCAAGGGAAGTCCAGGTGTAACATGCTATAGAGCAGCACAGCCAAAGACCAAACGTCGTTAGCCTCAGAATCGTAGCTAATCTTATTCTGCGCGTCAGGGCTAATCAGCGACGGTGTGCCAACGGCACCCTTGGCGAAGGCATGTCCCGTTCCAAAGTTGAACGCTGTGCCAAAATCTATAATCTTGACAACGGCGTCCGTCCCAATCACCAGGTTCTCCATCTTCAAGTCCCTATGCGCAATATGACATATCGTATGGAGATGCAACACACCTTCACACACTTGCCGGAAGAAGCACATGATCTCCTCCTCCGAAGGCTTGGTCATTTGTATCAGTCTCAGCATGCTGTACGGTTCGTATTCCATAACCATCTGCACCGTCTGGAACCCATAGACAAAGTCCACACTCCTTAGAACGTTCCGATGGTGGATCCTCTGCACAATGTCATACTCAAATCGACACCGTGCGTTATACTCGCTCTTCGATTCATAAGACTCCTTCGGCTTGAACGTTTTGATCGCATACAAATGACCACTGTGCTTGTCGTAGTAGAGCTCCACTTTGGCACTAATACCCACGCCGAGAGTTATCATGCACTTCCCATACGAATTTCGACCTGTCGAGTTCCTTAAACTGCTTGTGGAAGAAGACCTGAACGACCTGATGGAGTGTGAAGATGATGGGCTCGAAGGTGACTTCAACCGTGAGCTCACAGTTGAATTTGACCCGGCCGGTGAGGAAACAGCACTAGCATGGGTGTACGAGGAATTAGTATCGATGGTATTCGGCCTGCTTACCTGAACACTGCTGCTGCTGCTGCTATTGGTAAGCTTCAGCTTGTTGAAGATTCCCTTGATACGCGAGGACGAGCATGATCCGTCGGAACGAGAAGAAGCAACAGGCATCAGCGCTCAAACCTGTTCGCTTCTCATGCGGACATTCAAGGGCTCTTTATTCATCTCTTTTGGTTACCGTGGAGATTTTTTTCCCACCTGCTGCCTCCACTTTTTCTATGACTCGGGGGTGTTGACTCCGGTGGCGGAATTGACTCCGGACAAGTGGACCATGACTCCGGTTAATTCCGACTTTTCGTTCCCTATACAAATTCCGATGAAATTGTCCAGTCAACCAAAAATTTTCCACCTTTGAGAAAACATATAAAAGGGAATTCTTTCTGGCAACGTCTTGCCTCGCTCACAGTCTGCTCAGTGTATCTCGAAGCGTCCCACACGGTCCTACAGAACTTTCGAGATGATTCGTACTCAATTGCGTTCAGTTGCGCTCGCTCAAAGAGCCTCAAGCACCCTCATCGTATGTTCAACATCCTCATCGCTCTATCCATCTACGAAGAGAAACTAACGCATCCTCCTCCCATATCTGTAGAGAAGCTATGCAATCTCCGCCAAATCTCAGGAGCTGCTCTCCAAGAGCGTGAAAGAAATTGATCCAGAGATGTCTCAGATCCTCGCTGAGGAGCGTAACCGTCAAAAGTCCTCAATCACTCTGATCCCATCAGAGAACTTCACCTCGAAGGCCGTGATGGATCTGTTGGGCTCTGAGATGCAAAACAAGTACTCCGAAGGTTATCCAGGTGAGCGTTACTACGGTGGTAACGAGTTCATCGACAAGGCTGAGTCCCTCTGCCAGAAAAGAGCCCTTGAGGCATTCGGCTTGGACCCAGAACAGTGGGGTGTCAACGTCCAACCTCTCTCCGGTGCTCCAGCCAACCTGTACGCCTACTCTGCTGTGCTGAACGTTGGTGACAGACTGATGGGACTGGACTTGCCTCACGGTGGCCACTTGTCCCACGGTTACCAAACTCCATCTACCAAGATCTCCTACATCTCAAAGTACTTCCAAACCATGCCTTACAGATTGGACGAGGCCACCGGTGTCATTGACTACGACACCTTGGAGAAGACCGCAGAGCTGTTCAGACCAAAGATCATCGTGGCTGGTGCCTCTGCCTACTCAAGAACCATTGACTACCAGAGAATGAAGAAGATTGCCGACAAGGTTGGTGCGTACTTGCTCTCCGACATGGCCCACATCTCTGGCTTGGTTTCTGCCGGTGTCACTGACTCGCCATTCCCATACTCTGACATCGTCACCACAACCACCCACAAGTCCCTCAGAGGACCAAGAGGTGCCATGATCTTCTTCAGAAAGGGTGTCAGAAAAGTCACCAAGAAAGGCAAGGAGGTGCTGTACGACCTTGAGAAGAAGATCAACTTCTCCGTATTCCCAGCACACCAGGGTGGTCCTCACAACCACACCATCTCTGCTCTTGCCGTGGCATTGAAACAGACCCAGACTCCAGAGTACAAGGAGTACCAGCAGAAGGTTGTTGAGAACGCTGCGTACTTTGCCAATGCTCTGCAGCAGAAGGGCTTCGACCTCGTCTCTGGTGGTACTGACACCCACCTCATCCTGATCGACCTGAGATCAAAGAGCATTGACGGTGCTAGACTGGAAGCCGTGTTGGAGAGAATCAACATCGCTGCCAACAAGAACACCATCCCAGGTGACAAGTCTGCGCTGTTCCCTTCTGGGCTGAGAGTTGGTACCCCGGCAATGACCACCCGTGGGTTCGACAACAAGGAGTTCGACCAGGTTACCGAGTACATCGACAGAGCAGTGGCAATTGCGTTGGACTTGAAGAGCAAAGCCCAAGGTGAAGACGCTAGATCGCTGTTGGCAAACTTCAAACAGCTTGCTGACGAGTCTGCAGAGGTGAAGCAACTGGCCCAGGAAGTTGCAGCCTGGGCCTCGGAGTACCCAGTGCCAGGCGATTACGCCTAGTTGTGTGCTACAGAAGTAAATTTAGTAAACAATCAAATATTTTGTATCGATCCTTCTCTCTCCCTGTTCTTTGTATCTTTTGTATGTGCTTATGCAAAAGGATTCCTTCATCTATGTACAGAAACATCGCCAAGCCCGATCACCAAATTGGAAGGAGTGTGATGTTAAAAAACAGAAGGTGTGTTGAAGAAGAACAAAAGAATCGGAGAGGAAAGAAGCAAACAAAAGCGGTGGAAACTAAACACATAAACAGAGGTTAGTTTAAAAAGAGAACAACGTGTGTTGAGTAACTCATAAAGTCATAAAACAAGCATTAGGAAAAACATCAGAATGACATTTACTTGTCCTCTGGCTTAGCCTCGTTGGAGCTGTTCTTGTACAAGTCCTCGAACAACTTCAAGGAAGCAGCTCTCAACTCCTCGGTCTTGGTCTTCAACTCCTCAGCGTTGACCTCCTCACCAGCTTGGGCACGAGCAACCAACTCCTTCAAAGAGTCAATTTGCTTTTGAACCTCACCAGCCTTCTCCTTGTCAATCTTTTCCTCAAACTCCTTGAGAGACTTCTCAGTGTCGTTGATGGTCTGGTCAGCCTTGTTGGCGTTCTCAACAGCCTCTCTTCTAGCCTTATCTTGTTCAGCATACTTCTCAGCATCGTTAACCATCTTCTCGATTTCAGCATCGGACAAACCAGAAGAACCAGCAACGGTGATAGAAGCATCCTTGTTAGAGGCTTTGTCTCTAGCAGAGACGTTGATGATACCATCAGCGTCGATGTCGAAGGTGACCTCGATTTGTGGAACACCCTTTGGAGCTGGTGGGATACCAGACAAGGTGAAGTTACCAATCAACTTGTTGTCACGGACCAATTCACGCTCACCTTGGAATACTCTAATCTCAACGGAGGTTTGACCTTCAGCAGCAGTGGAGAAGATTTGGGACTTCTTTGTTGGGATAGTGGTGTTTCTTGGGATCAATCTGGTGAAGACACCACCCAAGGTCTCGATACCGAGGGACAATGGGGTAACATCAAGTAACAAGACATCGGTAACTTCACCAGCCAAGACAGCACCTTGGATAGCAGCACCAATGGCAACAGCCTCATCTGGGTTGACAGCCTTAGATGGCTCCTTGTTGAAGAGGGACTTGACGGTCTCAACAACCTTTGGCATTCTGGTCATACCACCAACAAGGATAACCTCACCAATGTCAGAGGTGGACAAACCGGCATCCTTCAAAGCCTTCTTAACTGGGTCGACAGTCTTCTTGATCAATGGATCAACAAGGGTCTCGAATTGAGCTCTAGAGATCTTTGTGTTAATGTGCTTTGGACCGGAAGCGTCGGCAGTGATAAATGGCAAGTTAATCTCGGTGGAGACAGTGGAAGACAATTCAATCTTAGCCTTCTCAGCAGCCTCTCTGATTCTTTGGATGGCCATACGGTCATTCTCCAAGTCAATACCGTTCTCCTTCTTGAACTGTTCAACAATGTCTCTAACAAGGACAATATCGAAATCCTCACCACCCAAGTGGGTGTCACCGTTTGTGGACTTGACCTCAAAGACACCATTGTCGATATCCAAGATGGAGATATCGAAGGTACCACCACCCAAATCAAAGACAGCAACAACCTTGGTCTCGGTCTTCTCCAAACCGTAAGCCAAAGCGGCAGCGGTTGGCTCGTTAACGACACGCAACACGTTCAAACCGACAATTTGGCCGGCATCCTTGGTGGCTTGTCTTTGGGAATCGTTGAAGTAAGCTGGCACTGTAACAACAGCGTTCTTGATGGACTTACCGAGGTAGGCCTCAGCGGTCTCCTTCATCTTGTTGAGGACGAAACCACCAATTTGAGCTGGGGAGTAGGTTTGGCCACGAGCCTCCAACCAAGCATCACCGTTAGAGTGCTTGACAATCTTGTATGGCACTTGCTTGATATCTCTTTGAACCTCAGCGTCTTCCCAACGACGACCAATCAAACGCTTTGTGGCAAACAAAGTGTTCTCTGGGTTGACAACGGCCTGACGCTTGGCTGGAATACCAACGAGTCTCTCGCCCTCCTTTGTGAAGGCAACCACGGATGGGGTGGTTCTGGAACCCTCAGCGTTCTCAATGATCTTTGGAACCTTACCCTCCATGATGGCAACAGCGGAGTTCGTGGTACCCAAATCGATACCAATCACTTGGCCTTGCACTTTACCGTTCGAGTTGAAACGGGACAAAGTTGGCAAGCGAGTCTGTAAGCATTGTTAGTACACTGGCTCATATACACCACAGGTTGTGTCCATCTTATAAGTTAGCCGCCGCTTGCTGTTGACGCTGCCGCCGCTGCCGCCGTCCTCGAGTTGAAGATTTGCCGCCCACAAACCCCCGACTGAAAATCATCAACAAACCCCATAAATTCCATCAACGCAAAATGGACAACAAACCCATACAAAGCAAAGACAACTCACATTACGCAAAGAAGTGCGTGCAAATCTGTTAGCAAGCATTATTGTATCTAATTTGTAAGTGGAACTATAAAGAGGCAACAAAAGAGGAGTGCTAATGTGTGCTTTCCTTATTTATAATTCTTTCCAATTAGCAGAAGGAGATGGAAGGAAATGGAAAGAAAGGGAAAACATGATCAACTTTTTCGCCCATTTTTGTGGTTTTTGTGGTTTTTTTTTCTGTCTCCGATGACCGGTCGGCGTTGGGGAAATTTTTCACTCTTCGTGGAATCTTCGAGACGTTTTTCGCCCGCTTCATTTGCCGCTGTGTGTTTTCTGTGGGCGGCGTGGTGGGGGGGGGGCACTAAGTAGGGTAACACCTTGTGCGTGGTCGTGTATGTGGTGTCTGGGTGATGTGGTGTCCGGGTGGTGTATACACTTTACTAGGCCTACACCTTGAGTGCTGCGTTGGAGTTATCTCTTCCGATGCGCTATTTACAGGCGGTTATAGCCAATGTCCGTTCCAATTGTTGAGTATTCGCTGCTGTCGTCTGATCGAGAGCTGTTCCAGGAACAATTGGTCAACGCCATAGTGGAGCAGGGCTACTTCTACCTGACTGGCATAGACAAGGACGTTGACGATGATGTCTTCACGCTTTTGAGAGAACAGGCCAAAGAGATGTTCAACACTGATCAGTGTGATGGTATCCCCATGGATAATACATTCTTGGGATCTTATAAGGATCAGTCGCAACGGTCTGTCACTTTCAGAGCCTTAGAGGTCAATAAGTTCCCACCAGGTCTTCCTTATATGTCCAAGTCTATAGGAGACTCATTCCAATGCTTTGATCTGGTGTCAAATATGCTAATGGATAGTATCCTGGAGTCACTATCGATAAGATCTTCCAAATATTCAACGACCAGGGGCCACCAATTCCAAGAGATCAAGCTAATGGACACAAGATTCACCGGAGCCAACGATGCCACCAACCTTTTAAGGCTCAGCTCGATCAAGTCGCCTTTTAGAGTACAAACCACCTACGGCGAATGGCTTGAAGTAAAACGGCCCCTATCGAATGCAATCTTCGTACAAGTTGGACAAACTTTGGAATTCTTAACGGAGGGCGTGTGTGTCTCAACTATTTCAGGCCCTTTAGCATCAGATGGAGTAGACATTCAGTTCGAGTGTAACTATCCGTTGGATTATGTGTTAAGGCCTTGGAATATGAGAGAAGAGCTGGTTAAGAGACGTGACTCCAGGAAACAGCTAAGATCCGGTGTACACAGGCACCAAACGATATCAATGGCTAATAAAAGAATTGACCAGATTGTCATTTCAAACGATATACTGCAACATAGGGCAATCGGTGCTCAATTTTATCCTGAGTTATTGAAATCACTGGAGGATGAACTGCAAGCCATATCCAATGACTCCCACAACAACTTCTTACAATATGTCAAAGATTTACAGAAAATCTTTGCATCGTTTGATAATGTGTTACATATCAACGTTGCAAAACGATTTGCCGATATACCACTAGTTGACCTCGTCAGACAAGTACACACATTAAGTGGAATATCTGTTACGATGAGCGACCTCTTGCGAGTGTGCTATATATGGGATGGATTCTTGACTTTGAAACTCGATGACGGTAACGATATAGTTATTGATGTTGACAAGACAAAGCAACAGCTATCGCTTGTTGATCTCTCGAAAAGACAGGACGAGTTCAACAAGAGACTTGGCCGTTGGTGTGAGTTACACCCAGATGATCAATCCATACCTATCCTGCCAAAATCAAAGTTGTCATCAACGACAGATGCTCGCTCTGCAGAGGGCTTCAACAGGAAGAGAAAGAGACAAGAGCCACTGCAGAGATCCTCTATCCCCGTCACGGCAGATCTAAAGGGAATGTCATTATTGGATCGTATCAGAATGAAGGAATCCCTGAGGAATGCCAACTCCATACCTCCAGAGGTGAAGTATACAAGATACCTGGATTCCAAATTGGGCCGTGTACTGGACCTTATTGCCACGCTACGCAACGACAGACCGCACGCTGTAGATGAACTGAAAGACAAGGTCATCGCCACCTTTGGCATTCAGTACGCGATAAGCGAACAGGAGGCCAACGATTTGGTGATGAGGTTACCTGTGAAGTTCCCAGGAACTTTCAAACTGGTTAAGGGCAGAGCCAAAAGTGTGATCAGATGGAAGGACATTGACATAAACGAGCTGAAGAGATCGCTATAAGCTCATCTAAGACAAAACAAGCGAGAAAAGATGTACAAACATTACTCAAATATCATCAACATCAGTGTAGATTCCAATGCTTTGTAGTTGTTGGTACGCGCAACACAGGTATAACGGGGTACTTTTTGCTCATTTTCCACTTTCTGTAGCCAAAAACACACGTTTACACATCGAAACTTCCCAAACAACCATTGATCAATCTCAAGTCCGAGTGCATCCGTGCTGACTCATCTGTTTGTTATCACCTGTGGGCTGTTTTTATAAATTCAATTGAATCTGCCCTCTGTTTCAGACCATATCACATAACGTATACGCCATCACGATGAAAGTCACCCCTTTGACCAAGATAATATTCCTCTCCGGGTTTCTTGCGGCTGGGTTCCTGCTGATCATCCTGTCGTGTGCTCTGTGGTCCAATTGGTATCCTCTCTATGTTGGTGAGTGGAGAATCGGGTCGTGTCCTAGCTGCGCTGTCCCTTGAATCGAAGAGCATCACTAACAACACCCCCATATAGTTGGTATCTTTCTGCTGGCACCTTTGCCGAACACCCTGTTCACACGCTCCGAATTTGATGACTTCATGAGTGACTCTTCAAGGTGAGTGGTCTCCAACATTGTATCCCTGTTCTGCTTACAATTACTAACACCTCTGGCCCTGATGAAAGCAATACAAACGACTTTGCAAAGTTCATCACCGCCTTCTTAGTGGCCAGTGGCATCGCACTGCCACTGGTGCTATACCACACCAGACTCGTCGTTCTGCCTGCAACCATAATGAGCACCAGCGGCGGCCTACTGATCTACACGTCGATTATCGTCTTCACCCTGTTCTTTCAGGATAGCGAGGATGAGTTCTAACCGGTATAGCACTATATCGTTATAATCATTATATTATATAGCCACAACATAATCCTGCGATGATTCTGAAATAATCATGCTTATGTAAGCATACCAAGTATCTTACGTAACATATTACAAACCACACTACGGGACACACACCCCACCATCTCCTCAGCACAGTTGCCTTCCACACACAAAAAAGGCGGTGAAAACCCCTTCCCTTCGTACTGGAGCCGGCACCATCATCAACAACAAAGAACACCTGCCTAGCCAGCGCCTCCGAGCAATGTCAGCAGAGAAGTACTACTCCGGCAGCAATGTACGTATGCTTGCTTCTACGCCCTCGCCACGGTGGATATCGCCATGTTGGATATCGCCATGTTGGCCTTGATCCTCCCCCGAGGTTAGGTGTACGGCTCTTACTAACGGGATGTGTCTCTGTATAGAACTACCAGGCCCCAGCTGGTGCACCACCACAGAACTACTCGGCCCCTTCAGGGCCTCCACCGAACTTCAACAACGGCAACAGTAACACAGGCCAGGGCCAGCGTGGATTCAACGACTATCCGCAGCAGGCGTACCAGGGCCAGCAGGGCCAGCATGGCTACTACCAGCAGCAAGGTCCACCACAGTACGGAGGACAACAGGGCTACTACCAGCAGGGCCCTCCACAGCAGCAGGGCTACTATCAGCAGCAGCAACAGCCTGTGTACGTTCAGCAGCAACCGCAGAGGGATAACTCGTCTGACTGTTGCATGGCGTGTCTCGCGGCGATGTGTATCTGTTGTACTTTGGACGCTATCTTCTAAGAGCTACGAACAGGGCCTTTCTTTCTGCTTTATTATGTGTGGTTTATAGCCTATATCAACTTGGATATCCACTGTGTCAAGGTGTTGTACTGCCATTGCAAGTACACAAGCTCCTGCTGCTGCTGTGGATTGTGGAGCTGATGGTCATGATGAGCTATTCGAACTCTTCTCGTGGGAGAAGGTGGGTTGTACCGTTGCAACTGGGCGAAATCTCGCTCCCACTGGAGAATAGAATCTTTGTACCGTTTATTTGTAATCTTTAGCCTCTCTATTTCATCCCTGTGTAGTTGTAACGCGCCGTTGGCGTCATCAACCAGCCTCAAATGCTGCTCCATGGAGCTGTTGAGCCTCTGCAATCGACACAACTCCTTCTCGAGCGCCTGTGCCCTGCCATTGCTCTGCTGGAGCTCTGAGTCCATCCGCCTCAACTCCTTAACCAAGATGGAGTTCTCCACGTGGACATCACCAGCGGCATCGCCATAGATCGCCCGCTCCAACTCCAGCCGGTCCTCCTGGTTCAATATCGACACCGCTGAAGCACAGAGAGACGACTTCAAGCCAAAGACACCGATCCGTACAACGAGAATACATAGTATGTAGAGCTGTCTAGAGTCACCCTGCGTTAACCGCTCCACGTCGAGCAGCAATCTCAACCTGCTCAACTCGTCAAATCTCTTCACCTCGGCAATGTGGAAGTACTCAACCAGCCTATCCACTACAGAGATCGCAGTGTCCCCCTCGCCGCCCGCCAGCTCGAACTCGTCATCCAAGATGAGTCTGAACACCAGTGCCAACACCTTGGGGTCGCAAAGCCTGCTGAAGCCGCCCTCCAGGCCAACTGAGCAGCCTGGCATCGCCAACAACCATCGCTCAACAGAGCCCATAAGCCTCAGATGTGATCCTCCGCCCGTCATCACCGTCATCACCGTCATCACCGTCTTCTTCCGCGTAGAAAGGACACTCACTCACGCTTCAGTATTGAAATCTTCGGTGTCTGTGGCGAGTCCGTCATGTTCTTTGTTTGTGGATTCTTCCTTGGACGCTTTTGTTTACTTTTTAAGGCATTGGAGGTCACATCACCATCACCAGCGGCCTTGCCAGCGGTCTTGCCAGCGGCCTTTGCAGTCTTCTTCGTGGTGGTCTTCCCAGCGCTCTTCGGCTTAGGCTTAGGCTTCGGTTTATCACCGGTGCTCTGAGGCTTTGGCTTCTCACCGTCCTTCCGCTCCTTCACAGCAGGCTCTCTCTTGTCAGCCGCCTTTCCCTTCCTATTGGGCTTCTTCTTTGGATTCACAGCCTTGGTGGGAGCTTCTAGCTTCGCAGGGCCCAGCTTCGCAGTGTCCAGCTTCGACTGGCCGTCCTTGCCGCCTTTCTCGCCCTTGCCCCTTGCCGCCTTGCCCTTAGCCCTCTTCTGCGCCTGCTTCTTATCCTTGGCCTTGGGCTTAGGCTTATCCTTAGCAAACAGGTCCAGCTTCTCGAGCTCACCTCGCTGGTACTGCAAGAACTTGAGATACTCCGGCATCGCTTCAAAGGACTTCTCCCTGCGAGCATCCTGCGGCATCTTGTTGAAGAGGCTCTTCATCACCATCGGCCCAGCATCATCCTCACCATCCTGGAACTTCAACCCCTTAAGCGAGTGAACAAACGCATTGGCGTACTCAGCAGTCTTGAACGACACATACGCTCTCGAGTAGAGCACGTTCTTGTACGGCTTGGTGGGGAACAGCTTCCCCTTCATGTAATAGCATCCATCTGTTTGCTGTCTGTTGATCTTCACCTTGTTCCAGAACTCTTCAGGCTCGAGTTCCGGTGGCAGCAGCCGAACCACAAGCTTGACGCTGGTCGTGGGCGGGGCCTTCTTCTTCTTCTTCGTCCTCTTCCTCTTCTCCTGTGTCTTCACCTTCGTCTTGTCCCCCTGCTTCCTGGCCTGTGCGGCCCTTGGGCCCTTGCCATTATGTCCAGCTGATGCCGTTGCCTGGGCACCATTACACACACCATTCGCCGGGCTCAGACCACAGCGGTCCGCCCCAGACGGCCTAGACTGCTCTCCTGGTGATGGTACTGACTCAGCGTCCATTTCCTGGGGTGCTCCACGGTTCAATTGGCCTGTTATCGTCCTTCCTCAGGCTGAATCTCGTCCTCGTCGTACTGCGTCACAGCAGCTCTTCACGGGCTCGGAGGGCCCTCTGCCCACTGAAATTTTTTCTGCCGTTGCTGGCCCTTCCAACCTCCTCCCACGCACAGGCAGACAGGCAGACGGACGGACAGAGAGCCCAAGGGAGCGCAAGAGAGCCAACAACAATGGACGCTTTGCTGTCGAATTTAAGGACCAATGACCCCAAGGTGCTATGTGACTTGCTCTCCGTGGACCTACGGAGTCATTCATACCAGATTGCCTCTGTGCAGTCGAGCCTACGCTCGGTAGATGCCTCCCAGATCAAATCTCATGTTGAGCAGTACCACTTGAACGATGACTGGTCATCGTTCGAGCCGCTGGTCGTGAGCTATCTATTGCTGTGTAAGGACGTTGATCCTTGGTCGATACTGCAGTCACATGACCTGTACCTGTCCTTCTTCAATGCGCTGTCGATGGCGTTCATGAACTCGCAGTATGGTGAATCTTTATGTCCGCTGTTCCAGGAGACTGTTGGACACATCATTCCAATGGTGAAGAGAGTGGACCTGGTGCTCAACCGGCTGGATGGCAAGAAGAACAAGCGACTGGTGTTTGTATCGACAGTGCTGTCGAGGGTGTTCAACCACCTGCGTGCGCTAAAGGGAAGCCCGCGCAAGAAAGAGCTGATCATATTCATAGTCAACCACCTGAACTCGGTGTACTTCACGATTGGCAACCCGTTGCTGTGTGCCAACATCTTTGCCAACGTCAATCTGCTGGAGCTAAAGTTTCAGAGGTTCCCCATGTCTCAGCAGGTTCAATATCGGTATATCCTTGCCCGATATTACATCATCAAGAACCAGCTGTCTAAGGCTCATCACCACCTGAGCTGGTCATTTAGACACTGTCTCAAGGGATCCACCAATCTGATTCGGATCCTCAGATACCTGGTTCCCGTGTCCATGCTTATTGGGAAGAATCCCAGCAAGCAGGTGCTGATGAGATTCCCAGAGCTACAAGCCATGTATGGACCTCTGGTGATCCATTCCATCAACGGCAATCAATTCGAGTTCCAAAGACATTTGTTCTTGAACCAGCACTACTTCAAAGCAAGAGGTCTCTTGGTGTTGTTGTCACAGAGGTCGAGGATTCTGCTCTTCAGAAACTTGGCCTTGAAGGTGTTCCAGACTTGCGATGTCAATCGGTTGCCATATGCCAAACTACAAGTCGCCTTTGCCAAATCTTTGAGGACTTCAGCTGAGCAGTCTAGCACTTTTGGTAACCAGGCATTATACCAAACGTTGAATGAGCCAATGGACCTGGCATTCGTCCAAAACGTGTGCTGCTCGTTGATTGAAAACGATATGGTGAAAGGTAACGTTGTTGCCAGCTCCAGATTGGTTATCCTCTCCAAATCAAACCCCTTCCCGTCGGTCTATGCCAACTACACCTCAAAGTATGGCATCAACGGCAATGAGAAATGGATGGACTACTGAGTGATGTTAAGGAAGAGCTATTATACAGCCCGTGTAATAGATATGGCATGGATAATTAAACGGAGTATTAAAAAGGGAAAGAACAACAAGGATTGAAACGAAAAAAACATAAAACAGAACATGTCATGTCATGATAATCATAAAAAGTATTCACTTCTCTGAGTCTTCTGCGGAGCAGCCTTCTCTGTATCGTCTGGGACTGCACTAAAGATCTTGAATTTTGGTTCTAAATCGTCATCAACTTTCATCACACTCGCAACATTACCGCATCTATAGCAGTAGTTTGGCGCACTCCACACGGTCACGACGTCCTTCTCCTTGAAGTGGTACTTGAAGCCTTCCATGACGAGCTGGTGGGCCCTGGCAATGAGCTGTAAGTTGTTCACGTGGTTGAACTCACGCGCAACTCGTGAGCCAAACAACCAACCGGCACCACGAGGACTCACTTGCCATGTTTCAACCTCGTCAGGATCACTCCAGACCAAGTCGCAGAAGCCACCTTCGTGTGGAACCTCCTGTGCTCTGGAAAGAACACGGATTTGGTCAAGCATGCGAATCTCTGGTGATAGCCCGCCATGGACACATAGAATACGGCCATCAATGATGGCAGCCAGTGTCAAAAAGTCAAACACCTGGCAGCAGTACTTCCACACGGTGGTGGAGCCATACTTTGTCAAGCACTCCTCGTAGAACCCATACACCTGTGTGATCTGTCTGGACTCGTGGTTTCCTCTCACAAGGGTCAGTCTGGATGGGTACTTCACCTTCAGGCACATCAGCAGCGTAAACGTCTCCAGGGAGAAGTAGCCCCTATCAACGTAGTCTCCCAAAAACACGTAGTTGACAGAGTCCGGCAGCCCACCACTGGTTCTGAACAGCTCCAGCAGGTCGTGGAACTGGCCGTGTATGTCACCACACACCGTCACTGGGCTCTGCACGGGCTGAATGTTGGACTCCTCCATCAACAGCTCCTTAACCATCTCACAGAGCAGCTTCATGTCGGCCTCAGGAAGGTGCTCGCACTTCTTGATGGTCTCTAACCATAGATCCGGTCCTCTCTCTGGCATCACTTCCAATCCTTCTAGGCTCCTTTAGTCCTGGCCCGAAGCTCTCTCACTGGAGCGTTGTCCGCTGACTGTGAAAAGTTGTGAGCGCAATTTTTGGTGAGGGAGTCGCTGTGTGCGCCTGCCTACCAGCGTCCTTGCGTGGGTCTACCAGGTTTGCCGGGGTTGATTTTCGCGAGTTTGGGAAATGTCCGAATAGGGCAATTACCTAAAGAGGAAGTTGCACGAATCGCATCAACGCATTGCTCCCACACGCAATGGGAGAAGTATTTGAATGATAGTAATAGAAATAGCAAACCGGTCCCCAGATGCACCCAAAGTAAGCAGAGCCGTAGGTAACACTTTTACTAAGAGGTCTGCAAAGTATGAGCATGTAACCTTCAATACAGCCTGAGATACCACAACTCATAGTTTGTATGGTATAATAAAAAAGAATACATAAATGTGCTTACATCTGAACAACAAAACAATCAAAGGGAGATCTAGCTCGATTAGACAATCGCACTAATTTCCATTGTCCTATAGACAAAATCTGAATTCGATTGGACTGGTGGTTCTTGCAGATAGCCGTAGGATGCTGTGTTTGCTATCTAGTTCTGGTTCTTCGTTGCCCTAGCAATCGTAAAAATGTAAGGATGTTTCCAATTTTAATAGGCATTGTTTACATTTCGGATTCTTATCAACACAAAAATGACACAAAACAAATACAGCTTTATACACAACGTTGAAAACATCGCCAAACAGTGGCCATAAACAAAGGATTAAGCAAGTAAAGAAGAAAGGCTGGAGAACAACAAAAGAAACTCCAAAGGACTCTCATTGGAACCTTCCAACGATGTCCTGAACTTGGTGAAGAAACATCCGCGGCTAATCCAGAACCACAGCGGCAACTTCAAACGAATGGAGGCACGACACAACAAGAAGGCACAGTTATTGTTGAGACAGACTAACTAAGCTGCTGTGAGAACAAGATACGGAACAAGAAACCTTCAAGTTATCTCACAGAATACCCATGCAGAGATCACAGATGTACCACAACGGCCGCCATGACCTGAACCTGAACCTGAGCTTGATAATGGAACTATAGCTGATAGAATAAGAGGCAAAGGAAGAAATGCAATACGCGTAGCAGAAAGAGAATTGGAAGAAATGCAATACGCGTAGCAGAAAGAGAATTGGAAGAAATGCAATACGCGTAGCAGAAAGAGAATTGGAAGAAATTGGATTTGATAGAGCTTTGATCATGATCCCGACTTTGAACACATCATTGAGGATGACACCAACGGTTTTAATGAGAATGATGATCCAGTTTATGAACAACAACAGCGGAGACCTGAGAGGCCACAGAACATGGAGTGAAATCCAGGTGGTCATGAAAAGTGTAGCGATTATTGTCAAACACTTGTTATCAATGCTGAATTGCCATCTTTTTGTTGTGACAGGGACAAAGTCTTGGTCGGTGAGGCATTCAGAGAACATCCATAGTACATGAAGGATATATTATTGGATCCAGTCTCGGTGAATTATTCACGAATAATCAATACAGCTCTTTCGCTATTATCCTTGGATTCTAGCTTTACTGGTGATTCGAGAGGTGAAGCTTATTTAATAACCATCAACAGACGTTTATTCCACAGAGTTGATGGTATGATAGCTCAGGAAATGGTCAAGAGAAGTTTGCTGAGGCTTATACGCTAGATCTAGGCTCAGCTACAAATGGTCACCTTGAATTGCTTCGAGATGTTCTTCTAAGCGACGAGGAATATAATATACTTGAGGATTACATTAGCAAAATTGGTGAATTTCCATCTCAAAACGATCGTTCTACACAGCAGTTATATCCCGCTAGAGAAATTGTTCAACATGAAATTACAGAGATGGAATTAACCAGAGAGGAGACTATTGTTAAATTTGCCAATATTGAGCCAACAGCACCAACAAATTCACTATCTCAATGTTACTGCTACGTCTTTCAACGAAGAACGGATGAATAGAATCCAGTACATTTCCTGGATAATCTTGCTGAAGAACTCTACCTGACCACTGCTATAATGATTTACCAACAAAATATGGCTTATTATCGTCTTCAACAACACAAAAATAGAATGATTGATGCATGTCATACAGGAACGGAACAGGAAGTTGAAGAGAACTCATGCCCAACGACTACACCGCCAAACCATTTCGGAACTGTTCGATACTCCAATGTCAAACTCCAAGATCTGATGACGATAGTCAGTCAAGATGATCCATCAACGTCGTATTTGTGTTGACTAGACTGGCAAATATAAAGAGGGATTCCCAAGAAAGACTCCATACTTGGCGAAATTTAGATTGGTATCATTCTGACATAGCCTCACCATACACTGAATTGCTACCGCATATACGAAATCACCATTTTGTTAACGGACGGAACTGGCACATAGTCAGTACCCGACGTGCCGTACAGCGCAAGTTGATCACGAAGGTAGCGATGATTCGAGATTTACGAGATCGTTAGCGGAGATCAGAATCGCCTTCACTGTACTGAAGCACTACAGATCAAGCTGTCCGTATACATTGCTGTACAATCATGAGGTGGCTGTTATTCCCTCAATGTACAACTTTCTCAACCAGTCATTGTTATTAACGTACAAGTAAAAATAAGATCCAAGTCTAGAGGGAGAGAGTTTTAACTACCATCCTGCATCAATTTCGAACGATTTGCAGCAGCCAAAAGTTGCGGAAGTTATTGGGAGTGCAGTTTATAAAGATCATCCACCCCGTGATCACCTTGGTTTCAAAACCAATCTCCAGGCTTCTCACCAGAACAATAGAAGTCATCACAGTACAACTACGATGCAAGGAATAGTTTACTATGGACCAAACGATCTACGTTATGAACAGAACGTACCAGAACCGAGAATTGAGCACCCAGATGAGGTGCTTGTCGATGTCTCGTACTGTGGTATTTGCGGTACAGATTTGAAAGAGGTTACTGCTGACCCACCCAACTTTTTCAAGCATGCTGGTGGTAGCGACCCATTAACGGGACTCAAGCCACCTCTCTGTATGGGTCATGAGATTGCCGGTACTGTTATGGAGGTTGGTGATAACGTTTCGGATGTCAAAGTTGGTGACCATGTCGTGATTGACCCAAGCACACACTGTGCAGATAAAGATCGCTTTTACCACTCTGAGCTCACGGCCGACGAGGACTGTGATGAATGTGAAAAGGGCCTCACAAACATCTGTAAGAACATGTCTCTTACCGGACTAGGTGCACAGAACGGTGGATTGGCTGATAAATTTGTCACTGCTGCTCGTCATGCTGTTGTTGTTCCAAAAAGTATCCCATTAGAGATTGCTGCGCTAGCACAACCCCTAGCGGTCTCTTACCATGCTGTGAGAATCTCCGGATTCAAAGAAGGTTCCACTGCGCTCATCATTGGTGGTGGAGCCATCGGACTTTCAACGATTCTGTGTCTCTTTGGTTTTAAGGCCTCGCACGTTGTGTGCTCCGAGCCTTCAAAGATTAGAAGGGAGAACGCTGAAAAGCTGGGTGCTATTGGTTTTGATCCAACATCTGTCAACGGTAACCCGGTTGCTGAATTGCGTAAGTTATCCCCAACTGGACACGGGTTTGACTATACCTTTGACTGTTCTGGACTGGAAGTGACATTGCAAACTGCCATTCATGCAGCTGCATCCAACGGTACAGTTGTCAACATTGCTATCTGGGGTAAGAACCCAATCAGATTCTGGCCAATGGATGTCACTAAACACGAGAAAAAGCTCATGGGTTCGATGTGCTACACAAGAGAAGATTTCGAAGGTGTGCTGGATTGCTTTGCTCGTGGTGATATCGATGATGAGAGGGCAAGACGCTTCATCACCACAGTTGTTTCCTTGAAGAATGGTATCGAGTGTGGATTCGAATACCTCCGTGATCATAAGGACTCGGAGATCAAGGTTCTCATCACGCCTAATAACCATGGCGAGCTGGAGTACTCAAAGTCGTTCACCAGAATCCACGAGCATATTTGAATGAGTGTTTATTTGTTCTCTGTCTCTATTCAGCTTTGCATCTGGATATACGTCTACCTGGTGAATACCAGCCACCGTGGAATCTGGAAGACTGTTATTATCGATATACAGAATATGGAATTGTGTGTGTACTATGCATATATATATATATATATATGAATCACAATTCTACAATACCTCATGGACGAGCGCATTGTTCAATGCGTTCCACACATGTGCCCTGGGCCCGCTGGACTAGATGACATAAAACAAAACATCACCATCACCAGGCAGTGTGCTCTACGAGCCGTTCTCCATAAACGAAGACAGGAAACGTTCCCAGGTATAATCCAATCACACACTCTATCTGTCATAGCTGTGTGGACCCGAGTTAAAAGGGAGAAAGTGGTTATTCCATACAATGAAGCAATCTCTGGTCTGCAACATGATGACTTAAGGGCATCGTGGAGAGCGACACCAAGGGAAGGGTTCTGTCCGATGCCTCTGACAAAGCTTCCTCAATTCAGCTACAAGAAATGACAACATCTAACCACTAAGTAGGATGTTGTTAGATGTTGTTAGATGTCGTCAGTTGAAGCAGTTTCCAGTGTCTTTTAGCCCATCTTGGCCTTCGACTTTGGTTCTCAGCACTCATGTTGGCTCACTCGTCGCTTGCATGAGTTCAACGCTTATGTTGAGATGCTTTCATGTGGCCAATGGATCGCTGAATTAGACTGGAAGCCAAAGGCTGTTACTCTCTCTCTCTCTCTCTCTCTCTCTCTCTCTCTCTCTCTCTCTCTCTCTGGTGCTCTCTTTGGTGCTGCTTTCTCCATATATGCTCCAGGTGCACCATACGACGACAAGGCTGTCTTCAACCTCAGAGTCCCACTCTGAGATATCTGTTACGGTATGCGTGAAACTGCCTGGGTCAACAGTACTGGAGTTAGTAGAGGTGAGAGAAGAGAACACGACTCTGTTCAAGGACGTTGAGCATTCAAAGGGCTCGATATCCCACTGTGATGAGCTCTACTGTTCGCCTGAGCGTCTCAAGGTTAATGCTACATCTGATGAGTCCCCATACTGTGGTATCGCCAACGAGGCTAAGCATATTTACGGCATCCCATGCTATCCGGAGGTTACTCACCTTGAGAAGGGTAAATCCATGTTGAGAAGCTGTGCCGTTCATGTCTCTGAGGCCAGGCAAACTGGTCCATGGAGAACCTCACCGATACCGAGATTAACAGACTGAGAGCCCTCGTTGATCCTGACACCGAGGTTATCGGTGCTGTCTCTGGTTGTGTCGACTCCACTGTTACTGCCAAATTGACGGCTGAGGCTATTGGTGACCGTATCCACGCCATCTTGGCTGATAACGATGTTTTTAGAAAGGTCGAGGCCAAGAACGTAAAGGAGATATAGACTGCTGGTTTGGGTATCAACTTGACAGTTATCGATGCTTCAGATGAGTTCCTGGATGAGCTCAAGGGCGTCACTGACCCAGAAAAGAAGAGAAAGACCATTGTTGACACATTCAGCCATGTTTTGAACGTGAAGCTGCCAACATCAGGCTAAAGAGAGATAAGGAAATCAAATTCTTATTTATATATATTATAAAGAGAAATTATGGGGAAAGAGTGAGCTATATAAGGAACCGTCCTCTTACAAAGTGATTGGGTCGTTCTTCTCTCTCTTGGCCTCACCGTACTTCTTGATTCTGATGGCTTGCACAGCGATGAATCCGGAAGCCTCTTGAGGTTGGAATCCGGTCAACTCATCCATGGAGGATTCGGTAGCATCGTACAGCTTCTCAGTGGAGGAGGATCTACCGAGGATTTGCAATGAGCCCTTGTAAAGTCTTGCTCTGACCTGTCCGTTGACTGTGGTTTGAGAAGGCTCGATCATGGATCTGACGTACTCACCTTCTGGTGTGAAGTACAACCCGTTGTAGAGGATCTTGGAGTAGGAAGGAGTGACGAACGTGTCTCTGATGGCACGAACCTCACGGTCCAAGGTCAAACCTTCCAAGTCGATGTGGGCAGATCTCAAGATGGTGAAACCTGGTGTCTCGTAACAACCACGGGACTTGATACCGATGAATCTGTTCTCAACAATATCGATACGACCAACACCGTTTCTTCTTGCAAGCTTGTTGGCAACGAGGAAGAGCTCAACTGGGTCAGTGACCTCCTTAGCAGCACCGTCGTCTGTGTAGCTCAGCTTGACTGGCTTACCCTTCTCGAAGAACACGGTGAAGTCCTCTGGGACGTCTGGAGCGTCGGTTGGATCAACGGTCAACTTCCACATGTCCTTTGGAGGTGTCGTGTCTGGGTCCTCCAAGATACCAGCCTCAAAGGAGATATGACACATGTTCTCGTCAGTGGACCATGGCTTGGCCTTTGTCTGTGCCACAGGGATGTTCTTCTCGGAGGCATAGTCCAAGAGATCCTTTCTACCGGCAAATCTCTCAAAGAAAGCTGGGTCTCTCCATGGAGCAATGACAACAACGTCCGGCTTCAACGCATAGAAAGACAGCTCGAATCTCACCTGGTCGTTACCCTTACCGGTACAACCGTGAGAAACGGCAAAACATCCCTCCTGCTCAGCAACCTGGATCTGTGCCTGCGCAATGACAGGTCTTGCGAGCGAGGTACCCAGGAGATAGACGTTCTCGTAAATGGCATTCACCTCAATGGCTGGGAACAGCACGTCCTCGACAAACTGCTTTCTAACGTCGACAAGAACGTACTTGGAGGCACCAATGGCCAAGGCCTTAGCTCTGGCGGCCTCAAAGTCCTCCTCCTGACCGATGTTGGCCATAAAGGCAATAACCTCGTAGCCCTGTTCAAGCAACCACGCAAGAATCACAGAGGTATCGAGACCACCGGAGTAAGCAAGACAAACCTTTCCCTTTGACATTTTTTCTCTCTTTTAACTGTTCACAGTTCAATTGGTTCAGGAGAAGAAGAAGAGGAAGAGGAAGAAGAAAGGAAGAAAAGTAGGGATGAGTCTTTATAAAATTTTCGATGTGTCCGTGGAGACAAATTTTTCCCTCGAGACCACCCAGCGTTGCCAGGGGGATTTTCAACTTTGGACAGAGCGAGACAAAACCCCCCACCTTTTTCGGTGAGTCCTTCGATGTTCAGCAGAGCACTAAAAGAGAATTGCGTACGGTGGGGACACAGCTAGAGGTTCATAGCATCAATCGGTGCTCTGAATACTGGAATTGGGGGTCAATTGGGCCTTCTCTACGCGCTTCTTTCCCTGCTGTGTTGTCCTTCGTTCGAATTGCCCGTGGCTTTATCTCACCGATCCTTGTCCCAGCGTCGAAAATGTCTTATCTTGAGTCATCGGTACGCGCCGCATAATGCCATTTTTTTAGTTGTCGCTTTTTTTTCGAAACAGCCGGCCAATCAGCGTCGAGCATCAGCGGCCACGGCCAGGGTGTGTGGGTTTTATCGTGCTGGGCGTGCTGGGCCTATAAAGCAAGTGTCGTTGGCCTGGATGGAGTGCACCTCGACTGGTGCTCCTTGTCGCGGTGGTATTTCAGTCCAGAGAAAGAGAGAGGAAAGTATGGTCACGTGATCTGGAACTCATATCCACGTGACCCACCCTCTCTCCTCCGGACGCGTCGCTCACGCGCGCAAACAGACAAACGCGAAAAGTAGAAAGCCCACCACCACCAACGCCACCTTGTTTAGATCTCCAGCTCATGGCTGAACACCCTGTTTGATCCCTATAAACCACCCAGCAAACACACACACGATGACCACTTACCAACCGTACGGGGGCTACAACAACGATTTCGGCAATGACTTCAACTCTGGTGGGTTTGACAACAACAACGGAACCAACCAGGGCTCATCGCAACAGCGTACGCAGACCCGCTCGAGCCTGACCCCGGTGACCATCAAGATGCTGAACGAGTCCACGCCACAGGTGCAAGATGGCGAGTTCATTGTCCATAACATCGAGCTGAACTTGGTGTCGTTCTGTGGTATTGTGCGTAATATAACAGACAACACGTCGAATCTCGTGGTGCAATTGGAAGACGGTACAGGTGCGATTGAAATCAGAGCATGGATCAACGATTCCTCGCCTGACGAACACAAGGACCTTGAAGTTGGGAAGTACTTTTTCGTCACGGGCTCCCTAAAGGATTTCCAAGGCAAGAAGAACGTTCAACATGCCACGTTCACCAAGGTTGACGATTTCAACCAGGTGATCTACCATCAGCTGAGTGCCATTGACGTTTATCTCAGAGCCAACGGCAAACTGGGCAGTGATGGAAGTGCTACTAAGCAGAAGGAGGCGTTATTTGTCGGTGACGACGATAACAAGACCACAGGCTCGAATCTAAGTATCTCTGATAGGATCTTGGAGTGTATCACGGAACACACTCCTTCAATGCCCGAGGGAGTCCCTGTGCAATTCATCGCACAGACACTCAACATGCTAGTGGACGATGTCCAGCTCTACTGTGGTAAGCTCACCGAAGACGCAAAGATCTTTGTTGGATATCACGAAAATGGCTATTTAGCAGTGTGATTAATTAAATCGTGATATAGTATATATTGTCCGAGTGCATGAGTAGTAGTAGTGCTAGAGTCTCAATGAGGAGGATGTAGTAGAAAGCTCATAAATGGATCATCTCTGAGATCAACTCCGTCCTTACACAGGTCCAGACATCTGCCTACATCAATGTCAACATAGCTATGCCAAAACTGTTGTAATGGACTAGGCTGGAACAGTATTTCCCTCTGCTCCGCCGTCAAGGAGAACATCATCAGCAGGTACCAAATCGAGTAGTTATAATAGATGGAAACCCTTCTCATCTTCAAGCTACCAAACTGTAGCTTGTTCATATGCCATTGGGGACAAAAGTTCAGCACGAACTGGTTATTCTCGAGCCTCTTAATGTCCCAGATGATCCCAGTAAGCTTCTCCTGTACCTCTGTGCTGGTTCCTGAACCATTAGATGCAACACGATGCAAGAGATTGTTGAGACAGAGCAGGTTCATGGACGAGGCCACGAGGAAATAGCTCAAATCGTCAAACAGGTTCATATGGAGTATTTCATTTGAGAGGAAATTGTCCTGATCATTGCTTCGAAACATGTTCTCATGTCCAGTCAAGATCGCATCGCAAAGTCCCACGAGCATCAACTCATACAGATTCATAAGTATTCCATAACTTTGCAGTTGCTCAAACTTCTTCAACGAAGAAGGTGAATCGCTCCAGGTCTCAATGTTAAACACTTCCTGGATGAACTTGGAAATCCTTGTCTTTTGTGCATTTGACGCTGTGAATAGATCAATCTCGTGGGTTTTGATACATCGACACAATGCATCGATAAACTTGCCAAAATTAGCATCAAAATCCCTAGCGTGGAAATTTGGTAAAGAGTCGATAAGTTCTATGAACAACTCAGTCGTTATAGCGTTATCTTCATGAACTGGCGGATCATTATCTTGTTCTCTTGGTAAGTCCTGTGCCAACGAATCTTCATGAATAAACATCTCCTGTTCTGAGCTCAGCCTGGATACCTTGGCCAATGTTCTCATGATGCTAGCAACATCCACTAACTGCTCAGTGGGTGTATCAAAACTCTTGTTGCTCCTCTCCAGCTCTTCTTGTGTATGGTGCCTCAGCCATGAGCTGTAGTTGTGGAACTTGTTGAACCCGTAGATTCTATGCACTGTATAGCTGTGATCAATGAACTCAAGGGTCTCAAAGTTTCTCGTAGTCCTGGGTACTGGCCCCCTCTCTGCAGTGTAGTTTTTGAAGGTATAGCGTTGACCATGGACACAGTTTCTGTTGGACCTTTGACAGTTAAAGCACACGGGCTTGGTCTCGTCGCACTTGATATGCCGAGTACGACAAGTGATGCATCCATTACGTGACCGTGTCCTGTGTCTCGTCGTGTTCGTAGCCCTCACCGTGTTCATGACATGTGACTTCTGTAATGAGTCTTCGATCGTTGTGCTTCCCACTAGTATGTCCTCACTAGGCCAATGTGGAGTTTAACTAAGCGTTGGGAAGACAGGGACTGGGGAAAGGAAGTTGAGGATGTGAAGGTTGATCAAATCGCCGCCTTTAAAGAGTCTTGTCTTGATCTCTTGGGCTAGGCTAAGAGAGGTCCGCCTCTTTCTCTGGCCAAGGCTTGTCCAACTTGACCTAGGGTTTGTCTCCCTCTCTCTCAAAATGCTCTTTGCGATCGAGTTGGACTGATCAGGTTGTGATCACTTTGTGCAAATCGATATGAAAAAATAACAAAAGGTACAAGGTGGGACAAAGGCGGTTCCGCTTGTCTCTTCTTGATGTCTGCTCGCCCTGTGTATGAATGGGAAGGACCTTGAAAGGACGTGGGATGAAACTCTGAACTGTAATGGTACGTGATTATACTTTGACTGATCAACGAAATCGGGGTATTCAATTTTGGAACGGATTGGCTATAACAATCGGGAGAATAACAGATCAGTCTCAAAGGTAGTAGACTCGAGACTTGAGAATCCAGGCACTCGTGTTTCTCAAATATGATTCGATGTTGAGACGAAAAGAGAAAAAAAGAAAAGAAAGGCAGGCCAAAGGTCACTGCCCACGCTTTCAATGTTCGTGCTGATGCGGGGGACGAAAGGCACAAGGTAAAGATGGTGATACATTAAGTGGAAGGTGAGAGAAGAAGAAAGAATAAGGCGAAAATAAATTGAACGTAGAACCATTGAAAAAGTTGCAAACGGACTCTCATCTCGGTGTGCTGGTAGTAATCCAACAAAAAGGATGAAGAAAAACCACGTACTGCAACTTGGAAATGCAAATTACGCAGTGGCTGCAACCTACAGGACGGGACAAACTTTATTTTGAAAGTGTGTAGTGTTACGTCCACCTGTGTGTTTTTCCTGGACTCTTGTATACAAATTATGTATCCTATGGACAAAAAAAATGAATGATCAACAGAGTTTAAGGCACATATACATATATGCGGATTATCGCCGACACCGCTGCAGGCTCAAGTCAGTGTTGTGACTAGCTGCGGCGCTGATTTACAGCACAACGCAGGCCAGTCCTATGAATTGCCATCCTTCTTTCTCTGGTGGGGACGTGGAGGCGCTAATTGCAGCACCTATTAACCTGCCAGTTTTCTCAAAGTGAAACCACTTTGCCGCTGGCATGTCTTTTTCCCACGGCGGTGCTGTAGAGAGTACATGTTATGCTGTGAAATTTCATTTTACCGGGATCAGTAACTTTGAGACACAGGTGAGAGTTGGTACTGCTTTTAAAGCAGGGAGAAAGTAGCCGGGCGCGCGCATTGGAAGTTGCATTTGTATATCCTGGTCAAAGTTTCATTCAACTGCCCTTGTAAGTGGTTCAGCGCTCGTTCCGGCTGGAACTCAGGGTATGGGCGACTAATTTAATTTCTTGTACGTCCACGTACGTGATACGTATCCTAGGGGATCCCATGGGTATGATGGGGTATTATAGCTTACTGATACAGTTCGTGTAACACACAGGTGCGAACAATCGGACACGCTTGTTGGCCTAATAGAGCGTGGCAATCAGTGGTACCACCATTATACTCCATGAACGTCTCTGAATGTACACTATGCAAAATGAATGAGTATGTGCCTTGGTTTGGGAGAATCCTTTGTATGTCGAGGTCCGTGTACACAGCTGAAATGGCCGGAAGAGTTCTCCTGGTCTTGATCAGTTTATTTCTGCCCTTCTAAAACTTGCCCAACAATAGTCTCCAATCCTCCTTATACTTCGATTCATCACCAGCACTCATGAATGACGCCCGACATTACACATATCTCCCTTTTTTAGTTGAAATACTAGATACTTCTAGGAGAAGGCAGCCAATATCAAACAAGGACGTATCACACGCACTTACACCGGTTTCCTGACTCGAAGAAACTACCTTAGACATCTCCTGAAAAGTTGCGCGTGACTTTTCATACCTTCATCCAGGCCTCTCGCAGCCATATCATTTTTCCAGTGCTCCGCGATAACTTCTGTAGAGAAGCCTGATTGCGAAACATCTGACTACAGTTGCAAGTTGAAAGGTAAAGTTTCAACAATAAAATATAGCCAAGCATCAACCGTTACTCCTTCCTCCCAATATTCCAGGTTCAAGCCTTTGCATGATCATAGTCTTAGTGGATGTCAGCCTCCAGAATTCGCTTCTGCTTAATGACTGAATCCTACGCTGTTGAACAGCTGGACGCTGTTTCTTACACAACCCACCCATGTCTCCTTTCGCCATCTACTTTATTCTTGAAGATTGGTGGCCGCCCTGGATCGAGACGTGAAATTATGCAGTCAAGGGAGCGAACACTGCATAACTCTGTAATAAGATTCTTCCTCGCAGTGTCATACGTCATGTTTCATGACTTTACCTTTACTCTCCCACCTTAAATTTTAATGAATAGTAACGGATTAGGCAAACAAATCGCCGCAGAATAAGAACGCATTGGCCCATGCAAAATGACAACCCTGCCACAAGACTACAGCAACTTTTGGATAATTGGGGATGTACTCCTGAGGAGACGAGCATGTGCTTATAATTTCAGATGTTACAAATTCACACTTGTACGTAAATTATTTATGGTTGAGAAATGTTTAAGGCATTTTCTCTCTTGAACAGTTGCTAACTTGACGTTCAAGCTGCAACGCGGCTGTTGGGCGAGAAAGCCACTGCCAGCCTTAGCTTAGTCATGAACCATAGACTCGCAGGCCACCATAAAATTTATATGTAGTACATAAACTCGTATGTACATTCGTACATGATACATATTAGATTGCGCAGTCCTGGAAACTCTCTGAAGAAGAATCGCGGCGGAATCTTTCTTCTGGTGGTGGGGGGGGGGTTGGTACAATTTCGACTAATGTGGAAGAAGTGTATATAGTTGTGGACGGTGGTCACTACTCAGGGTCTATTGTAACACGAGAAGGTTGGTATGTGCTTTCAACTGTGGTTTGTAATGTCGAGGGGGTCCAGCTATGAACGTAACTACAGCTGAAACTGCTGTAGAGAATGGCTGTGTCTAAGTAGTGTGATTTTAAGAACTTACAAGTTTTAACTAAGATCACCAGATTTTGTGTTGACAAACAGGGGCCACTTCCAACAAAGCTCTCTTTGGTCTATAAATCTCAGTGGTTGAGATGACAGTCGAAGCCCGTTTCGAACTGCTCCGTTATTATTGCAACGTAATGGGTATTTTATGAGTTCCTGGTTATCACCAACTAAACATATGTGTATCTCAGATGCATATAGAGTAGTTCTGCATGTTATTGATGATGCCACGTGTGGTTGTAGTGGAAGAGCATGCTTGGAAGCAGGGTGTAAAGAACAAGCAAGCACCGCTATTCACATCGGTAAAAGTCGACAGGTTGTTGATATTACCTGTCGAGCATGAACTGCTTCTTCTTAGCTACGTCCAAGTGTCAGGGCTACGAGTTTATAAGCCGTACATATTTTGAGCAGTTGAGGATTTCAACTATCATACTGTAATCGTGATATGAGGTTTAATTTAAACCCGTTTATGCACATTTCTTTGATTCGAGTTGCCTAAGGAATACTAAAGATTCATGTTACAGTAGTATTTTGTTTATATATCACGTCTAGCCAGTCATCTACTCGGACGGGATGTATGTGTGTGCGATGAAGCCAATCCTGCTATTCGCATTTTCACTTATCCGAAGGAACGCTCGATGAAACTTCGTGCAGAAATGGGAAAGGAATACCTTCATGTTAAATGCAATAAATGCGCATGGTTCCTAAAATAACTCAGTGGATTATGGTCCTGCGAAGCTTTTGGCGGTGTTTTGACCTTGAAGTATATGGTTTCCAACTACGTCCCAGTTTTGGACAGCGCATCTACCAATTTTGTAATGGCCCAAACTATTGCAACTGAAAGTTTACCACATGAAAGGACTTTACTCATTACATTGAATGATTTGGCCAATTTTCAAGTTTTCCGTACACACGAGTTGACCTTCTATGATATCATGGATCGTAGTAACGTGTCCAATCGCGTGTCGAAACTTTCAGCTCACCACCGCCATGTTGATCTATGAGTTGGATCATTTCAAGATTCTTCATAAAGTTGGTTGTAACCGGTCCTGAAGGATCGAGGTGTGCATATCCAGAGTTTAGTTAGCTCTAAATACAGGCTCAGCAAGATAGTTGAGTCTTTTATACCTCGCAGTAACAGCTGATGTTTAAGAAACGTTTTACTGAAGATGCCCCTGGTTACCAAATATTCACTTCGTTTCGATGACTCTATTCTTACGCTCTGGAAACGAGAGATCAACGCTATCAAAGGTTGGAATAAAGCTGAAAAAGCAGCGTATAATGTCCGATCATTCACTGTTCGGCCTCAAACCCATATTCTGCTCAACTTTGTTCACAAATCATTGATCAGTAATCACCTTGCAGAAGTCCTAATTGTGAGTAAACTTTAGACTACATAACACTCGACTTACCTTTGTTCACTCCTCAGTCACAGAATAGCACTTGCTGCCTGGCTTGGTGTGCATAATATTTTGTGCATTTACATACATATCAGGGTATACGGTGTTATGCGTAGGAGTTTACTTACTCGCGATAGGTCCTAGTCAGCAGATTTTTAACATCTGCCGAAGTGAGAGCAGCTTGCTGGTTGGAGAATAGTTCGTGTTGCTCATATCTGGTATATGCCGTGCTGGTTTATTTCTTAGAACTTGATCATAATTCTGAGTCCATAAAAGTTTGTAATGCTATAGCTGTTCTGCTCTGCAGAGGGACATGAACTTACGTCTCCATGTATTCCCAAGAAAAGTGGTATTTTGGAACGCTTGTCTACCCGCATTCTAACACACAGATAAAACATAACCTAATGGTTTCAAGTGAATTAAAATGGTTGACAATAGTGTACGTTCCCTTACATTTAGATTTATGGCTTAAATCTGGTCGATCTTCAATCAGCACATGCAATTCCGTCGAATTCGTTGAATCTACATGATATGCTCAGCAATTACATGATCACCGTAATCGAGTCAAGCTTTGGGTGAAAATTTTCCGAATAGTATTCAGCGGCAACTTGAAATAGAGCATATATTAAGCCGGTTATACAGGACACTTTAAGCCGTTGGGACGCTGCTCGTCCTAAGCCCAAGATAGATGACCTTGTCAATGATGTAAAACAAATAAGTAACTATACAAGCAATCGTGAATCAAAGTACAGTATGATCACGGATCTATGACCACAATTGGTGAGAGTTTATACAATTACAATTGTGTGTGTGGATAACACCCGGCAAGTCATTTCAATTCATATCGTAGAGCTCATGCCAAAGGGTGCTGGTCATCAGAAGGATGCAAAATTAGCCACGAAGATCACCTTGTGTGACTGCATCAGGCGGTTTAATCTTAACCCAACAACTATGACTATGAACTGAAAAAAAAAGAGTTGAGTCAAGCACCTTGGAGAATTTGACTCTCGCCTGAGACGTGATGCTTTGATTTCATGGTACGAGTTTTTACTGATCACCGCCACCGATTTAAGTGAGATCTGCACCCGGGAACAAGTACTACTTAAAGGTCTGAGTTTAGATTCCAGCCCCAGGGTGATGAAAAAAGTCTATAGCAAGAACCTTTAAAGACAGTTGAAAGAAAGAATGATCAGCAGTTAGAGAATACTTATTTCAACCTACAGACTTAGTAGCTGTTGGTGCTTCCTGTGTGAGTGTCTGGTGTCGATACCTCCACGTTTCAAGCATTCCGAGTCTCGTTAGAAGATGGTCAAAACGTATAGTTTCCAGCAGTGTAAAATTTTAAAGGGTCATGGTTACTGCAATCATTGTGGTAATAAGGTCTCCTTTATTCATCAACCTTCCCTGTGTTAGACATTTGTGAAGGGCTCCTTCAATGAAAGAGAAACGTCTTCTTTTTGAAATGAGAGCTTAGCTTCAACCAACGTGTTCGTAATTTGTTCTCTTGGTGTGTTATTATTCGAATGCCGCTCCTTCTCCTCTGTCTCCTTGTTGACTTTCCTTGTAGACGTTATAACATCCTTCTGGCAATATAAGTATACGTGGAATTCGATATATCCTTAACGGTATGTATGATTCCCTGTTGAAGGTCTCGTTCAGTTGAAAGTGGATTCAATAACAATGATTGGAGATATATTCGATCATCTAATTAGCACACAGATGTAAATATTCTATGACTCTAGAGATATAATCCAGCGTTTGAAAAGGCGCTTTCTGAAGCGTATTTAATTACCATGAACAGTAAAACCCTCATAGAATAATTTTTTTGGAAAAGGAGCAGGCCTTATTGAAATCACTCAAATACGTCCAAAGACCTTGACCAGGTCATCCAAGGCCGTGTGATCATATAATATATCCAAGAATGACTGTGTTTCATGTATTTTGATCAACTCATAACCAGTGAGCTTTTGTTGTGGCTCTTGAGGACAACTAATAACATCCTGTCCATAAATCTTAGAGGTTCAAAACAACTTTGGATACGTACGACAAAATAAAGACAAAAACTCAGAACTGAAGACGACAGCTTACGTGAATTCACTAATATGTACTTTGTCAAAAAGAAACTAGTACAATCAACAAGGAGTACAACTGTTAAAGCTCAAATGTGTCTTTAATTAGTCGTTGCTCAGTGAGAGAAGCTGTGTTTATAGCGCAGACATGAGAATCTGTTCTATTGTGAACACGCAGCACCACATTGTCAGGGAACCCATTCAGAGGTAGGCCTGTCAAGTGACAAATGCAACGGGTGATGTCCTAACAAACTTTTCAATCTTTCCAGGTGAATCTTCTCTAGTTGAAAGGGAAAGTGACAGTACACAGGGTGCACTTTCTACAGCACTGTTGTTTCTTATTCTGCCGAACAATCATACGTTAACTCTTTGAATAGTGATGGCTGTTGAAAAGAAAAGTCCCTAGCCTCCACAGTTGAAGCAGAGGCTAATGGAAATCCTTAGAGCAGTACACTTTGGTGTTGCGAAGTTGATGTTTACCATACTCTGACCTCCTTTAGTGCCTCAGGTTTGATCGCCCTTTCAGGCAATCCGTTCTGGTCCTATATTAGAAAAATACTAGCACACGGCTATAATTGGTCAATGCGTTAAAAAATGTGTACGTTAGATCTCATTGGATAGGCCATTTCCCAAAAAGATGGTACTATCTACTAATCATGCCATGTACAATCGTAACATCATATGGAAGGCCTAGAAATTGAGACTCCGTATAAGGTCTTACAGGTCGTTCTTCTTTCAGGCTCAGGCAAAACCTTCAATGTTAGAGGTTGTGATTTAGAAGCCCAGATAATAACAGGAATGTCAAGCATAGTTGGAGGTCTAAGTGTTTGAGATGTTGTGAATCCATCGCAAGCCTTCCTGTGAGAAAGATAGATACATATATCTGGTTCATTTAAAAATGAGAGTGTCATTGCTAGTTGAATTACGCAATAGCACGTATCAAGATGATATAGACAGTTTTTCCCTATCATTCATAGTTTTAGGGGGCTCTGATACGTGTAGTTGGTCAATTTCCAATACAACTTTAATGACTTCTCGACAACCAGCACCTTTCATCGCAGTTCTAAATGGGTGATTTTCTTTATGATGGGTCTCTTCACATACCAGCGATGTTGGAAGATAAACTACCCATTGGTTCTTCTTATATTCATCTATGAATATATATTCTGAAAAAAAAATCCACTAACAAGTTTTCACTTTGTTAAATTATGGACTCAACTACCGTAGGGGGAAGTTAATTTGCGTCTCTAAAAAATTCTGGTCTTATATTTTCCAACCCAGCATCTGGATCGTATTCCTCCTCACTGCGGGCCTCAACAATTTCCCAGCAGTCCATAAACTGGCTGCTTGTTCCTGCGATCATTACAGCCCAATGGCCATAATTTAGCTTCTTCCACTTGGAATCATAGAGCTAAACTGTGCTTGATTAAGCTGGTATGGTAGTATCAGCTCTTCCTAAACTTGTCGGCCAAGCTCTTCGGAATGGAACAGCTTTAAACTTACAGCTTGGCCAAATTTCCAACAGTTAAGTTCTCAGCTAGCTCGATCAAAAGACTCTAAATCACGTGCAACTTGTCCAGTTCCTACGCTTTAAGGCCGTGCTTCCTTGGTCAATTAACCTCACCGCTCTGTCCTGGACATTTCCTCGTCGGATGGATCACTTCTGAAATAACCTTTGGCGCATCTATGACTTTTTTTATTGTCCTTGCAGCGGAACACATGTACGAGTTGGTGGAGGAAGTGTGTAACCATCTCCCTGTACTTGTCAAGTCTTTAGCTTGGTAGATTTACAAACATGAAGCTCACTACAACTGTCTTTTTGATAGTAGAAAAATAGGCTTTGGCCGTTACTGTAGGTCATGCGCGGTTAATGGAATGTTATGCTCAACGGACGCAGGTTCTGCAAATGCATGCGATTTTAATCTGTATAAATCGGATATAACAAAAGCTGCTCGCACATAACTCTAGACCAAAACTTGTTTCTTTAGATGGCCGCACTGGCCCGGGTACTGGCCTAACCAGTCTTTAATATCAGATCACAATTTTCCCCCAAAGGCCGGAAGAAAGAGAATAGTCGAGATGGTGCGTTTACGTTGGTGTCTCTGTTTTGTTTGTTTTTCTTTTTTTTACGAGTTGTAGAAGAAGTTATCATTGGTCTCAGCCCAACGCAACCAAGGACATATATTCACACTTCAACGGGCAATGTCGTACAACGGTATTGGACTTTCCACTGCCAGGGGGTCAGGGACTAATGGGTACATCCAGAAAAACACCACCAGGGTCTCTGAATCAAAGTACAAGAGACGTCAGGAGAATAAAAGACAAAGCGAGAAAGTGGCAAAGCTTGTAACTGTTAAGGATAAGTCCCTTGTGGATAGAGAAAGAAGGAGGGAAATTGAACTCCGCGTCAGTGAACTGAGAGATGAACTAGAAGATCAGGACATGGATGGCGAACTTATTGATGAAAAATGTGATCAACTTCGACAAGAGTTGCTACATCCGGCCAAGACGCATCGTAGGAAAAGTGATCGTGTTGACAAAGAAGTTGAATTGGACTACTAGACTCACATTAAGTGCTGCTATGTTATATTCGCCATATAAGACTGTTAAGTAGGAAGGGACTGAGAGCAATTGAACATATTGTCTGACCAGAAATGAGATCTATCTCTTCAACGCTGTATTATTCACCAACAGCTTCTTCCCAGTGATGTCAACATTCTCCAGGTCCCAAAGAAGCATTCTGAAGTCGTTGTAGAACCAGATGTCACTGTCAAAGGATCCGTTCATGAGGTAAATTTTCATTTTTGACTTGTACCGTGGGTATGTGATGAATTTCTTGATATAGTTGACCGTGAGTGCTTCCTTTCTGACCTGTGACAATATCTCGAATTTGACGAGCTGGCCCTTGTTGTTGCGGATAATCTTAACAAAGCTCATGTTTCTTGTGTTGAAGAAACCACACAGGTCATCGTGGATGCTGTCGGTGGCCAGCCTTGAATCTTTTTCGAATTCAATGGGTTTTATCTCGTACGAAGGACACTGGGGCATCTTGACTTTCAGCTGCTGTGAATTCGTCACCATTATCCCATCATGTTTAAAGGACCCCATGTTCGTTACATGTGTGATGTAACTGACTTTGTAATTCATCACATCAGCAATCAGATCGTCTATCGTGTTGAAGAAGAGGAAGCGTGCGTTGAGGCTATCGTTGAAGGGGCGTCCTTGTGTCTTCGATCTACTGGCTTTCTTCTTGCCAACGATTCTACTCTCCCCAGGCAAGGCATAGTGCTTCTTCTTCGCTAATCTCAGGGGCTCAAGGTCGGAGACACGAATCACAGTTGGTGGTATCTTGTTCTTGTTGTTATTATTTGCAACTCTCTCATGATGGATCAGGTTGTTGATCTCGATTTTCGATTGTGCTTTCATCACTAGTCACTGGAAGGCTTAAACGCTGTTGCTCCACAGAGTGAGGATGTGCATAATCATATGTAAATTTGTCTCGTTTATATACCTACATCCCATCTCCTCGTTGCTAATGCTCGTAGCTAATGCTCGTCATTAGCGAGTTGTAATTGTCCCCTCATCAGCATTTGCTGAATTCTTCGTATTGTCTGCGATCATGCCCTATGTTATTACCAATTCAAGTAAATTTCACAATTGTGGGAGTTCCAAACTCACAAATTTAAAAGGTGTCCCAAAACCTTTTCTGATAAGCCGTCCGTTGTAAAGGAACTGGGGGTGATCATGATCGACGTGGGGTTCATCACATCTTCCATGCGGGATAAAAGGGTTGGAAAGCTTATGAGAATACGTTGGCTTGTCACATAATATCTTTGTTCGACTGTACCGTCAGTCCTCACTAATGATTAGCAGTACAGCACAGTTCTGGTCGTGTCTGTCCCCTTTATCGGCGATTTTTATGTGTGTATTTCCAGGAAAAATCAGAGTCACTAACTGGGGAGAAGATTATTGAGATCACATGAGTATTACAGCTGTAAGGTTGTAATTTCTTTGTTCTTTAATAGGGGAGTTTAAACTTTTCTTGATAATCACATGTCCTCCAAGCCCCAACTGATGTACGTGATATTGAGAGTTGACTACTTGAAAAGCATTCAAAAGGCTCCAAAGATCATGCACCGAATGTACAGCTGAGGCTTTGGTCTCCTGCTGTCCTGGGAGCCAGACGGGGAATAGTTAAACAGTCGCTACAATGCAGCGATGGAAGTTGAAGAATTCGAATCATATTCAATCATTCAACACTTAGGTTGAAGTAACCAAACGGTCCGGCGGTGGGTGTCGGTCATGGCCATATCTGTTTCCATCTTAGCCATGCGTAGAAGTTGTCGTTATCAAACTTCGTAGTGCTTTGAGATTTCGGAAAACACGCAGAATTATTCCCCCAATTTCACCATCCTGTACATACACCACTGTGTACTCAGGCTTCACAGCCCAAAAGTTCCTACTTGTATAACACTGTGGATCATTACATACGCTCATCTGTACAGTCATTACATGTGTCTTCCCTTCCAGATCTTTCCTTCTTTGCATGGAGATGCAGTGAGAACTCTTTTGGACGTTGTGGTCAACTTGGGCCACTTTGAACGATTCATCAGCTCGGACAAGCGAAATACGCTTCCGCCCTCACCCTTGCATCATACATACAATGTAAGTGATTAGTCCACGAACCTGACCATGGACAAATATCCCAGGAGTAAGTTTCAGCTTCCCCCCTCCCCGCCCCACTACTGGCCATGCACTGTAATGGACGAGCAGGTTGATGGCTCGCTCAACGTACAGTTAGTCATATTTACTCCTGCGTTTCAGATCTAAAAGTAAAAACGATGCCACCGGCATGGCCGGTCCATTTCATTCGTCCAGGTACGCAAGTTACAACACAGTCCCTAAACGTAAGTTAACACCACCCACATCACGGGTCTTGAAACGTGAGCACGCAGTCTAGACTCGGGACACTACTCGGCATAGCATATAAGAAAAAGTACACTTAGATGAGTCGTGGTCTCGCGTGGAGCTTGTCCTAGGGTCTCTGAACTAATCGCTCGTATAATGGAGAATCGTAAATTTTAGTTGTCCATAGGTTTGCGGTTCGCCAACGCACCACGTACATTCTAACCGTTTCTCTCAGCTTCTTGTGGCTGCAATGTACGTATTGGTGGGTAGTGCTATTTTGTCCACGTTTCACATATTCTCCTTGGAGCCATTCCATGACTAGGATCGCTTAACATGAAACGTATTCAGGCTGTCCTGTGCAAACCAGAGAGCACAGCCTCGAGCTCAGTAAATAGGGACTTCCGTCAGCAGTTCCACAGTGGGGCTTATATCGTGTTGTCGTCATGTCTTCAAATACAAAAGAATTTGGTTTCTGTCCTCAAGACTATAATCCTCCTCTGGCTTGGCTACGATCACAAAATGTTAAAGAAAGCCCACAATGCTCAGGCCAGCTTATGGGGGGGGGGTCTTTTGATGTCTTACGTGGTCTGGACAAATCCGTACCTTCTTCCTGCACCGCCGTTGTCCAAAAGTCTATTGTCGAGTGTCCATTTCTGAAGCCGGACGCAGGCAGCGTTTGCTGTACTGCAAAGCAGAGAAAAAAAGAAAGAAAAAAGACAGCTTCAAAGGAAAAAACATGGAACTGCTCTTTTTATAATTCTCTCTTAACAGACACTTTGTCCATTGAACTATCTGTAGTGTTTGTTGTCTGGCGTGATTTTTTAGCTATAACCTTAAAGAATCATCCGAGATGGCAAGAGTTGGCGAAAGGGTCGTGAGGATTGCTATCTTCACTGTTGTGGTCATTGCGGTGTTCACGTTCATGACAAAGTCCTCGGGCGTTGTCTACCAAGGATCATCTGCCGATAAAACAGACGTTGGTGATGTCAGAGGAAACGGGCAACAACAGCAGCAGCAACAACAGCAACAGCAACAACAGCAACAGCAACAACAATCGAAACCATCTTCCTCTTCTCAGTCTAGTACCGGAATCACGATCAACGGAGTGACAAAGGATCCACTCACTGGAAGAATCAGTGGATACGAACGTCAAAATGCTACGTTTGTATCTTTAGCAAGAAACGACGACTTGTGGTCCCTTGCTGGATCTATCAGGGCTGCTGAGGACCGTTTCAACGGTAAGTATGGGTACGATTGGGTCTTCCTCAACGATGAGCCTTTCACCGAAGAGTTCAAGAGAGTTATGACGCGTCTTGTTAGTGGTGAAGCCAAGTTCGGTGTGATCCCTAAGGAGCATTGGTCTTACCCTGCTTGGATTGACCAGAATAAGGCCGCTGAGACACGTGAAAAGATGAAAGACATCATTTACGGTTCCTCTGAAAGTTATAGACACATGTGTCGTTTCGAGTCTGGTTTCTTCTTTAAGCACCCACTGATGTTGGACTACCAATACTACTGGCGTGTTGAACCTGATATCAAATTCCACTGTGACATTAACTTTGATATCTTCAAATTCATGGTTGATAACAAGAAGGACTATGGTTTCACCATCACAATCCACGAGTTCCAATCCACAATTCCTACTCTTTGGGAAACCACCAAGGCCTTCATCAAGGAGAATCCAGAAGTTGTCGATCCAGATAACTTGATGTCATTTGTGTCCGATGATAACGGTAAAACGTATAATCTTTGCCATTTCTGGTCCAATTTCGAAATTGCCAACATGGACATTTGGAGAGGCGAGGCTTATCAGAAGTACTTTGAATACCTGGACCACAATGGTGGCTTCTTTTACGAACGTTGGGGTGATGCGCCAGTCCACTCCATCGCTGCGTCCATCTTCCTTCCAAAGGACAGACTGCACCATTTCGGTGATCTCGGTTACTTCCATGGCCCATACCATCAATGTCCTATCGACGACAGTGTCAGAGAGAGAAACAACTGTGTTTGTAAGCCTGACGAGGACTTTACATGGAAGGGCTATTCTTGTACGTCCAAATTCTACGAGGTGTTTGGATTGCAAAAGCCTGTTGGGTGGGAAAAGCATACCGGTTAGACTATATATGTGTATCGCTCAACTAACGCCACTACATTTAGTTTTTAGTCAAAGACCTGTGTACATGTGTAGAACCTCAATATTCGCTGTCCAGGACTCTGGCATTTACTGCTATAGCCAATAACACGGGGATACTACGGTCTCGCTCACAGAATCTCAGTTGACTAACTCTTCAAACCTACTGTATTACTCTAAGACTTCATTCAATCGGTATCTCAACAGCTGAAAAGTGTGTATAATTAATACCTCATCGGCATGGTTAATCCATTGTTGCCTGTACCATTTATTCAAGCTCTATCCGAAAAAATGATTTCGCCCAGGATCGAACTGGGGACGTTCTGCGTGTTAAGCAGATGCCATGACCAACTAGACCACGAAACCATTTACGAAATCTCCAATGGTCACTGTTTGCCAAGTCGCTATAGTGATCTCACAGCCAGGATCACCATTGCCTATTTACCTAACAACCAATCCCTACGGTTTAACTCAAAGATGGATCGTATTAACCCATCTTATAGAATATTCCAGTGGTGTGATTTGACACTAAACACAACCCCCTTTGTTCTGTAATTGAGCTGCCAAAACATATCAAATTCACGTATACATAGAAGAATCCCAATGTTAGCGATGAGGTACCCTCGGCCGGGAAGGGCGATGAGGCTTAAGTAATTCCTCGGGACATTTGTTTCACTGGGGAACCGTAAAAACATACCCAGCTCAGCCTCTAAACCTGTTCTGTAAGATCTTTCACGGTTGGTAGGAAGTGGTGAAAGATGGCTAGGTTCCCGAGATTGCTGAGGTTCACAGCTGTGCTCGTGCTGGTGATCTATGTGTTTGTTCATAGATCAGTGACGAAGAGGCAGAGCCAGCACATACTGGAGCTCAAGCAGAAGTTGCAGCAGCCGGAGGAGCAGTATGACATAAATGGGTCGCTTACAGGCGATGAGAACCGTGGTGTGAAGGTCGAGTACCTGCCCTCAGGTGAGATTGATGCCTCTTTGAAGGTGAACGCTGCGATGTTCTCACTGGTGAGAAACAGTGATCTGCAAAAGATGGCAAGAACGGTACGGTCGTACGAGGACAGGTTCAACTCAAAGTTCCACTACGATTGGATCTTTGCCAATAACGAGCCATTCACTGATGAGTTCAAGAGACAGATATCGGTACTGGTGACGGGTAACGTGTACTTCGAAGAGCTCCCCTCAGAGTTCTGGAGCTTCCCGGAATGGATAGACAGGAGACGAGCGCAGCAGAATAGGCAGAAGAGTAGGGAAGCTATGATGTATGGAGGCTCACAGAACTATAGGTTCATGTGTAGATTCTTCTCCGGGCTATTTTACCGGATGGAAAGGGTTGCAACTTACGATTACATTTGGAGAGTTGAGCCAGAAACTGAACTGCTGTGTGATGTCCATTATGACCCTTTTAAATTCATGAACGATAACGATATACATTATGGATTTGCCCTGAGCATCTTGGAGTTCCCTGAGACAGTGCCGACTCTTTGGGAGACCGTGTCACAGTTCATTGAAGGGTTTCCTCGCTATATAAATGACAACAACCTGCTGGCGTTCATCTCAGATGACGAAGGAGCTACTTACAACATGTGTCATTTCTGGACGAATTTTGAGATTGTTGATCTTAATCTATTCAGATCAGAGGCGTACAAGGCATTTTTCCAACATTTGGATGTATCAGGTGGCTTCTTCTACGAGCGTTGGGGTGATGCTCCTATACATTCCATAGCAGCTTCCCTGTTCCTTTCGAAGAAGCAGATCCACCACTTCGACGATATAGGCTATTACCATTCTCCGAATCACAATTGTCCTATAGATGATGAGATATGGACAAAGAACAGGTGTCTCTGTGATCAAGCGCATGATATAACTTTTAGGGACTATTCATGTGCAGGTAAATTCTATGACGTTACAGGAAGAAAGAAGCCAAAAGGATGGGAAATCCATGCTGGTAAAGGTGATTACTTCGACTAAGTTAGGCATATCTCTGTTTTTTCGGTTCAATGTTATAGTGCAAGTTGGTTAAACATGGAGAGGAAGGTTCTTGTACTTGAACATATGTATATAAGTACCGTTTTCTGAATAAATATCATGTATAGGACATTCTATTTGTTCCCATCCTCCCTCGCACCTTCTGGTAAGCTGTGTGGTTCATCGTGTGACTGCTCCTTCTTGAGGTTCTCTGGGGCATCCTTAGCGTGATGGCCAATCAAACTTTTCAGTTTATCTGGAATATCGTCAAATACAAGGTCGTCTGTATTCTGAGAGACGGATTCTCCCTTCGCACTGAGGATGTCCTGGATGGTGATTCTGTCGTCAGAGAAGATCTTGTGCATGGTTAGTATACGAGAGATTCCAAAGAGTAAGATACACTAACTCACTTTCAAATGGTCAGCGATGAGATGTCTTCCTTTACAACCAGGACATGTGATTAGCACAGTTCCCTTAGTATAGGCCTGTTTGCTCATCACATGGCTAGATCTTGTGTCACACTTCTTGCAAGTGAAGGCAATCATCATCTGAGGCTCATCGATCTTTAGCTTAGCAGAGGAGCCATCCGTGGAAGAACTCTGGTAACGATTGCTAACGTGTGAAGCCAACGGCAAGGACCATCTCAAGCCCAATGGTGATACCGTAGATCCTGCTGGTACAAGCGCTCTTGGGGCAGATCTGAGTAGCTGACGAATAACAACTCTTCTGAACATGTTTATAGCACTAATCAGTGGTTAATCAAACATCAACAGCTGAAAAGTGTGCGTAATTGAGACCTCATCGGCGTGGTTGGATGAGTGGCAGTAGTAGATATAATGTTGCCCATACCATTTCCCCGAACGCTACCGGAAAAAATGATTTCGCCCAGGATCGAACTGGGGACGTTCTGCGTGTTAAGCAGATGCCATGACCAACTAGACCACGAAACCATTTATGAGTTTCCAAAATGGCACTGTTTGCTATGTTATAGAGTTGTTAAATATTATACCTATTTATGTTGGAAACATATACTGTTAGGATACATACTGTTGTTTCATGATTGTAGGAATTCCCTGGTCAAAGAGATATATACAGTGATGTATAAAAGTTATCGGGAATCGGTGGTTTAATTTTGAATAAATCAGCTATTTACAGAATAAAGGGTGGGTCCGTTTTAGGTAAAAAGAATTAAATTAACGAATACAAGCATAGACGATTCTGTAACTTATTATAATCCCGTGATTCATTGAATATAACCGTGATTCCTTGAATATAACCACGATTTTATATAAGAAGACATCACAGACAACGATACTCTGCAATTTTTGGCGTAGCATCATATTGTACACCATCCTTCTGGACGTTATATGCTCATTATTTAGTTAACACATAGCTCACACCAGCTACTACGGACTCGCCAATTACAGACCAATTTATAGTAATTGGCCCATTATTCGATAGCACTACTGTGTATTTAACAATCACAAGCCATGCTGCTGTTGATATTCACTGGAATTTAGAGGTCTCTAATACGACAAGGACCCACCATCTACTGCGATGAAGGTACCAGTGATATAATCGGAAGCAGCAGATGCGAGGAACACTGCTGGTCCTCTGAAATCATCAGGTACTCCGAATTTACCAATTGGCACTCTCTGCAAGATTCTCTGGCTCTTCTCTGGGTTTTGAATGATGTGCTGCGTCATATCTGTATCTATATAGCCTGGGATGATGCTGTTAACAGTGATGCCCTTGGAAGACCACTCGTTAGATAATGCCTGAGTAAGAGAGTGTATCCCACCTTTAGAAACAGTATACGAGACGTAATCGATACCACCAGTGAATGACCAGAGTGAACCCGTGTTGATGATCTTACCCCTTTTGCCATTATCAAGCCAGTATTTCCCAAAGGATCTTGCCAGTTTGAAAGGGCTCTCCAGATTGACCTTCAGAACTCTTTCCCACTGCTCATCTGTGTGATTCTCAGGTGCGTTCTTCTCTGCTATACCAGCATTGTTTATGAGGACATCAACAGTACCGGTGGAGGACAACTCCAAAGATTTCTTCAGCACTTGATCCACTTCAGCAATGTCTTCAGAATCGTATGCCAATGGGTGGACCTTATGAGCACCGAGGCCAAGCAACTTGTCAATGACCCTCTGTGGATCTGTTGAAGGTCTATGAACCAAGATAATCTCAGCTCCAGCCTCAGCCAAACCGGAGGCCATGCCTTCGCCAATGCCCTTTGTAGCACCGGTGATAACGACAACTTTGCCCTCAAGGGAGAATAATTGAGAGATGGGCATTGAATATAAAGAGAATCCTGGTATCGAAGTTCTTTATTCAATTGAGAATAGAAAGAAAGACATAGAGAAGGAAGGAAGAGGTAGAAAATTACAATCCGAAACAAAATTTGAAGTAATGTGCGCTTAAGTATACCATTTAGGTACAGTGGCTTTTATATGGTGCATTCTGCTTGCATGTGCTTCCCAACGGCCAGGAGGGTCGATAATGAGGGTTTACGAGAACGTTTCCATCTAAAGAGACAAGAAACCACCATCAACAGCGATGTATCCACCTGTCAAGTAGTCAGAAGCTGCCGATGATAAGAATACAATTGGGCCTTTGAAGTCATCTGGCACTCCAAACCTAGCCATGGGGATCCTTTGTAGGAAAACCTCCCTTTTCTCTGGATTATTCATGATATGCTGTGTTAGATCCGTATCTATGTAGCCAGGGATGATTGTATTCACGTTGATACCCTTCGATGACCACTCATTGGACAATGCTTGGGTTACAGCATGGATGGCGCTCTTTGATGCAGTGTACGAGACACAATTGAATCCACCACGGAACGAGTAGAGTGATCCTGTGTTGATGATCTTACCTCTTTTGCCATTATCAAGCCAGTATTTGCCGAAGGATCTGGCCAATTTGAAAGGGCTCTCCAGATTGACCTTCAGAACTCTTTCCCACTGCTCATCTGAATGTAGCTCTGGAGGATTCTTCTCCTGAATGCCGGCGTTGTTTATAAGGACATCAACAGTACCGGTGGAGGATAGTTCCAAGGACTTGCTCAAGACCTGGTTCACTCCGGCAATATTTGAAGAGTCAAAGGCCAATGGGTGGACCTTGTAAGCACCGAGGCCAAGCAACTTGTCAATGACCCTCTGCGGATCTGTTGAAGGTCTATGGACCAAGATAATCTCAGCTCCAGCCTCAGCCAAGCCGGAGGCCATGCCTTCACCAATGCCCTTTGTAGCACCTGTTATGACAACAACTTTGCCCTCAAGGGAGAATAGTTGAGAGGACATCACTAGTGGACTTGTATTAACTGATATATAAGGTCTGAGGTAGGTAAATACCGCATTCGTTCCGCTATTTATACCCCTGCAAAAAGACAATGGCAACAACATCCACTTAAGCGTGGAGGAGGAGAGGGAGCAGAGGCACACCAGAGGCACACCAGAGGCACACAGCGCATCGGGCACCTACCAACCTCCGTCCACCACCGTCCCACCACCAATACACTTGCTACCACGCGGTGCTCATCCCTGGCTGCCGTCACTTTATAACCCGTGCGCATGTATATGCATAGGCTCCAAGCAGTAAGAATGGCCACAACAGGCACACACTGCTGGTAGCAACCCACGCACCGGACCTCCACTTTCCATAGATGATCAATTGACAACACAGTGACCTTCTGCTGAAAAGAAGAACAAGAAGATAAGCCTATGAGCTTCTCTTGTCATCTTCTGCCGCGTTGCCTCGGTATGTAAGATAATCCGTGTATGCAAAACATGTGGCCACACTTAGTACCCACAGCAATTCGTCATTGGCCACCCCGGCATTATAAAGTTTGTCTATAAATGCAACAAGGTGCATCAATGTTTACATGAAGCCTCGATCACTCCTCTGTGGCCAGGAGCAGCTTGCGAAGACCACTCCTCTGTGGCCAGGAGCAGCGTGTGAAGATCACTTCTCTGTGGCCAGGAGCAGCTTGCGAAGACCACTCCTTTGTGGCCAGGAGCAGCATGCTACGACCACGCTAAAGGTGCTATCCAGCGGTACACAAAGACCTTGTGGCTTGTTGCACGTCGTGGCGAAGAGCGCATCCACGGGAGTAGCGTGTTTGTGTCATTTTGGAGAGAAGGAGTTTTGATGTTAGAGAGCCAAATGGGGACAAAAACGTGAGCTTTTGTAGTGTTTAGACAAGGGTGGCTTATCGTCGTGGTGGCCAAGAGTAAGAGATGCTTGCGTTTGTCTATGTCTTGTTCCTGTTGTCGCAGGCCTCGTGGGCCTTTGTCCACCCGATAGGGGTCCATGGCCGCTATTTCGTTGATACTGTGACGAGAGAGCCCTTCTTTGTGAAAGGAGTTGACTACCAGCCGGGTGGCTCTTCAGCTGTCACAGAGGACTCGGACCCGCTCTCAGATCCAAACGCCTGTGCCAGGGATATAATCATGTTCCAAGAGTTGGGTATTAACGTATATTTGATACCATATAGCCGTAGGCTCTGATTTGTTTTAGGGGGAGGTGGTGATACTAACACAGCCACAGACCATCCGTGTTTACTCCATCAACCCAGATCTCAACCATGACATATGTATGACGATGTTGGCGTCTGCTGGCATATACTTGGTGTTGGATGTGAACTCGCCACTTGAAGGACAGCACTTGAACCGATACGAGCCGTGGTTGACATACAACGAGGATTATGTGGAGCACGTGTTCAAAGTCATAGAGCAGTTCTCAGGCTATAACAACACCTTGGGCTTCTTTGCAGGCAATGAGATTGTCAACGATAAGAAGAGTGCGAGAAATTCACCCGTTTACGTCAAGGCCCTAATTTCCGATATGAAGTCGTACATCTCCAAGCATAGTCCAAGGTTCATTCCGGTTGGCTATTCCGCAGCTGATGATTTGAACTATAGGGTATCGTTGTCCAAGTACCTAGAGTGTACCACTGGTTCTCTATACGATTCCGTGGATTTCTATGGCGTCAATACTTACCAGTGGTGTGGTGAACAGACGTTCTATACAAGTGGCTATGACATCTTGGTGAACGACTATGAGGATTACGTTCGTCCTGTTTTCTTTTCAGAATTTGGATGCAACAAGGTGACTCCAAGACTGTTTGAAGAAGTTGGATCAATGTTTTCGAACGATATGATTGGTGTGTTCAGTGGAGGCTTGGTTTATGAATATTCACAAGAGCCAAACAACTATGGATTGGTTGAAATTGACGCAAATGGTAACCTCAAGCTACTCAAGGATTATGATCATTTGAAGCTTCAGTTCAACAGCGTTGACTTGCCAACAGGCAGGGAGATTGCTGATTTGTACACCAGCCATGGCAAAGGGCTCAAATTGGGAGCCCAGGCAATCCCAGAATGTTATGATGAGTATGACAACTTGGATATAAACAAAGGTGTCGATTCTGCTGTCTCTCTGTTACTCTTGAGAAATGGAGTCGATGCCAGAAGGGGAAAATTCGTCAAGCTTTTGGAGGAGGACTTCTTCACAACTTTCAACATCACAACTAGCTCTGGTGCTCCATTTCCAACGAATTATATGAAGGCAACACACCTGGTAAACCAAGTGACTCCATTTGAACTGATGAGACTTCAACAATTGGCCAATTCTGGTAAGTAAATTGCTTATACTGTTAACTTATCAAGCCATCAACAGGAGTAGAGAACAATACTAACAACGTCAGGAACTTCAAGACACGATCTTCTGAGATCAAATACATGGATAAAGCACATCTTTGTCATAATAATTGGGTTCGCTTTCATTAAAGGAATTTTCTCATTTATAAGCTCGTGAATAAATAAACAACGCAGAACAGCTCAGTTATAACACTTTTCGTTTCTCGAGTATAACACAGATCCATCTTTGTCCTTCACCCTTACACAGTTTGTTGATGAGAAGCATGGTTTCAACAACTCAGACCATTCATCTCTTGTTCTTGTCTTGTGCAGTTTGTAGTTCTTCAACAAGATGAACTGTACCATGCCGAACCTCTGCAACGATTTTAGGAACACGTAACCGTTGTTATTCACAATGTTATGGTCTTCATTTGTTATATCTTCTGGATCCACTGGTTTAACGTTGGAGAATGAAACGTTTGTCAACACTATCGTGTCAACCACAGGGATCTTATCCATTATTTCCTCAAAGTGATTATAATTGAGGTAAAACTTGGGAACAAACTGTGAGTTGAAATATGCAAAGTTGGAATTGGCATTTGAAGTGTTTATAACACTTGCCTCGGAAGCGTTATAGAGGCTGAATGCCTTTGAGTTCAGATCGATGTACAAGGTCCTTAAATTGGGAAAGCAATTGCTTAGTAGCACATCGTAGTGTGATTTCATCGAGACCAGCTTCAAAGTATGAACGTCTCTGAAGTAACCAGCCAGGAATCTTGAGCCATTATTCGCTATTGAACACGATGTCAACGATAAGATCTTAATTGGAGACCAAGTTACTGTGGATTCCATCTTCAATGCGTTCTTTGTAATCAGCGGACTAATCAATGGGCCCTCTTCGTTAGAAACGGTTAAAAGAGGTGGCTTTTTCAAAGAGCTCGAGTCGATGATCATTTCGACCAGGCAAAGCTCCTCGATGAGCCCAAAAGGCCATAGGAGGTTCGAACGCAATGCAATGCTCCAACCTTGCTGTGATGACAAGGTCAGCTTCCGGATGGATGGATAATAGTTATGCTCAAAGGCGTAAGTCTTCAGCGTTGAGGTCCACTCTGGGAAGCAAAACCCCGGAGAGATCTGCAGCACTGAGATACACGATAGATTCGGTAATAACGATATAACCTCAACCATCAAGGCAATATAGCTATCGTTGTCAGGTCTTGAGGAGAAGCCGAACCCAGCTATCGACGTTTGTTCCTGTGTACTCTTCACGGGCTTGTGGAACTCAATGCCATGTACGTATAGGGACAGCAGGTTCCTCTTCTTATCTCTCGATATCGCCTTTTTGAACAGCCTCAGCGAGGATTCGTTCAGCAGCCTCACGTTGTTGTACAAGAAGTACTTATCAACAACCTCTTGCAAGTACCTACAGACCAATGCCAGCGTCAACCAGTCCCTGAGCTCCAGATTCTGCAACACTTTCTGTAACAGCTCCATGGGCAACCCAAGTAGCGATAGCGGTGGATGCTCAATAGACAGCGAGTCGTCTCTTTTCTTCGTGGAGAGAACACCAATGCGACCCTTCTTAATCAACGACGAGAACATGACTGCAATCTAAGAGAACCAGTGCCTTTTCTCTTCCCGTTTAGTTGCTTTCCTTTCCAAAGCAAAGTCATTGGTGTAATTTTTTTCTTTTGGTTGCCCGGGTGAATTGGGATAGGCAAAAAAAATACGGAATAATATCACCACAGCAACAACACCCAGACACCAAGGGTTAAATAGAACAGGGCATCGCTACGATGGACGGTTAAATCAAAAAATCCATTATACACACATTATACCCAATTATTATATATAAGCCTAGTAAACGAAACCCAAGATCTTACCAGAGACGTGTTTTCTTCTGGCCTCTTCATGGTCCATGATACCGGCAGAAGTGGTCAAGATAACGTAACCAAACTGTCTGGCTGGCAACAAGTTGTCAGTCCACTTCTCAATATCACCGATTCTAACGTTGAATCTTGGAGAGATGACACCAACCTTGTTCAAACGACCGTTCAATTGAACAACAATCTTACCAGATCTGTGGTCATCGATGTACTCGAATTCACCAATGTAACCTGCATTTTTAATGTTAGTCTCTTATAAAGGCACTGTAAGTAACACAGCACGGATGGGGGAGCAAACAAGATGTCATAGAGAAGTAAACGATCAAGAGCACGAGACTGTTCGAAAAACGAAAGTTGCTCAGCATCGTGTAAGAAGCATCTCTTTTTTATTCTCCCGGACACTTAAAAGACAGAGTGAGACTGAAAGTAAAAACAACACTCCATCCAGTTATAAGCCCGGTGTATATATAGTATGTGGTTGTCTGTTGCCCCCACAAGTGCACATGTACAGGTACAAACAAATGGAAAACTTACCATGCTTTTGAATGACTTGCAAGAACTTGATGATGACCTTAGAGGAAGGTCTAATGATGACTTGTCTCTTACCGGTCTTCTCGGCGTTGTTGATAGCGTTCAAGGCATCAGCCAAAACAGATGTTCTAGTCATTTTTCTATGTTATTCGGCTTCGCAAAAGTCGGTTAGTAACATTAAAACACACAGACACATCACACATCGATGAAAGCAACATGAGTGTCCTCCATAGCAAAGCACAAAGTCTTCTGGGGAGTCATGAGCTGAGTTAACGTAGTAACTCGTAAAGGAAGGGGGGTGTCAAGTCCTGGAGAGATGTAAATTAACATCATCATCGGATGATTGGTTAAATTACTGGCCATTCGTCTCCCCATGGATTCCTTGATTCCCATTCCTTGAAAAGTTCAAGCACAAGGCACCGTTATATATACGTCTCATTGTATATATGCCTCGTGTCTTTGTGTGTCAATATCAGACAAAACATAGCTCTCATATCAGTATCAATCGTACTCACTGAAAAGGTTTGTTTATCGATACAAAGATACAAATATCTGATACTGAGGAGGAGCTTTCGAACAAAAAGTGAAAAATTTTTCGTCTCCCGGCCTTGAAAAAAGTGTCTGTTGTGTGTTATAAGTGTAAATCACAGACCGGTCTAAAAATTACAGAGCGACGGTTATGAGCCCTTGGAGAACGCGAAAATTACCTCTTAAGGAACAAGCACTATATACATTCAATACTTCTCTCTCTTTCTCTGTTTCTTATCCACCGCAGCTTGGATAATCGATTGCTTCAGCATGAGTTCCGATAATGAAGATAAGCGTGTGTTCGAAGTTGTGAGTTACTTCTATATCGAGCAGAGTATCGTATACTAACAGGCCATTGTGAAAGATACGGCCTTACTGTGTTCAACTATCACAAGTTGCATTAGCACCAATTGGTGTATTTGATCCCAATTCTTCTCAGGTTGTTGAATCACTAAGGGAATTGTACTCTCACTTCAGGGAGTGTGTGAATGAGAGTACGATACTGTCGACAAACTTAGCAGACTATGTGTTTTTACCACTGTCGTACCTCTTGAAACAGCCGAAACTCGGTGATACTGCAACGACCTATCTGCTGAGGATTCTAGGGTTGATAATAGAGCATTGTTGGTCCTCTCCGGGCTCCTTGCCCTATGTTCTTGCCAAGCAGCTATTTCCTTTGGTCACTTTTCTATGTGGTGGGTCGCCGAATCCAAATGATCGCTCTGACATTGTATCTAAGAGCGATACGTTGAAGTTGGCTGGTTCCTTAGCGTTGGAACAATTCTTCAAGGCTCTTGTCGTCCAAAGGGACAGCAAGATTTATGACTTCTTCAGCAATACTGAAACTCTACCACCGTTGGGACATGCTGTTACGGTGTTGTTGGAATTTGCACACTCAGGCAAAGAAGTAGAGTTACAGTTACAGGCCTTAACCACGTTGGATGTCCTATACTTTGACATGATCAATGACGGTGAGATACTGTCTTATATCCTTCCAGGAAATGTTTCAACCTTGACAAAGATAATAGCAGGAACGGGGAAAACGCACTACACAGTCATCTCGAAGTCTCTCATGATACTGAGGAAGCTTCTAGTGCTGGTTTATAACGATGACGATTTGAATATGAACTATAAGCCAGTAGAGGCGATCCAAGACATATTTGAAGAGTCAGATCTTAACCAGATAGCACTGACGGAGGAAGGGTTTCGCAAGATCCATAGAACAGGCTCATGGCTGAAGGCTACAAGTGCACAAGTGAAATTGGCGTTGACAAGTGTTCTAAAGATACATACGCATCAAAAAGATGAAGTTCAACACGCTTTGGAATTACTGGGACAGGGGATAATAAACAATTGCCTACTGTCATTGAACAGCTCGGTACCAATTGCTGTGGAGATGCTGGCCTATTCATCGCAAAACATGCGAACACCAGTTGCATTAAAAGAACAGACAGACCCAAAGATCAGAGGTATGTTTCAGGATGTTATGTCCAAGGAACTCAACAAGTACGTAGACTCTTTTGAATCTGTCATAGCATCTCCCAATGAAGACAAAATCATCAAAACAATCGGTGCAATCAGGTTTATCGTTAAGATGGAACCGAATGGTATTGCAATATCCAAACTAATCAAGCTATGCATACAGGAATTATCCGACAGTTTGACCAAGGCACAGGCCAAAACAAAGGTCATTCCAACAAGTAGTGCAAGTGAGCTTTCTGATCTGATGCTGATTACGAAGGATGCTACAAGTCTTGAAGTTAGTACTGGCACTCTCAACGTGCTTGGTAAAGTGTTAACGAATAATGTCCAGGACCAACTTGCCTCTTTGATTCAAACCATTGGCTCTTCAAACCCGTCGGAAATTATAGAGGACATCATCTCTTACAGTTATAATGGAACTTTAAACGAACGTGCTGTTGGATTGTGGATCATAAATAACCTGATGTCGGGATACAAGAACAAGATAGGCTATACCTCGATTGCAAATGAGTATTTGTCACTTGAAGATGATGATAGCGAAAACCAGATGGTTCTGGCATCGGACTTTGTCTATTCAGTGCTAGAATACTCCAAATCTATTTTGGACGAAACTTCTGAAATGGAAATCACTGATGCTGTAGTGTTGGCTACAAATGTGTCATTGGACTCAGTCTTTATTATCCAAAGTATGTTGAAACAAAACTTTAGAGATGAGCTGATTGATTACATCTACCCGGTTATTGAGTCCATGGCGTCACCTTCGGAAATTGTGAGAGAACACGCATTGAGGACTAGCATGGGTATAGCACAAGAACTATATTCTGGCTCATTGTACGACATGATATTGGACAATGCAGATTATCTTGTTGATTCTGTATCTATAAGGTTGAGTAATGCCATGACGACTAGAACGACGGCCATTTTGGCTGTTTGTTTGAAAATTGCTGGGTTCAAGATCATTGAGACGTTTAAAGATGTTATGGAGATCATGTTTAACTTACTGGATCATTATCATGGTTACGATGATATGTGTATTGGGTTCTTTGTACTGTTTGAGATTGTTGTTGATGAGATTAGTAAGAAGTACCTTTCAGAGTCTGGATTACATAAACTGGAACTACAAGATAGTACATCTACTTATAAGCCATGGGGAATGACTAATATAATGCAGGTGGCTTCACTCTTGTCCAAGGATGAAAGAGACATCGAACACTTGAAATATGTGAAACCCTTAGAAGATGATGATGTGGAGGATGAGATTGACAACCTTGGAGATAGTGACGATGAGGATGAGGAGCCTTCAATTCCTGATGTCAAGAAAGAATGGGCTTCTCCTGTGCCTGAAGATGCGTATCGATTGCTACAACAGGTCTCCTACTATGGAGAGAGACTCTTATCTCATCCATCTACAAAGTTGAGATTACAGATCTTGAGGGTGTTGAACAAATCAATCGTTGTATTTGCAACTGCACCTGATAATCTATTCCCAATAGTTGCTTCAATCTGGCAAATAGTTGCATCGAGTGTCAATTCAAACGATCCCAGAGTTGTGATACTAGCCAGTGAGGTCATCTCCAAAATCGTTGAATATTCTGGGACATTTGTAACAACGAGGTTTCTGGATCTTTGGCAGAACTTGAAGGAGAATGAGCTTCTGGTTACAGCAGCAAAGCAAGCGACTGAATCGAAGAAAATTGTACTACCAGGTATAAACCAAAGCTGCTATAATTCACTCGTTGAGATGATTGTGATGTCTTTGAACAAATTGGGTAGAACAATACCGGATTCAACCACAGAGGAAATGGTTAGATCATGTATTGGAGTGGTGCCAGTTGAGAAGTTCGACAGCCATAGTGATGTTGCATGGTTACTCAAGAAGAACATTTACGGTGTGAAGGATGTGAAACATCCTCATGACGTTATAATTGATGGGGAAACGTTCAAGTTTATAGAAGTTTAGTTATGATAATGATAATTTGGTGATGGGATACTGATGTATTGTGTGATGAGTACATAATACTAAGCGTATAATGATTACTAAGAGATTACCTCATATCCCTCTCGATAACACAATAACAAAATGTGTCTCAGCTGATTTTTCAAGAAACAGGTCCCTTGGCCCAGTTGGTTAAGGCGTGGTGCTAATAACGCCAAGATCAGCAGTTCGATCCTGCTAGGGACCATTCTTTTTTTTCGACGCATATTGGATATGAGAAGATGATGGCTCAGTTTCAAAGCTTTTGCCTTTTGTCAATAAATATGGATTCAATTGATAGAGGTGAACGTAGTTGTGGCCCAATGGTTCCTCCGAATAGGGTTTTTGTTGTTACTGCTGCACTCGTTTAGTTAGATATGAGATCATAAGTGATTTGCACAGCAGTGTTCTACAACCATAATGTACACCTGATTGACAACAAAATTAGACATTAGTGGACGACATTACAATTACAATTCAGCATGAGGTTATAAAAACCGAAGAACAACCCCGACCAGGTACTCTTACACCTTAGGCACGCCAATAATCCATACCAAACTACTACAGCAGCAACATATTGCTCTGTTAGGCCAACTTTAAATGATCAAACCAAGAGCCAGAGTCCAGAGGACGTTGACAAAACAGTTGAATGGGAAGATCAAGTGTGGAGGCAAGAAGTTAAAGGATATTATCGAACACAATGGCCAAACTGCATATGAAGTACCCAGCATCTTCAAGAAAGTCTGTCTGAAAGAAGACAGGAAATCAGTGTTCTCCCAAGCACAGTTGAACAGGATAAATGCCGATTGAAAGAATGGTGTACCGACCGACTGATCAACCAGTATCCTTAATGAAGTGGGTTCAATTTTCAGTAGCGTGTCGATCCATAACGAGCTCAGTATACCATTAATTGCACCCCAAATGCAAAACTTCGCCAGCCTCGAGTAGTAGACACGTCTAAACAGCTGAATCAACGATTGTCCAAGCCCAGCAGTTAATATACCCAGGAGTATAGAGTTTAACAGCCTGTGGACATTATCAATAATTTCACGGTTCTCAATGAGAGTGAAGATGCATATCGATTCAAGTAGTGTGATCAAGATCATCAACCACTTGGTACGGGCCCCTTCTTTCGGTTTCAAGTTCTCAATGTCATCTTTGAGTTCACTTGTCATCTGGTGAGTTTAATAAACCTTCTTCTATAGCTGTATGTATATGGGCTTTTGTTTCACCACTAGCGTAAGTCAACGTTCTCCAACTTTTCAGACAATGGGAAGACAACATGGCAGAAGCAAACAGGTGCACAGGTTTTGTCCTCGACCCACAGCGTGAAATTCCGAACACGCGTCTTTTTCGTTTTTCTGACTTGGTGTCTGGGTGTGGATATGTCCCAAACCGACGCTTGGAAACCACACCATTCTGGAAATGCGTGGGAAATGGAACACCAGGGGCGTGTATTCACGTAGAGATTGATCTTTCGAGCATGTTTGAGCGATTCACCAGAGGATAGTTCTGTGAGAATGTCAGCACTATTATCGGATCCGCTGCAAGAGGACTCGTGCTGCTCTGTCTTCGGAGTCCTACGCTGTATTTGAGGATGAACCACTCCTGTTATATCTTCAGGATCAACTGGCGATAGGTGGCTGATGTGCTGCAGCATCATAGGGCCATAGGATGAACCATAGACGACCCTACAGGGTGGTGGCTGTTGGTGGGTATGGCCGAACACGGCGGACGAATGCTCTACTGCAACCACATCCAAAGCGCCAGTAGTCCCATGTAGTGCCATTCACAGAATCATGGACACGCCTGTACAGTGTACAGTGTACACAACACAGACGAGTCCGGTCCACCAAAAAGGGCGTACCACAAGAGGCATCATCGACCAGTGTCCTGGTGGGGGTGAAGCAGAGGCAGAGGTGCCATTGCATCATGTAGGCTCAGAAATCCGATCTTCCTCTAGGGCTTTCATAAAGCAACATCACACGCGGCAGGCAAACGTTGTTGTCAAGCCGTCACAATGAGTTGTAACAACAACCATAACTTCCAGTCACCAACAGAAAGCAGACCAGGTCCACCAAGCGGGCCAGGCAGGCCGTATCCTACTGGAGACTTCTAACAGCACACCCGTGTACTCCCAACTCCACCCAAACATCACCTTGAAACGCGGCTATCCTGTTTACTCAAACGCACAATTTGTATACACACATCCTATGTGCAGACCCAAACACAGCCGAAAACAGCCAATCACAGCCGGGGCATATTTGATTACGCGAACCCCCCTTTTATGCTTACGAAAACTTCCTGTCAAAAAACACACAGAACTGCGATTTCAACACCGGCGCGCACTCTCAGCCCAATTTTCAGGGAAATTCTGAGGATTTCCATCACGCACGAAGATTTGTTTGTGTGTTGTGTTTTTTTTATCAACGGTACCTTTTTAGACACCGCTCCATATATAAACAACGGCAAAGAACCAAACGGTACGGCTTGTATACATTTTCTTTTTTTTTTTAGAAAAATTTCTAACCAATCAACCAGTTAGTACAGACGAAAGGAAATAGCCTCCATTAGACAAAGTTTTTTTTGTTTTTCTGTTTCCCTTCTCTGCCTTGTTTCTACTTTGATTCACTTTGCTTTAAACACCGTCGAAGGCAAAAATTGTGTTGATCTAAAAATTCTCCATATTCCCTAGCGCTTGTCGTTACGCTTTTGTTATCTCTCTGAAAGGTGAAAATCATACACACCGTGGAAACGAAAGCTGAGAGCAAAAACACCCTTGCATTGTACCCTCCGACTTCTCTGTGAAAAACAAACATACACACAGAGTTACCCCCCTTCTTTCTCCCTCTCTGAACGTGTGTTGATTGCTCTGTGGAGGAAACACACTGAAACAGGGAACGTACACTGAGGCAAAAACAAGAACCAGAATAATCCGCGATGTCCCTCGTTGCCATTAAGAACGGTGTTGCCACCTTGTTCAACGGCAAGGCACAACAGAAGAAGCCTTTGATTGACGCCAACTCGCCAACAAGTTACCAGTCTCTGGATGCCGGAGTGGACTCGGTGCGTGGCAGAGATGAAGAGTCAGAGATTGGGTCCAAATACGACAATGGCGACGATGACGATGGAAACGAAGGGCTGCTGGGCAGAGTTGACCCAAGAGTGATGTCCGATATCGTGATTGGGTTGTCTGATGGGTTGACAGTGCCGTTTGCACTTACAGCAGGTTTATCATCTCTTGGTGATTCCAAGCTGGTGATCACGGGTGGATTTGCAGAGTTGATCTCTGGAGCCATATCCATGGGCCTTGGTGGGTTCTTAGCGGCAAAGTCCGAATCGGATTACTACCATTCTGAGGTGAAGACCGAGAAGCAGAAGTTTTATGAAGATATGACTGAAGTCAATCACGAGTTGGAAGACCTACTTTTGGACATCAACCCTGATTTCTCCGATGAGACGATCATCTCGTTTATAAGAGACATGAAGAAGAACCCACAATTGGTTGTTGATTTCCTCATAAGATTCGGGAAAGGCTTAGAAGCACCTGCAGAGAATAGAGAGGTGATTTCAGCTTTGACCATTGGTTCGTCGTACTTTTTAGGAGGATTTGTTCCTTTGATTCCATACTTTTTTGTGAAGCACGTTGACACCGGACTCATCTTCTCAATGCTCTTGATGACATTTACGCTGTTTTGGTTTGGATTTGTAAAGGCACAAATTTCATTAGGTGAGCAGTGCTCTGGAATTAAAAAGGTTCATGAAGGTATCCAGATGGTTCTTGTTGGTGGTATTGCAGCTGGTTCGGCTTGGCTATTGGTTAGACTAATTGATTGAAGGGCCCTCCGTCTGTTTCAAAACCATTGCATGACTTTCACCATCATACCTTGTTGCATTAATTCCACGCTCATATTGCATTTCATTATAATGTCATTAATTGTTCCCTTTGATTTACTCTGTTTTAAGTTGCGTACGTTTACCCAACCCATTTGATAATTAATTTATTTTTTTAGTAAGCAGTATAATAACAAATTGCTATAGCACAACACTAATTCCTTTCCATTCAAAATACTTGTTCTATTTGAGTATCGCTAGTAATGTATCCTCGTCAAAGATATTGCTACCGTTCTTCAAGGCATTTGCTAAAACGGTTAAACTTCTCTCGTTAAAATCAGGCGCACTTCTTAACTTGTCAATGTCATCACCATAACTGTTAAACATCAACGAAAGGTAATCAGTTTCAAGAGTCTTTTTCCCCTTTTGTAACGATGATTCCACCTGATTCGTATCCAAGGTTTTGGAACCCTCATTCAATGCAGATTTGGTCAAATTGATAAGCTTTACCTTTTGCTTAATACCAGCTGAATCGTCTTCTCCTTCTTTTGCTTCTCCTTCATCATGGTGGCCAATATTCGCAATTTCATCATCTTCTAATACGAAATCGCCATCTTGATCAACCTCTCCACTAGGTGGAACTTCCTCAGTATGGTCTTGATCATCATCAGAGCTCGATGATGAGGATGAATCTGAAGAGTCTGAGGAATCCGAGAAATCCTCGGTTCTTCTTTTCTTTCTTCTGCGTCTGTTCGAGTTTGGCCTCGTGCTGTTGTCGTTCTTTGGAACTATACCCATTGTTATAAGGTGGGAAGGAGCTTAAAGAAACTCAAACAGGCTCCTCATCTCATCGCCTTTTGTGCTTAGAGGTGAAAGTTTTTTCCCTTTCATCTGAGATTTGTTAGGATTTAGTGGTCCTACCAGATACAATTCAGCGGAGAGGTGTTAGAAATTTGAGATCTCGAAAATGGTTTCGTGGTCTAGTTGGTCATGGCATCTGCTTAACACGCAGAACGTCCCCAGTTCGATCCTGGGCGAAATCATTTTTTGAAACTTTTTTGAAACCTTGTTCCTTGAATTCGCTCAGATTTGCATAGTTAGCGTACTAGTAATGGTAATTGTACAACAGGGAGTTGATCTTGAGAGCTTCACCCATGTTGCGCATTGGTTAACATGTATTTATTAACATGTATTTGTTGACAATTCAATATTGTCTATGCTAGTCTATGTCAACAGCAGAACAATAAAGTGAACCAAAATGTTCACTTTCGCGGACAGTGGCTAGTAATTACGCCTGCTTATGACAGACATTCTGGAGAGACAGTTGAAGGTATCCTGGATGAAAAGCCATTTTTTCCTTTCCGCTATGATTGACCCGCCCGTCAAAGTGGGTCTTAATGAAGAACATGTGTCTCCCTTTGACCTTGAAGAAAATTTGTACTTCAAAGTGAGGAACCAACTAGAGGTCGTGAGATCCTTTGAACATGCTCGTATCGACCGCCAGAGACAGCCCACTTCTTAACGAAAGAAGTGGCCATCCCATTGATCAGAGCTATTGCAGCAAATACTTCCCAACGACAAGTGAACTAGGGATCAGCTTTATCGTTTCCGTCGCATTCCAAGAGTTTGAACCTGTTAACAGAGCCATAGACTCAAGTACAGCTTCACGTGTATTGCGTCATGTCATATGAACTTGCCGCCATGAGAAGAAAAGTCCATGTCGTGAACCTGATCTGATCCCCACAAACTTGTATTACAGATCAACGTTGGTAGCACCGGGTGACACACCTGGTGAAGTCATTCACGAATACAGGTCAATCCGGAGCTGAGGAAGGTCTCCACCATAGCTACTCGAAAGCATTGTCGTTCGTATTTCTGGTGTTGTCTAGAATCTCAAACTCAGGTAAATCTTCAATACCACATGCCAAATTATAACCGACTCCACACATGTATACAACCTTGAAAAGAAATTACACACATATCCATATCAAACAAGGCAAGAACGTGGAGGTAATATCAGCCTCAGATGCCCCAACTTCTCACTACAAACTTCCAAGGCGTGTTTTGATCGACAATGCTCCACGCACAAGCCGCATATTCAGGAAACAAAGACGTTGAGGTAAGGCGGGCCGGTTCAACAGATTAAACTCGCGAATCGCTTACGGCCTAGATAAGGTCAAAACTATATGCAAAATAGATTTGTAGCTTTGGAAACATCTACAAGCGGCTCAGAAGTTACCACACTTACCGGCCCGATGCTATTTACGAACAACTTGTCTTTCTTCCGCACAGCGGCTTTGTTGATGCTGGTATCAATTGTTTGTGCTTTCCACTATCAGGCTGTTGACGAGAAGATTGTTTTCGAGAGGAAAGTAACATACCCAGTTCATCCACAGTTTAAGTCACAGTCGCAGGATATCTTGGATGGACTCGAAGCGGGCGGGATCTTACAGCGGTACCTCCATCGATTCAAGCCACCAGGGCGGTTGTATGTGGAGTTCTACGACGGCGAGTTTGTTGTCAAACAGGGCAACTACATTTCTCAGTTGGACGTTGTTGAAATGCCATCTGTATCGTTTGAGTCGTTCTTCCCACTTAGTTGGAGTTTCTTGAATGGCTATTACACTTTGGCGGTAACGGATATGACAAAGACTTCACAAAGCGCCAGAGCGGTATGGGTGAACATGCGTGTCGATAAGGAGAACGTCAAGACAGGCAGTCTCAAAAACAGAGATACTATGAACGACTCTACGATGAATGCTGAATTCTTTACGGTAGGTTTTGATCCACAGGATGACGCTGACACTTTGGTCCCATACGTACCGCCCTATATCACTGAGCCAGATGGTGTCCATCAGATTGTTTTCATTCTCTTCAGACAACCTCGTAAAATGCAGCCTCTACAGAGGTTGAAGTTCAGAGATAATTGGGGGTCGACGATACAGGGACATGGTGTTCAAGACTGGGCAGACTACTATGACTTACAACCTATCGGGTTGAACTATTATACAACTTCTGATGAGGGATTATTCTACGATACCTAAAGAGGATAATTATCAACATGAAGAAGAAAACTTGCGGCTGCTGCATTTACTATTTACAAACTACGAACATGTCAATCACTAGTGGAAGTTAAAAAAGAGCTATGCCAATATTCCAGCACTGTCGGACATGACTACGAATGCTACAGAGTACAGCTTGCGGAAATGCACATAAATTATGGCCCATTGAGAATCATAAATTGCAAGAAATAATTTTCCTAATGGTACAGTAGATACAGATCTACGTCCTATACGACCCACGACATTATTGGGTACGTACGCCTGAGCTAGGAATAAGCGAAGACATCATTGGAACCAAGGTGTACTTTGAGAATTTGGAAGTAGCCGCTCAATTGTTGTGTTTCAGTATGTTAATTGCATGCATTGTTAGTGAACTCTGTAGGGTGAGTAACGAAGGTGAGCGATAGCATCTGCTGTGAAGGTGTAACTCGTGAGCTTCACAATTTTATACAAAGTTAGGACACTGAGAATGTTCTTTTGTAAGTCAAATAGGATCCATTCTTGAGGAAATGTTCTTCGAATACACTAGTTATACATTGGACGTTAACAATAAACCCTGATTTGGAAAACTGAAAGCACATATGTGTACTGTTGTCTCACTTGAAGAACTCGTTGAGGAAAGTTTTACATCATTAAACGACGTTTCTGTCGTAGTTGCCTGATGGAACACCGTGACATCATAAGATATACTCTCAGAGCATGTCCAAAAAGTGCTCAACACCATCAGCTGGTGATTGTATTTTAACATTGAGGCTCAAAGAACAGTTAGCCGTCCATGTGTAAGAAGCATTAGTCGCTTGCTAAGGTCCCTGCCCTCGGATGCTCAAAGGTCTAGAAGAGATTATTTGCTAGATGATAGATTCTGCCTTGTATCTGAAAGCTTACTTAACGCACTGTCAATGGTGAAATATTGATCTTGAATTCTAGAAGTCCCCCGGTTCGTAACTACTCACAATCTGTAAGGCTACGGAATGTAGAATTGTCTATAGAAATGTATAGAAGTGTATTCTTCGACCTGACTTGGGGTCATCTCCTGACAGTTTTAGCTCTCGGGTAAGTACAAGGGCACTCGTAAACCGTTGGGAACAATCTCGTGAATCCTGAAGGCGATGCAGAGGCGCCCCAGAGGCGATTCTTTTCACTAGCGATTCATGCACATGCGGGTGAAACAAACTCACGAGGCGTCTGAAACACAGAATTAAGGCGTGATAATTGTTTCGCAAATTTAGCGTATATGCACCACACTGCAGCCACTTGCATATCTGAGATCTGGCCAATAAAAAGGAGGAATTTCTAATCCGGTCACAGCCGAAACGAGTCAGATCACACATGGAACATGACACGCTGTTGAAAATCACATGAAGGGCAATGAGCAGAGGCGCATTCGCGTCGAGCTCGTGTATACGAAGTATTAATGACCAAGGCTGGGCCCCTTCGAGTGTGATACACGCTTATAGTGCATAGCTTGTGCTGATCGATCTAATCACGAACTGAAATACGGTACAATTTGTGGGGCATAAATATTGGAATCGGATAAGTTTGAAAAGTTGAGCAAGCAGTTACGGAATTTGAGAAAAGGTGGTGGATTACACATTTCTGTAGAACAATAGCAATGTTGATCTTTGAACTAATTGAGCATAAAGTGTGAATGTTTTGTAACGTTTGAGCGTTACAAGTTTTGTCAATTACTAGGGAAAACTATTACAAAGGCGTTATGCTAGCAGGGAGAACGTACAGAAGTAGACCGCCTTAACGCATGTGCTTCAACCATTTCTGAGAGACAAATTCGTGGCGGGGTGTGAGTGCAGAATGAACAGCGCACACTCCACGATATTCCTATCGATCACAGCCCGGGCACCAATCTCAAAGTTCTTCGTTGGCACCGAGTTTCTGTTTCAGGTCAACCTTTAGGCTGTGTGAGCCCCGAGTGCTTCCGATGCGTGATCGAGAATATTCTGGCCTAGTACAGACTTGCATGTATATGTAAGCATTTGATCAGCATAAAGGCGATGATTACAAAGATGACAAACGTAATTTAGAAGTTATGGATTATTTATCATAGTTGGTAATTCCACAGAAAGTTATGTAAAATTCCTTATTACATACTGTGAAGTAGCGTTTTACTTCTGAATATGTTGGGATATTCAGAGCTGACAATAACAACTTCTGATGTTTTGTAAACAGTTACTTCGAGTTTATGCAACGTGAAAAATTTTCAACATTCTCGAAGCTTGTTCTTCAACAACAGGAAGCTGCTGTAGGCCTCAGAGAGCGAAATCGACATGTACAGCCTGTACATGGTCCTTAGAAATTGTCCATCGTTAATTTCAAGTAGTCCCGTACTGGAATGTGGATGTCCTGAATTTCAGAGCCTGTAGTTTCAGGTTGTACATTGTTGCAAATTTGTGTACTAGTTCTCGACAGTGACAGGCGTAATCACTTACAGATCTGCTGAGCGGAAAAGGCGGTCTTGCGGCCGTAGCCTAGAAGTAGTCAGCGGGCTAGTTTCGGAAAGAGCTATGTTATTATCTCGGATTTCATAGTTTGCAGTATGATGGGAGCATTGCCCCGAAGTTACTATTGATCAATATTCTGATGTTTCAGCAAAGGTACAGACTTCATAGCGTAGATTGAACGGCCAAATGGGAGTGAAAGCCTTCATCTTGTCGTTTTAAAGCAATAATGGCTATACTGGCCGTCATTTTGTTCAACAGTTCAACAACCCTGTAATCTACAACTACAGAGTCATACTGTGATATATAGGTAACACCACATAGCAAGCAATTGTTAGGGTTTGTTGACGGGAATTGCATAGCCATTATCGGAGTTTAGTTTTTGTTGTTGAGCAAAATTGGTCGTTCCCGGCCTGAGTCCAAAATGGCGATATACAGTGGAATTTGCTCTTCCCACATCCCCAGCTCTGGTTCAAAACCTCCTTGTTACCAGGGCACATACGCGTGCATTTCTTGTTGAGCCTTACTTTTCTGGCCTTAGAGCGACCGCTTAAAATTGTTTTCTTTATTGAACTTGCTTTAAAGGCTCATAAAGTTGTTAAGGTCATGCGCGATTAAACGCTATTTATGCAATGCCGCCTAATCAATTTTTTGATAGAACATACATGAATGTGCATCGAGGCGATCCTTGTTCATGAAGGAGCATAAACGCCTCGAAAATTCTCTCATGCCGGGTGGGTCCGTAAATTGATTTCTTTTGGATCTCATTGTCTTTCTGGAATCTCAACGAGGTATATAAAAAAGACTTGTCCCTTCTCAAGATGCCATTGCGTCTGACCGTTACTATCTCTCCATCATCCATATTCACCAAGTTCAAACTTAACAAAGCATTTACTGTCTATTGACCAGTATTTTAACATTCAAACAACGATCACACTACTATAACAAAAAAAACAATGAAGTTTTCCACAGTCATTACTCTTGCCTTCTCTGCTGTTGTAGCAGTAGCAGGTCCAATCGAGCTCCATGTTAACAACGTCAACACAGTAAATGTCGTTGATGTTGTAACGCAAACAACCACACACATCGAAACAGAGACATACTACATGGGTTGATCCCAAGAAAGCTCAGTCTTTGCGTTTTCACGTATCTTTGCATGTGAGGCCCAACTTTGGCTCTTACTTTGATTTTTCCATCCTTTGCATTTTTGGAGTCTGAGACTTCTTACAACCTGTTTCTGTTATTTTTCTGCATACGCTTCTTTGCTATATCAATTGCATAGTCACACCAGCAAGGGGAGCGATACAAGTGACCATCCCGATACCATTATTTTGATACCAGGACGACTTATTGCTATTTAGTTCTGTCTATACACAATACTACTTATTAACCGGTGTTGGGTTAAGTTAGCAATCTAATTATCATGTAGTTTACCTTTCTACAATTCATAAATGGATGTAGTGGAAAAGCGAAGCTGGGAGGCGGTTGTAAGGTGAAGTTCCATCCTTGCAGCAGTTTCCTATGCGGGCGTTCTTTTTCCAGAAAACTTTTTTCTTTGTTCTATTTTCGTCAGGTTTCAAGCAATTATACAGAGGTCATTTTAGCACACCACGTCAGTATCACCAGTGGATAACCAGTGGATAATGATCAATGACGACACACGGTTGATCCCCTGGTTGATGATCTTGTTATGTGGCATGACGTTGACATAGTACCGTACAACTATTTTGGATTACTATGGGGTCGCTTTAAGGTTAATCGCAGAGTCTCGTCACTTTTTGCTTGTTTCTTAGAGTGGACCGCGATTAAGGTGGGGGCGCATGAGGTTTTGGTCCAAGGAGGCTCAATAAGTCATCGGGGCTCATCAAACCTGGAGTTAAAAACAGGCTACGATACATAAGGCAAGCTTTTCATATAGAGCTACAGCCTTTTGGTGCGTAGTGTGTGGTGTGTTGTGTGAGTAGAACCCACCCTGTAGACTCCTTAGCTTATAACCTGCCCACACGAACCGTGTCATAGTTTCCCATCACGGCACCAGCACAGAGCTGTAACACGTTACCAGGTTTGCCTGATCGGGCAGCCAAACTTGTCCATATCTCAAGTAGTGAGATTCAAGGGCGTCGGAGCATACTTCCACCAGTACTGCCGAGGCCGGTTTTAGAAGTTTGCATGCCATGGGGCGCCTATACCACATTCGAAGGTGAGCCCAGGAATTGGTCACGGTTCCTCGCCATTGGCTCACGTAGGCATAACTAACACGGTAAAATGGATATTCTCTGCACCGGCAACTTCATTCTGTCAAAAGACATGGATCCACACTTCATCTCTCCTTTAGAGCTCATGAGCGATGGCTGTATTCTACAACGCTCTCTCGTTCCATTTGCCACAGACCTTAGCTTCCCGCGTGGTTCCATTGTAACAGGCATCCAGACTACCACCATCGTCCTCTATTTCCTCGGTGTCCAAGCTCTACAAACCCGTGGGGAGAGCACTCCTGTTAGCTGGCCAACCACGGTAGACTGTGGGGGCCGTGGACGCTAAAGTGTTGCACCAATCACTTTTGCGTGCGCGTGGCAAAACCAACAATGGCCCTAAAAACACGATTGCCTGCGAGTGCTTCCACACTCTGTGGGCATTAGTGGAGAGATCGGTATCCACCGCGAAACGCGCATCCCCTATTTGCTTTGTTGTCGTTCCGCTAGGCGGGAATGCTAGGCGGGAATGCTAGGCGGGCACGCTAGGCGGGCAGGCCCTTTGCTGTGTATTTTTCCCCTTTTGACCAGTTCTCAGAAGCGAAGATTTGACAGAAGAGCATCAACAAGAGAGCGTATCACAATTCACACGAGGCGGCAACGAGAACAAGTGGGACGGTGACTTAGAAGGGGGTGAAATAGTACAGAGTCATAGGGAATAGCCGGGATCGGGTAAAACACAAGGGAAGAGAAGGAACTGTATTGATGATAGGGGAAGAAAGCAATACATCATGTCAACAGATACAGATACCAAGCGTATACCTCTCAACTTGAGGCGGTTGGAGCTGAAGATGCGTCCTTCTATGTTCTTCCGGAAGCATCGCAGAGCGTTCTCCACCGAGGAGTCTACGCAGAAGAAGGTGGTGAAGCTACCGACGTCGACACCGACGTCTCCGCAACGCCAGCTAATGTCTGAAGAGCCGGTGATAGTGGTGACGCCTCCTATGAGAGGGGACAGTCCAGGAGCCAGATCACCACGGAACCTGGCGAGGGCGAGATCTCGTACGGTTGGCTCGATAGAGAGTGACTTGCACAGGAAGCGAAGCAGGTCGCTTGTCCGCACTCTGGGCGGGATGCTCTCAACACGGAAGCTGCTCGAGACCGACTCGTCCACGGAGTCCATCTTTGCAGTGAAATCAGATATCACGATGTCTGAGGATGATACGCCCGAGACCTATGTCGAGAAGATGGTGGAAGCAGACACGCCGACGGCCCTTGTTCAGCTGTCGTCAACGGACACTGACGTGATGAAGGAGTGCCTCAAGTTGTATATGGATACGCTCAATTTTGAAGCACAGTCTCTCGATGTTGCGCTGCGTGAGTTTCTCTTTGAGTTTGAGCTGCCAAAGGAAACACAGCAGCTCGATCGTGTGCTGAATGCCTTCAGCCGTCGTTACTACGCCTGCAACTGTGAGCTCTGGAACAATGAAGACCAGGTGTATTTCTTGACGTTCTCCTTAATGCTTCTACAAACAGATCATTTTAACGCATCTAACAAGCACAAGATGACTAAGGAGGAGTTCATCAAGAACTCAAGGGTCACTGATGGGTCCGTGACGGATAACTCATTCCTGGGGAAGGAACTGCTCGAGTACTTTTACGATAACATCACATATACAAAATTCATCACACAATCATTACTGATGCAACCACAACCACAACCGTTGTACCTCTTACCCAAGATGATATTTAACTCGAACTCCTCGCTGAACTTGGAGGCTCTGAGCACACAGAGAACTAGACAACGATCAGGATCCGTGTCATCAACAGCATCTCAGTTTTTCCAAACGGCCTCAAACTCATCGGATCCGTACGTTTTGATGGCCACAGATCAGCTGGACACTCTGAAATTGCCATTGAAACCTTTAGAGGACTTTAACCCATTTACGAACAATTCCATTCATGCTTTCACAAATGATTATTTGCAACATGTGACAAACACTTTGAGGTCGGGCAACGCAATATATGTGAGGTTTAACAAGGATTGCAATTGGCTTACCGGTAAAACTGAGATGTTTACATCTGAAGAATCAGAGCCTACAGAGATGGTTTGTGTAAGGGTTTTAAAGATCGCAGAGATATGGAAGGAGGAGACTGTGTCAAACAAGTTCTTAACGATGGGAAACTACGGCGTGAAAGTGGTGTCCAAGCGTTATTTTGGTATCCTAACCATGTGTGGGCTGTTGTTATTCGAAAGTTTGGCTTTCATGAATGTTGATGATCGTGAGAGAGTACTGTCTGGAGAAGATAACAAATCAGAACCATTTTTCATAACCGTTGATAACGATAACTCCCTGAGCAGATGCCTCAAACTCCCACTGAATGGCCTCTTTGCATGTCCTTGTCCTAAGGAGGAAGGGCATACTTTTAACGTCTTTAGTAAGAACAAGAGGGAAATGTTCAGCTGTCCGACATTGGAGGCCATGTCAGATTGGGTATTGGCGATCAATTACGTCGCTGCGATTGATATGTGTCAAATATGCTACGAACCTCTAAACCGCGAGGTTGTACCCATCAGAAACATCAAGATCGAAGACAAGTTGAAAAAGCTGAACGCACAGATCCCAAACTCCAGGGCGAAGATTGACGAGATTCTAACGTTACAGAAACACGTTCAACTGGCGACGCCATTTTCACCAAAGACGAGAGAGAACTTGATGGCTTACTTCCAATCTCTGAACATCCGTTTAGAATGGTTATGGTATGAGATTGAACGTAATCAAGTTTACATGAACCTACTATTGTACGAAGGAGAAGCTTGCTCAAAGGTGTTGGAGTGCAGCACTGACGAGTCACTCCTGGAGGACTCATTTCTGAGTGAAGGCATCGACAAGTTGATACTTTATGACTATATATGAACACACACGGCATGTCAAAAACACACATACAGCATATAAACACACACATACACACATAACGATGTCACGATTATCATTACATATACAATCTATACAAGACCTCAGTTCTGTAGTTCCCCCATCTGCCTCTGTTTCTTCTTCTCATAGAAGACATCCATCCTGCTTGACCCAATGTTGACAATCTTGGGACACCCGTCCCGGTCCTTCTCCAGCATGACACACGTGTGACAGTAGAACGCATCACTCACACCGTGGCCTCCACAGATCACACACTTCTCAGCTCCTTGCCCAAAGGCACATTCCTCACAGATCCGTACCTTTGCCGTTGGCCTCACAAACGAATCACACATCGGACATCTCCCATCACACTTCTCGCACAGGCGACCGATGTGGGTCCCTGGTTGCTTTAAGCACATCACAAGATCGAACTGATGGCGCGACATGGCCGTGATATGTCCCCGATACCGTTGTTTAGCGAAGCAGAAGAGCGTTGGCTTGCCTGCTTTAGTGCTGTGCTACTGGCGGCTGCGATGGCGGATGCCATGGCGATGGAATTTTGTGTTGATGTTTTTCCCTCACTGTTTCCCTCTACCAATCCAGCCCATATACAACAAAGACGTAATCAGGGAATTGATACTCACACAGGCAGGGGGTTTCAAGGCCTCATCAGCACAGTTACACAGCTACACACAGATACAAGCAGGCACAGGTTCCATGGAAGAGTGTACCATCTGCCTGGAGCCATTTGGCGAGGGTACCAGAACACGGTTGCAGCCATGTGGGCATCACTACCACACACACTGCATTGATCACTGGCGCAGCCAGTCGAATCACTGTCCCACATGTCGTTCTGAGTTCTCACTGGTGCAAACGGTGGCCCGTGGAGGTGAGGTTGTATCGCAGTGCCGCCCCACAAGGGTGGCTGCTGTTCCTCAAGAGGAGTTCTTTGAGGAGAATGAGATGATGGCTGATGATGCGGTGCCGAGGGACGAGGTTCAGAGACGGATAGAGAGGCTTGTTGGCATATACAACGTTTGCATGTTGTGCGATAGGCATTCTGGCCACGTGCTGAGCTGCTGTGACTGCTCATCGACGTTCCATGCCACATGTCTTGGGCTTCTGAGCAGTAGCGTACACTGGATGTGTCCGATGTGCTCGAGTGAACAACGCCAGGAGACCGAGAGAACGAGTCTATTCAGGAGAAGCAGGATGAGTGAGAGAACAAATAGAGTGTACAATATGCTGACGGACTATGGCAGGGACACCAGCGTGCACGTGATGGAGGAAACCGTCGTGGAGAGGAGCTCAGGCTCCGTTGATGAGCAGAATGCCTGGTCTCAGTTCGAAAGGGTAAGAAGAGGTGAAGCAGGAGCCTCGATGACAAGCGTTGGCTCATCGATGGGTCGCAAGCAAAAGCCACCATCAAGGAGAGGTAGGTCAGCGAAGGTGCAAGAGACACAATGCTCATCTACAGCACAGCAATGCCATGCTCCTCCAGCATCTCACTCTCTAATCGGACGTATAGTTAATGACATGAAACACAGCTCGAGAAGAGAGCTGGTGGTGCCCATCGGTATATCCACCACCACGTCCCAGTCACCTCATTCACCGCAATCACCGCAGTCACCAACATCTTCCATATCGTCGTTCCAGGCCTCTTTCGAAGAGGGACAGTGGAAGATGGACACCACTGAACTTGCACTGGAACAGAAGACTACGTTGCAGGAGATGGTGCGAGATAGACTCAGACCAAAGTTCAAAGATGGGACAGTGGATGTACACCAATACACAGAGATAAATAAGCGTGTGAGTCGTGCTTTATACCAGGCATATCTCAACGGGGAGGTTTCAAACCTGGAACAAATAGCAGATGAAGGCGTTGAACGGGAGCTAATGAATCTATGACATATGTATGATGATATAATGGAGAACATTGTAATGGTGTTGTATCTATTGACTATTTTTCTGTACACTAGATGAAAGATCGAGTGAAAGAGCATCATCTACGACGACCTGGACGCGAAGGTCTGCTGAATTTGAGATGACCTTGGTCTTCCTCCACTTTCTTTTCGTTGCTAAACTCGGAGAGCTCAAGCTCATCCGCATCACCAATCTCAATGGATTTGTCAATGGTGTTTGATTGCTTGAAATGGTTGATGAGACTGTTCTTGTTTGAGGCGTACATCATACGCTCTTTAACCTTGGAGCCCGAAGGACACGAGAAGATGAAATACGTCTTCCCGTTGAGCTTGAGGAGGTTGTATTGAGGATAATCCCTGGAGATGAGGGAAGGCAATTCCTTAGCGTCGTTTAAAGACGCAGAATTGGACAAAAACACCTCTTCCGTGTTCAGGTCAATGTTGAAGGAGTACAAGTGACCTTCTTCAACTGGAACCTCTGCATTCGCGTGCAATTTGAAGTTCAAACTGTTTGTAGGAGCGACGAGCTTCCTCTTTTGAGCGGATTGAATCTTTGCATCGAGCTCCAACTCCTTAACCTCATTCAACGCCTTCTCTTCCTTGCTCAACGCATTGGACGACCCACCCGAAACCGAGTGCTTCCAGTGCTCGTATGAGACCTCGTCCAAGCTGTTCAAAAACAGAGTATGGGCAAACAGCTCAGAGCCCAACTGCCTTATCAACGTGTTCTTGGACGACGCATACAGCATCTTGTCCTTAACGGCAGCGTAATCGGGCACGTAGGAGATGAACGTATAAACGTTGTTATCAGCGTGTCTAACAACAATGTACTTTGGCGTGGAATCGTCCAATTGAGACTGAAGCGCGTCAAATGCCTTCGATAGCGGCGTAGCAGTAATAACGTCTCCAACTTCAATAACCTCCTTGATGATCTCTGCTGTGAGGATCGGAGCCTCATCTTCAACAAACTTCTTGAAGGATCCGAGGAATTCAGATGATGGCGTAATACCGGACTGTGTAGACATAGTAACTGGTGTATATCAGTGGGATTGTACAACCGTTGATTGGCGAATGAAAGCTAGCAATAATGTCCCTAAAGCTCTAAAGTGTTGTTGCCGGGAACACCGTTCCGGGGGTGTTGATGCTATGCTGTCTGTACCGATTGCGTGGCCATACCAATATGAATGTGATGTCCGGGTGTTTATATCCAGATTAATTTTTTCTTTCTGCCGCCCTCTGTGTATAAAACAAAAACATAAACATCAACAAACCAAACCATCTTGAATACGGTGAAGAAAGAGCTCTCTCGCTAGTGTTTCACAGAGCCGAGACATTGTTTCATCGTCTGGACGAGCTGTGTGGCATATACTGAGCCCATTTCCAGATCTACTGAGATAACGAGAGGGAAAAGAGACGGAGAGGAAGAAGACTAAGCATTGCGTCTGGAGCTGATACTGAGTTGATACGATGAGTAAGCTACCACCACCTCCTGGATGGCAACCACCGCCTCCTCCACCAAATGGAGGGTCAAGACTACCACCTCCGCCACCACCACCTTCAGGGCGTTTGCCTCCACCTCCACCTCCACCTTCAGGGCATTTACCACCACCTCCACCACCACCACCACCATCATCTTCTGTTCAATCGCAGTCGCCATCGACATCCCATAGAGACGAGCTTGAATCCAGAAAGCGTAAGTGGCTACAGATACAGAAGAAACGTTACACCGAGATCAGATCAAAAGTCGGTGGCTTTGTTCATTCTCAGAAGGTTGATATGCCTCCAGAACACCTTCGAAAGATCATCAATGACCATGCAGATATGTCGTCGAGAAAGTTCTCCGCTGACAAGAGATCATATCTGGGGTCTTTGAAGTTCATGCCACACGCTGCTTTGAAACTGCTGGAGAACATGCCACAACCTTGGGAAGATGTCAAAGAGGTCAAAGTACTATACCACATTACCGGTGCTATTACTTTTGTCAATGAGATCCCACGAGTTGTGGAACCCGTTTATACAGCACAGTGGTCCACAATGTGGATAGCCATGAGGAGAGAAAAGAGAGATAGAAGACACTTCAAGAGAATGAGATTCCCTCCATTTGACGATGAGGAGCCTCCTTTAAACTGGCTTGAAAATTTACAAGACGCTGAACCTCTTGAACCTATACAGATTGAGCTAGATGAAGTTGACGATGAACATGTGATCGACTGGTTCTATGATGCTAAACCTCTTGTTGATGAAGTTGGATTTGTCAACGGCGACTCTTACAAGAAGTGGAACCTCACATTGCCCATAATGGCCAACCTCTACAAGTTATCCAAACCTCTTATATCTGAGATTACAAACAAGAATTACTATTATCTCTTTGATAAGAAGTCATTCTTCACTGCAAAGGCCTTAAACAATGCATTACCAGCAGGTCCAAAGTTTGAACCCCTATTCAAAGAAGTGGAAGAGGAAGACTTTAATGAGTTTAACTCCATCGACAGAATCATCTTTAGAATCCCAATCAGAACAGAGTACAAGGTTGCGTATCCTCAGCTGTATAATTCTCTTCCAAGATCGGTGGAGATCTCTTGGTACGCAGACCCAATCAATTGCTTCATCAAAAGGGAGGATGATGACTTACCTGCTTTCTACTTTGACCCAGCATTGGCGCCAATATCACCTAGAACGGTCGAAAATACCAAGACAGACTCTGAGCTTGAATTATTTGATATCAACGGTGAAGATGTTGAAGCATTTGCACTTCCTAACATTCATCCATTCCTTGAAGAGGAAGAGATTGAAATGGATGATACTGCAGATGCTATTGAACTTTGGTGGGCTCCTTATCCATTCAATCGTCGTTCAGGTAAAACCATAAGAGCTCAAGATGTTGCACTTGTTAAAAGCTGGTTCTTGCAACGATCTCCAAGAGATGTGCCAGTAAAGACAAGGGTTTCATACCAAAAGTTACTCAAAGGCCATGTTATTAATGAACTACACAAGGTGCCTCCATCAAACCACAAGAAAGTTCAGTTGCTGAAAAGTTTGAAGAATACTAAGTACTTCCAAACAACAACAATTGATTGGGTTGAAGCCGGTCTCCAGGTTTGTCGTCAAGGACATAATATGCTCAATTTGCTGATTCATAGAAAGGGCTTGACCTATTTGCATCTTGATTACAATTTCAACTTGAAACCAACAAAGACTCTGACTACAAAGGAGAGAAAGAAATCTAGATTTGGTAATGCTTTCCATTTGATGAGAGAAATAATGAAAGTTATCAAACTTCTTGTTGATGCACAAGTTCAGTACCGTCTCGGAAATGTCGATGCCTTTCAGTTAGCGGATGGTATATACTACATTTTGAACCATTTGGGTCAATTGACAGGTATCTACCGTTACAAGTATAAAGTCATGCATCAAATCCGTGCCTGTAAGGATCTGAAGCACATTGTTTACAACAAGTTTAATGCCATTATTGGAAAGGGTCCGGGCTGTGGATTTTGGCAACCTGCTTGGAGAGTTTGGATCTTTTTTATTAGAGGTATTATCCCACTACTCGAGAGGTGGTTAGCAAATCTGTTGTCTCGTCAGTTCGAGGGTCGTTCTAATGAGGTGGCCAAAACCGTTACCAAACAGAGAACCGATGCCTATTATGATTTGGAGCTTAGAGCAGCTGTTATGAACGACATATTGGATATGATTCCAGAGGGAATCAAACAGAATAAAACCAAGACCATTCTACAACACCTGACGGAGGCCTGGAGGTGTTGGAAGGCTAATATCCCTTGGAGAGTCCCAGGCCTCCCAGAGCCAATTGTGAAAATCATTGAACGTTACATCAAGGCCAAGGCTGATGGATGGATTTCTGCAGCACACTACAATAGAGAACGTATTAAACGTGGTGCTTCTGTTGAAAAAACCGTCGCAAGAAAGAACTTGGGAAGACTGACAAGACTGTGGATCAAACGTGAACAGGAACGTCAGCAAAATATCGAAAAGGATGGCCCAGCAATAACGCCGGAACAGGCTACAACCATCTTTAAGACGATGGTTAATTGGTTTGAGACTAGAAACTTTTCTCCTATTCCTTTCCCACCTTTGACGTACAAGCATGATACAAAACTCCTTGTTCTAGCACTCGAGAATTTGAAAGAGCAGTATAATTCACAAGGAAGATTGAATGCATCACAACGTGAGGAGCTGGCGTTGATTGAACAGGCATATGATAATCCACATGAGTGCTTAAACCGTGTCAAGAAGTTTCTTTTGACTCAACGTGTTTTCAAAGAGGTGAGTCTTGAGATGATGGACAATTATCATAAGTTAACACCGGTATACGATGTTGATCCTTTAGAGAAGATAACCGATGCCTATCTTGATCAATACTTGTGGTATGAAGCTGATAAGAGGGGCTTATTTCCTAATTGGATCAAGCCAAGTGACTCGGAGATTCCTCCTATGCTGGTGTACAAGTGGTGTCAAGGAATTAACAACGTTGATGAAGTCTGGGAAACATCTCAGGGTGAATGTGATGTGATGCTCGAATTCACCTTGGACAAGATAGCAGAGAAAGTCGATTTCACACTACTGAATCGTCTTCTAAGATTGGTCATGGACTCAAACATGGCAGACTACATTACAGCAAAGAACAACGTCAGCTTGACATACAAGGACATGAGCCATATAAACAAGTATGGCCTTATTAGAGGATTACAATTCTCCTCGTTTGTGTTCCAATACTACGGACTCGTCTTTGATTTGATGCTCTTGGGTCTTGATAGAGCCAATGAGATTGCCGGGCCCCCAGATGCACCAAATGAGTTCCTTCAGTTCAAGTCTTTAGAACAGGAAAAGGCCAACCCAATAAGGCTGTATTCTCGTTATATTGACAAAGTTCATATCTTCTTCCGGTTCGACGAGGAAGATAGTCAAGATCTCATTGAAGCATTCCTATCTGAAAATCCAGATCCAAACTTTGAGAACATCATTGGTTACAACAACCGTCGTTGCTGGCCTAAGGATTCTCGAATGAGGCTGATGCGTCATGATGTGAACCTGGGAAGAGCTACTTTCTGGGAGATGCAAGGGCGTGTTCCGAGGGCATTTGCTAATATACAATGGGATGATGCCCTGGCTTCTGTATACTCCAAAGACAATCCAAACTTGCTATTCTCTATGTGTGGTTTTGAAGTGAGAATCTTGCCAAACTCCAGAAAGGAAGAAGTGACACATTCTGCAGAAGGAGTGTGGGACTTAACTTACAATAATGTGTACAACATTAAGGAAAGACCAACGAAACAACGAACAGCAAAGGCGTTCCTCCAAGTCACTGCAGAGGACGTTGAGAAGTTCCATGACAGAATCAGACAGGTGTTGATGTCATCGGGTTCAGTTGCGTTTGCAAAGGTGGCAGCTAGGTGGAATACTGCTCTTTTAGGCCTGGTTACCTATTACAGGGAGGCTGTTGTTTCCACCGAGTCATTATTGGATGTTCTTGTTAAGTGTGAAACAAAGATTCAGAATCGTATCAAGGCTGGTCTCAATTCCAAGATGCCAACTCGTTTCCCACCAGCGGTGTTTTACACACCAACTGAGTTAGGAGGATTGGGTATGCTGAGTGCTTCCCACATTTTAATCCCAGCTTCCGATCTCTCCTGGTCAAAACAAACGGATACCGGTATCACACACTTCCGTTCAGGTATGACACTTGCTGAAGACAAAATGATACCAACTGTGTTCAGATATATTACGCCGTGGGAGAACGAGTTTCTGGAATCCCAAAGAGTATGGGCTGATTATGCCATCAAACGTCAAGAAGCTATTGAACAAAACCGTCGTCTGGCGTTTGAAGAGCTGGAAGGGTCCTGGGACAAGGGTATTCCAAGAATCAGCACACTTTTCCAGAAGGACCGTCACACTTTAGCTTATGACAAGGGTCACAGGATCCGTAAGGAATTCAAGATGTACTCTTTGAATCGGAACAATCAGTTTTGGTGGGTTAACAACCATCATGATGGTAAGTTGTGGAACATGAATGCTTATCGTACTGATGTGATCCAGGCATTGGGTGGTATCGAAACAATTTTGGAGCATACACTGTTCAAGGGCACTGGTTTTGATTCTTGGGAAGGTTTGTTCTGGGAGAAGGGAAGTGGATTTGAAGACTCCTTGAAGATGAAAAAGCTGACCAATGCACAGAGATCTGGTTTAAGTCAAATACCAAATCGTCGTTTCACTCTTTGGTGGTCACCAACGATTAATCGTGCGAATGTCTATGTTGGTTTCCTTGTGCAACTGGACTTAACGGGTATCTTCCTTCATGGTAAAATCCCAACGTTGAAGATCTCTCTGATTCAAATATTCCGTGCCCATCTATGGCAGAAGATTCATGAACATATCGTGTTTGATCTTTGTCAGGTTCTGGATGGGGAGATGGATGTCTTACAGATTGAAAGTGTACAGAAGGAGTCTATTCATCCAAGAAAGTCTTACAAGATGAACTCATCAGCTGCAGACATTACTTTGAACGGTACGTATAGGTGGAATTCCTGCAAACCATCTCTTTTGCACGATACAAATGATCAAATGGATTACATCCAGACAGACAAGTATTGGATTGATGTTCAGCTCCGTTATGGTGATTATGACTCTCACGATATCTCCCGTTATGTGAGATCCAAATTCCTGGATTATACACACGACGATCTCTACCCTTCTCCAACTGGTATTCTCATTGGTGTTGATTTGGCATACAACATGTATGATGCCTATGGAACCTGGTTCCCGGGATTTAAACAGCTGATGCAGAGTGCCATGAAGACAATCATGAAGGTGAATCCGTCGTTGTACGTTTTACGTGAGCGTATCCGTAAGGGTCTTCAGTTGTACCAAGCACAGCCGCAACAGGCGTTTTTGAATTCGAACAACTATGCTGAGTTATTCAGCAACGATATTCAGTTCTTTGTCGATGATACCAATGTCTATCGTGTTACCGTGCACAGAACTGTCGAGGGAAACATGACCACCAAACCAATAAATGGTGCTATCTTCATCCTTAACCCGAAGACTGGACAGTTGTTCCTGAAGATCATCCATACATCTGTTTGGGCAGGTCAAAAGAGATTGAGTCAACTTGCAAAGTGGAAGACTGCGGAAGAAGTTGCTGCCCTGATGCGTTCTTTACCTAAAGAGGAACATCCCAAACAACTGATCGTCACTAGACGTGCCATGCTGGATCCTCTTGAAGTTCACATGCTGGACTATCCAAACACTTCGATTCGACCATCCGAGTTGCGTCTTCCATTCTCATCTGCACTGAAAATTGATAAGCTACACGATATGGTTTTGAAAGCTACAGAACCACAGATGGTGCTGTTCAACCTGTACGACGATTGGCTAAGGTCTATCTCTTCATATACTGCATTTTCCCGTTTGATTTTGTTGTTGCGTGCTTTGAGTATCAACACAGAGCGTACCAAGTTGATTCTTCATCCGGATAGCTCTGTCATCACTGAAGCTCATCATATATGGCCTTCCTTCACCGATGATCAGTGGGTCACTGTTGAAACACAGCTTCGTGACTTGATTCTTGCTGATTATGGTAAAAAGCACAATATCAACGTTACTGCATTGACTCAGGCTGAGATTAGAGATTTGATCCTGGGTCAAGACATCAAAGCACCATCTACCAAGAGACAGGAGCAAATTGCTGAAATTGAAGGTCAAAACGATGAGGCTCTGACTTCCATGAAGGTTAAGACACGTAACGCACAAGGTGAAGAGATCATTGCTCATGTCTCCTCAAACTACGAACAAAAGACATTCACATCAAAGACTGAATGGCGTAAACTCGCCATCTCTGCTTCTTTGTTACACATGCGGACCAAGAATGTGTATGTAAACTCTGATGATTTTGTTGAGGAGAAGACCACGTATGTGATGCCAAACAATCTGTTGAAGAAGTTTATACAGATTAGCGACACACGCACACAGATTGGTGGTTACGTTTACGGTGTCTCACCAGCTGACAATGATAAGGTTAAAGAGATCAAGAGTATCGTGATACCACCACAGATGGGCACGTTGACTACTATTCAGCTGGGCAAGTTGTGCGAGTCTGAATGGACAGAAGATTTGGAATTACTGGGATGGATCCACACTCAAACACAGGAGATGAACTATATGCCAGCTGCTGATGTGACCACACATGCCAAACTGTTCAGCAACGGTGATACGAGTCTTGTTGATTTCAACGTTGCGTTAACTACAGGCTCTGTCACTTTGAGTGCTTACACTTTGAGTGAAGAAGGTTACGAATGGGGGAAGAAGAATAAAAATATGGATCTTTCTCCACCAGGATTTCAAGTTGATTTTGGTACGAGTTGTCAAATGATCCTGACGAGCAATATACTGGGTAATTTCCTCGTTCCAACCACTGATATCTGGAACTACACCTTCATGGGCATGAGATTTAACAAGGAATTGGACTATGACTTGAAAATCGATGTGCCGTTGGACTTTTACAACGAACTACACCGTCCTAATCATTTCATATCGTTCAACGAGTTGGAAAGTGGTGATTCGTTAGAAGCTGACCAGGAAGATGTATTCGCATAGAGCAATTTATTATAATGAAGATACATATTGGTAGCTTTAATCAACATCAACGTAGTTCCTTGGGAATAAACCAATGATACCATTTGATGTTTCACCTTTCCACCAGTCATTGTTAAAGGTTTGATCCAATATGAGAATTCGTTCACCTTTAACAAATGACAAATCACCATCCTGCTGAGCCGTATAGTTGAATTTCAGCGTACAATAGTTCAACGGTGTTCTAATAGATGCTTGAGTATCTGCACGTGACTCAACATCTGTTGTATCATTCACCAAAAGAGATTTGAAAGTGCCATTCAACTGAAGGGTCTGCCTTTCTAAAACACTTTTAGTGATCATGAGATGATCAATCGTCAGCTTAGTGCTTCCAATAGCCTTGGTATAGTCCTCAATCAAATGTATTGCAAAATCGTTTGGAGTCATTTGACACTCCTTAGTCTTCAATTTGAACCTCTCATGTGCTGTTTCGTTCAATCCTAATAACTCGTAGTAGATGTTGAGCTGGAGGAAATACAATGTCAAATGGAAAGGGCGTATGAAGCCTGAAACCAGTTCGAAGAACTTTGGAAGCTCGAGCTTTAGCAGTGAATTGATTCTTTCGTATTTGATGTTTGAAAGCTCCAAGTTCTTTTGATAACGCACCAAGTTCTGTTCTTGCTTGAGGCTTAACTTCTCTTGTTTCTTGCTATCCAATAGACTTACATGGCCCATATACCTGTTGACGTCCAATATGATGAAGTCTCTCTCTCTGATGCTATGCTTGATCCCTCTACAGATCACCAACAACTTTGAGACAGACTCTCTAGCGTTGTTCAAAATCAAGTCCAAAACCGGCTCAACTCTTTCATGTATCGACCTCAAGCTCTCATCCATCACCACCGTCAATTCAAAGCACTTGTGCAGCCTAGCATCTGCTGACGAAGCTGTTAACGGTGATATTGACAAAGATGGCTCAAATACTGTGCTGAAGCCCTTAGCAATGCCCACAGAATGGAGTAGAAACAACTTCGTAAGCACTGTATACTTGGAGACTTCCGTGTCCAATGTTTTCACCAGCTGCTCCACAACCATGAACTTGCTATGTAGCAGGTCAAACGTCTCATCTGGCGGTAACTGCTCACCACCAGTGCTCAACTTCTGTCTAATGATCTGGGGAGCCCTCACCAAAGACCTCTTGAAGTTAACCCAGTCCGTATCGTTGCGCAATTCGTGAACCATACACTGGAACCTGTCATCGAGGTTAGAGAAGCTCATCGGTGTGGAAAACCAGTGATGATGATGATGATGATGATGACGGCTGTAGAACCCCTACATCAACAGAATCATACCATAGATGCTTTGTGGCATATCTACACAATCAATGGAGCCAACAGTCACACAAAAGCGTCACCAATTGGCCTCACACAGTAACAAACAGTGGCATGTTGGAACACACACACGCGTCATCTGTAGATGTTGTTGTACTTTGGTGCCCACATACATAGGACGCAGTAAGAAGATTACACTCCGGCTAATGACAGCACCGGTTTTGCCCTAAGAAGAGGCCTGACCATTAAATATTCGTCCACATTACAAACCCCGTCCAGCGAATCGTACTCAATTGGCCAACTTCACACGAGACAATTGCTGAAATCAGCACTAATAACTCTTCGCCACCTTCACCAGTTGAGCCTCATCGCACCAGCGAAAACAGCTCTCGCTTCCGTGAGCGTGTCGGTATACGTATGTGCCCCTACCACTATGTATGCTTACATAAGCTTGGCCCCATTGCCATGTCTGATTACGTAAACTCGCAGCTTCGAGTTCGCTGATTTTTTTGTTGCGATGACCCTCTGCGATGTTTGTGCTGGTCGGAGTTGAAATTTTATTATCGTGAAATGGGAATATATAAAGGGATGCCAGACCCCTAATTTCTCTTCCCGTTTTGCCTTCTCTCCATACTTCAACAACTAAAACAAAGATATCGATACTCTACAATGGGCTGCTGTTCTGATCCATCCTCAACTACATGCAAATGCGGAACCTCTTGTTCCTGTGAGAAGTGCACTTGTCCTCCACCAGAGCCTAAGAAGGCTTGCACCTGTGCTTCCAAATGTTCCTGTGGAGCCTCGTGCTCCTGTCCACCAGACAACTGTACCTGCTCCAAGTGAGTGGTGTAGCTGGTGACGCCAGTGGAATTGCTCTCTCTGTCACTGGGGTGGCCCCAGTGAAGTGAAGCTGATGCCATGTTTACATACACAGACATAAATACGCTTGATGAAGACAAATATGATGACTCTTTTAATTTGACCAACGAGGCGACGTCTCTTGTGTAGAACTCGTGGAGAGTGCCTCTCCCCGTAGTGAATTGGCTTACAAAGAGGAATGGTAACGTTTATGTTCTTGGCATAAATGTATAAACACCTTACAGTGCTGTGCACTGTCATAGCGAGGTATCCATGATTTCAACACCAGGCCTAAAGCTTTGACCTTGTGTTATAGAACGCCAAACGGCGAACACCTTTTGCTTCCAAACACCCAACTCACGGTCATCCTGGATGAGATTGGATAGACACCTTCTGCGCAGCTCATAGGAATCAGGTTCAATGATTCTGTTTCCAGGTTCCAATATCCGATTCATTATACTTGGTGCACTTGTCAATAGATATGCCTTTGTATACGAATGGGACGTTAGTCCCAAGGCGAAAATTAAAAAGTTCAAATAGTCACATCTCGAGAGATAGCCTGAATGGAATTGAGGTTCAGCCAGTTTAAACGCGCCTTCAGAGCCCATGAGTGAGATATAAATTGCAGCATTTTGATCAGAAAGTGGCCCCAGAGATTTGATTATATCCTTGCGATACTCATAAATGTATTCAGGGCTCAACATTATAAGTAGATCAGTGTCTTCAATCGATATGTGAACAGACTCATCGTCAACTTGCTTTGTTAATTCCATAGATGTTCTTGAAAGGGCACCAAGCAACCCGTTCAAGGTATAATGAGCTGTACTCTGTTCATGCGAGCAGAATTCCTTTGATAAGCTCACTATGGATTGAGAAATATCATCCACAATCCAGTTCTTCCCCAGTTCTAGTAGGCTTGTGTAAAAATCAATTGTGGAAACGATCCAAAAGTCATCGTCAAGCCATTTGTCAAACTGGTACAAGTCATCTGGAATTTCACCCGGTTTCACGTATTGGAACAGTTTCAAGAGGAGGTCGTTCAATCTCATACGAAGACTCACACTAGCCAGCATGCGACGTAGCGTCCCCAACACCTGTGAACTCAACAGCCTTCTGCGTATCAGTTCACCAGTCACCAACACCGTCATGGATTTTTCGAAATCGTTGACAACGCCAACAGTTGAGCCTTCATTGGCAAACAATTCAACACAGAGTGGAATAAGCTCAGTATTGGCGATGATATCAACTGGCTGGGCCTTGCCCACAACTTTCAACCCCAGGGACTGAACCTGAGGTACAGGCGATTGCAGTGCTGTGGCGATGGCTTCCACGGGGAACAACGATATGATTGTTTCAAAGGGCAAGGCCTTGAGGAGCACATCCAGCAACGATAGTACAGCCTCTAGGTTGTAGTCCTTCCCAACATTCAGCAGCCGAACAGCCAGCTGTGCTATAACAGCCAACGATTCCTGATGATCCCAGAGTGATTTATCCAGTGAAAGCCGATCCGTAGCCGACTCCAAGTACCCATCGTCGAGCTCTTTGTTCTCTAGCGCGCTGCTTAGCTGGTTTTGGATCTCTTTAAGGAAGCGCTCTTGCTCGTTAGCCATTTGTTGTTGTTGTTGTTGTTGTTGTTGTTGTTGTTGTTGTTGTTGTTGTTGTTGTTGTTTATTTCTGTGGCAAAGCACGGGAAAACAAAAACATCAACACTTTTATGGCCCACAGGGCGCCAGCGGGAACGACGCTCAGCGAAGAACCCACGGCGTGTAAGACAATGATCCAGGACGCAATAACACAGAACAAACTCTTCACAGAGACGAGAATCCCATCATTGTACTCAGACTTCAAGAAGCTGGAGCAGATCAACCCGGACGGCTATGAGGCCAACCTTATCGCGTGGAAGTTGCTTATTCAACAGTTGTTCCATGGCGGGCACCTCTCCAATTGCTTTGTATTGGATACCACGGGGTTGCTGGATGAATTGACGTTGGCACACCACGGCAAGCCGATGTGTGTTGACCTGGTGTTGGAAACAATGGTCAAGGCCGGTGATTTGATTCCCTGGTCTGTATGGACGTCATCGCATGATGGGATATACGCTAAACATTGGGTGAAGCCTGTGGTGTCATGGGCCATTAACAGGTTCGTATGGGATACAAGCTATAAGCTGAGTGATAAGAAGGGGCTGAAAGCGGATAAGCTTGTGAATAAATCCATGCTCGAGGGGTACACGAAGGAACTCTTCAAACTGATATCCAACAAGCGTCATGAGCTCTTGTTTGAGAAAGACCAGCTTAGACATTTTTTGAATGAACACCCAGTAGCAGTTGAAGGGGTCAAGAGGCAACTGTCTGACTTGGACTACGAAGTATTGCTGACATTCCTCAAAAGAGACCTTCACAAGGTGCAGATTAGAGATGGCATTGTGAAGTTTGGAGAGGATGAAATCACTCCAGAGGATATTGGTATATGTGAGATCAAAACCACTATAAAGAGATTAGAGGACAAGAATAACGAGCTGCAATCAAAGATTGACAGCACAAGCGTAAAACTGAAGCAATCTTTGGCTAATAAGAGCAACAAACAGCTCTCTTTAAACCTGCTCAGATCTAAAAAGATTGCAGAGCAATCTTTGAGCAAACAGCTAGCATCGTTAACTCAGTTAGAGTCGGTGATGTACAAGATTGACGAATCATCCTCAAACTTACAATTGCTCAACGCCTTGGAGAAAGGTTCTGTTGTTCTGAAGAGCTTAAACACCCAGTTAGGTGGTGTAGAACGTGTTGAGGCAATAATGGATGAGATCGAAGATCAGAAGTACGCAGCTGATAAGATCACTGAGGAGATCACCAGATTGGACGAGCAAGTAAATGATGAAGAGGTAGAGGAGGAACTGGCGAAGATGCTAGCAGAAGAGACATCAAAGGATAAGGAAACAGAAGAGATTGCCAAAAAACTAGAAGGATTGGAAATTGCACCTTCAAAGCAGCCTGAGAAGAATGTGAATGAGAAGATAGAGCAAGAGAATCAACCACTACACAACTAGATGTATCCCTCCCATGCCAAAAAAACTGAACAGATACATTGTTTATTTGCTTTCCAATGTCTTTGAATAACCTACTGCTAATGTCATCCCAAGGACAGTGTCCCATTCACCAACTGTGTGTAAGGATTCATCTTCAAATATTGTGATCCAGCCCAGCTTGTCGCTATTGGGACAATCATCAAGTGGTGTCTTGGAAGTTAGCCCATCTTCAGGCGAATAATAGGTGGAACAGTCCGCCAAGTCGCTCTCTTGATGATATACCGTGGAATTTGTGTTTAACTTCCTATTCATTTTGGATAACACTCTCTTCTTCAACCTCAGTTCATGTGGTCTAAACAATGAGAGCGTAGTGTGAGAGACTCGCTGACAATATACAAACCGTTTATTTTTCAACTTCGTACTGAATTGTCTTTGACGTATAACGGAGCCAACAGTCAAGTTAGTGTCGAGTATTTGATACCTTATAGGCTTAACATCCCCCATTTCAAGTCTCACACGCTTAAACTCATCAACTGGAACCTCCTTGCACATGAAATGCTTTGCTATGAAGTCCTGTGCGGGCTCTACTTCTCCTTCATCGTCAAGCACGAACTTCTTCAGCCCATCAACAACGAAGCTAGCATCCTGTCTCTTCGTTATAGTCATAAATACAGAGTTCTCCAGTTCATCTCGGAACACCATTCTGAAACCCTGAGCCCCATCTTTCGAGCCTTGAGGGAATTGAACTTGCACGTGGATACTTGGAGCGTTACGACACATCAGGTGCCTCTGAGTTGGATTTGTTGTCAAGTAAAGATCAGATGTACCCAGCTCCAATATATGGTACTTCCAAAACTTCTGAGTCTTATGTCTACTGACCTTGTTACTCTTCCGTCTCAGGTCGAGCGGTGATCCCACTGAGTGTCTTATAGAAGATGTTCCTGTATGACTCGAAGAGCTGGACCTATTTGATAGGCTCGCTGAAGAGCGAGCTGCCGTTGTGGCATCGAGACTCATGGGCCGTTGAGGCTTCCTCTCCAATTCGTCCTCAGCCCTTGAGCACAAGGGTTGTAGGTTTGGGTTCGAGCTTCTTAACGAGCTCAGCTCTGAGACCAAATCTTCATAGCTCGCATCACCATAGCTTGCATCATCGTCTCCAGCAATGGTTGATTCTGCATAAGGCGATGGCTGTGCTGGTGATGCCGATGGACCTGATGATACCGGTTTACGCCTTGGAAACTTCAAAGAGTGATTGCGTAGCATGCTATGGACATCAGAACAGGCACAATTGACAGAAGAAGACGTTAAAGAGGTCAAATATCCAGTAATTAATCCATCCTTGTGGTGAAGAGAAGAGGAAGAAGAACTATTAATCATTGAAGAAATCCTGGTATAACGGATATACACTTCCTCGACTTCCCAAAACAGTAGGTCTATGTAAGTCTCGAGACAATAAATGAAGAAACAACCAAAAGTGGGAAAAGGTAAACAAAGAAACTCTTCAAGGACGCCATTCAGAAAAACACACAAATCACGACAAGTACGCCCTATTGCTTTGATTTTGAAACATTCTAAGAGCACATTGCAATGTCCTTCAACTTCAGGCTCTCACAGCTCGATCCGTTGCCACAGATCGAAGGTGTACAGTATGGCAATACCATAGGACAAGGTTCGTTTGCGATGTATGTGTGACCCGTTATCTGATGTTTGCCATGAGATATATATACTAACGTTCTGGTAAAGTGTGAAATCCGCCACTATGAAAGGGCAGGTGTTTGCCATCAAGTTCATACATAGAGAGATAAGCCATAAGCACGGTCTTTCAGATGATGATATCGGCAGAGAGGTCCTATTACACAGGCAGTGCTCTGGACACCCCAATGTGATATCAGTGCTACATTTCGGTACTGATTCGAATTGGCTGTTTGTCGCCATGGAGCTTGCAAGTGGTGGTGATCTGTTCGACAAGATCGAGCCGGATATCGGGGTCGACGAGCAAGTGGCTCACTTCTTCTTCAAACAGATGATCAACGCCGTGGAGTTCTGCCATCAGAAGGGCGTGGCGCATAGAGATATCAAACCAGAAAACATCTTACTGGACGAGCATGGCAATTTGAAGCTCGCAGATTTTGGATTGGCAGCTGTCTTCAAGAGAAAAGATGGGTCAAGGAGATCATGTTCGACCCCATGTGGCTCGCCACCGTATATGGCACCTGAGATTGTCTCAGGGAAATACGATCCTGCCCTCACAGATATATGGTCATGTGGTGTCGTACTGTTTGTGATGCTCACTGGTGAGACTCCATGGGACGAGCCCACTAAGAACGATTATCTGTTTTACGACTTCTTGAAGAATGATGGTAAGGTGAACCATTCTCCCTGGAACAGGTTTAGTCCTCTGATATTATCACTGTTGAGAATGATGCTGAAACTTCAAGTCGATAAGCGAAGCTCCATGGATAAGATACGTGCACATCCATGGGTCAATAGAGACAACAACTTTTCAACACCAGATGGAATGTGTAAAGATACGTATTTGCTCACTTCGAAACTATTTGAGAAGTTGCATATTGGATTGGGTGATGATGAACACAAGCTTGCCAGTTCTAACGATAAATATGGTTCTTTGGAAAGCCAATTTACAGCTTCTCAGCCTGTCGCTGATATTGCAGCAATGCTGGACGACCAAGAGTCCTTCCACTTACCAGCTACACAGCAAGAGTTTACAGAGTATGACCGTGAGGTGATGAAGAACTCCCTAACCACTGAGAGGGAGAGTATCTTCAACGTCATATCAAAGGACCCGGCAATGCTGCAATTTGCCAGCGACAAGACCAAACTGGAGAAGTCTGCTTTGGTTCTACACAATGCTGAGAGACTAACACGTTTCTTCTCAATTCAACCCATAGAGACCTTGATACCCATCCTCCTCTCTTCCTTGAACAGAAGTGGCATCTCCACTGCTGGCTTCCACTACGATAACATCACAGAGCACAACCTGAAATCGCATCCTATCCAGATCAGCGTCGTTACAGTTGACAGAAGGAAGATGTATCTACGTGGAAGCATAAAGGTGTCAAGGACACCAGGCTTGAAGCTGAAGACCGTTGAATTTGTAAAGACAAAAGGTGATCCACTGGAATGGAGACGGTTCTTTAAGCAGATCACGGTGCAGAGCAGAGAAGCTGTCTACATAGATCAATGATTGCTACCTTGAGCAGTTCATCCTTCCTATAAAATGAAGTAGTACATATGTGGATTGATTATGTAATGCTTACTAAGCTGAGGGTCGGTGTTCGGATTAACCACTTGCCGAACGCTCCATGATATCCGCACTCACATAAATACACACACACAACAACTCACGATCTTCAGGGCTTCTTTCACTGAGCAGGACCGTGTTTACAGGCAGTCAGAACCACCGTCCCGTAATTCCAGAGATGTCCATAGACCGAGTGTTTGGTTCATCAGTCGCCTCTGCGGTTAGTGAGTCAGTTGCGCAGAATAGGGTGCTCGTTGTCTACGTCCATGGAGGCGATAACACTTGGATTGATAGCGTGCTCGATGATGAGTTGATGGCTCTTATAGGGGACAGGGGCGTCGCATTACAGCTGTTGAAGGGTTCGCCTGAATGTGATATGTTTGAGCAGGTGTTTGGCGAAGTTGTTCCTCCATGTGTTTACTGCTGTAAGGTGAATCAAGTTGTTGATGTTGTAAAGAGTGACGTGGAGAAAGAGCAATTCAAACAGAGGTTGACATCGGTACTTGAGTCCCAAGGACCTATGAGTTCATCACAACGGGGCTCGGCATCAGCTGCTGCGACACCAACTTCTTCAACGCCGTCTGTGGCGAGCGCATCACCAACGCCTCCCATCAAACCAGCCCCACAAAAGAGGGAGTACAAGTCTTTGAAAGAACAAGCGGCTATGGAGTCTGTACACAGGTATCAGCAGGAGCAACTTCGGAAGAAGAAGAAAGAGCGCGAAGATAGGGATCGTATCAGAAGGTTGTTGAAAGCTGATGAAGAAGAACGGAGGAGTAGGCAACGTGAGGAGAGAGAACGTCATGAAGGCCACGTCGATGAGGAGGTTACGCATGAACTCAGAGATAACATCCACCATGATCACGACGAGTCTGAATGTGCACTCTCCATACGTTTGCTGGATGGACACTCCCTACAACACGTTTTCAAGTCATCCTCTACGCTCAACGATGTTCGAGAGTGGCTAGACAAAAACAGAACTGATGGTGAAGACCCATACTGTTTCCACAGAACCATTCCAAGGGTCACATTTGGTGTGAATGACGAGGAGAAGACGCTCGAATCACTGGAGTTGACTCCTAGATCGGCTCTCTTGCTCAAGCCTTACTCCAACTACGTGACTGCATACGGTGGATCACAAGCAAGCTCATCAGGGATATTTGGCCGTCTGCTTGGTGGGCTGTCATCGTTCTGGGGAGGCAACAATCAGGCTGCTGAACCCCAGATCCGTACCTCGACGTCTGGAGATGGTGACTTCGAGCCTTATCGTGACGAGCCTTCACCGCAGTCCTCGAGGTATGCATCTCCAATGCAATCACCAATGGCACCGGCATCGTTGGACCTGTCACACCCTTCGTCATTGAGTCTCAATATCCATGCTGGAGACAGCTCGACCAGGGCACAGTCGCCGTTTGGTGAAGACGATCAAAGCCAGGCTCAGCATCAACAGCAACAGCAACAGGCACAGCACCTTCCAACTCGACTGGACTCGCCTCTGCCACTGTCGAGAATGAACTCTGGTCTGAGTGCCAATGTGAGAACGTTTTCGAACCAGGCAACACACGATGAGAATGGCACTTATAACGGCAATAATGTTAACCTCGATGATCACAAGAAGAAATGAGCTTATGACCTTCTTTCCAATTATAACGCTGCTCAGGACATAACAGAATGTAATTTGTTTATATGCTTTATGGTTTGTAGAGTCTCCGTATTAGGAAGTCAAGCATACACGAAACGAAAACAAACACAAAAACAAAAACAAAAAGTCTTACGTCATTCCAACAGAGTACAAAAACACGCCAAAAATCACCCAGCACCGCTCCCGCGGTAACCAAAACAACGGGAATGAAGAAGAGGGAAAAAAAACACAGCAGGGGAAAACCTCCATTTTGCCAAAGGTTTTAACGTTCACCAGCAAGAAACCCAATCATAGTGGGCAAACGGCAAGAACAGCACAACCAATCAAAGGGCACAGATCAAGGCCGTTTGCAAGGAAAAGGAGATGAGCGAAGAAGAACGAGGACGTGTCGTGTCGTCTGCCTCCGCTAACAGCCAATTGACGGTACAAGGCCCACAGTCAAAAGCGCCTACGAGTGCTGTTACACAGGGGACCGAAATGGGCGGGCCCGCAAATGTGCGTAGCGGTAGCGTGAAGAGCGTGGACGAGGACAACAACAACAACAACAACGGTGGTATTGGAGGCGGCGGTAACGGCAGATCAACGAGCGGTAGCTCTGTAAGTCAGATTGTTCCAGCTTCGTCAGCAGAGCTTTTAGAGGAGCCGAAGATTGTGAAGGCGCTCAACTCGGATCAGGCGATTGAGGCCCTTCTAACGCGTTTGAAGCGCAGCATCAACACCTGCGATGAGTTCTGCAAGTATGTGCGTAAGAAGGCGATGCTTGAGCAGGACCGGGAGGAGCATCTGAAGAAGATCACCCGATCCACGAGCGAGGTGCTGAAGAACAACGTGCAGTCGTTGAAGAACGACTCGTTTGTCATGAACCTGGATAAGATCATCAAGATTGAAGAGAGGATTGCAGTGAACACCGCTGCCTATAGCAAGGAGCTGTTCACGATGCACGATGAGTTGAGCTCCATGGCTTCCACGTTCACAAGACAGAGAAAATCTGTTAAGGAGAACTTCAAGAGAAAGGAGAAGGAGGTGATTGACTCGATTTCCTCTGCCGACAAGGCCAAATCCAAGTACGACCAACTGTGTCTTGAATTTGAGAGGGTGAAGACTACTGATCCTTCTAAGAAGACGTTCACGCTCAAAGGTTCCAAGACCACAAGTGAACAAGAGGAGATCTTACACAGGAAGATTGAAGCTGCAGACTCTGACTACAGACAGAGAGTTTCAACGTCAACAGGGTTAAGAAATGTATTCTTGAACACTTTCAGACCAAGCATTGCGCAACAGTTGAAAGACTTGATCATTGAGATTGACATTGCAATGTGTGTGCAGATGCAAAAGTATGCCACAAGGTTTGAAGATGTTGTTCTACAAACTGCACTGAGCATAACACCAATGAAGGGCTCAAACAACCAGTCTATGAAGACGATTGCGTCATCGATTGATAATGAACGTGATCTGTATCAATATCTGCTGAAATATGTCAACCCTGCCCAGACTAATAAGCAGTTGATACCTGTTGAGTATAGACAGCATCCTTCTATGGTTGTTGGGGGCGGAGGTCCTAAAATCATCAAAACCTTCAACAGTACAGGTGTTAATAATGTGTTACCAAAGCAAAGGGTAGACTCACCGTTCACGAAAACCACAGCTGCAGCTGCAATTTCATCAGCAGCCATCACACCTTCAATCAAGCCGTCAGATTCGAAGAGTCTAGATCAGAGCTCAATATTGACTGGGCCAAGACCGCAATCGGTGATTAATAACGACAATGTTCCATTACCACCAGGTACACAAGCTGGTTTCAAGACCTTTGGAACCCCAATAGGTGAATTGATTGACTTTGAAGGAGAGATGGTGCCATCTGTGGTTCGTCAATGTATCTACGTTGTGGATAAGCATGGATTGGAACTCGAAGGCATTTATAGAACTAGTGGTAATATTGCCACAGTGAATTCGTTGAAGGAGCTGATCGATAAGGACCCTGCAAATATCAAACTGATATTACCTAATCCAAATTCCATCACTGATAGTGATATCTATGCTGTTGCATCACTCTTGAAGAACTACTTCAGCTCACTACCTGAGGGACTACTCACGAACGCCGCTGCACCACAGTTCTTGGAATACGTAAAGATTGCAGAACCGGACATCAGATTAAAACGTATTCACCAGGTTGTGTACGATCTACCGGATAGCTCCTATTGGACTCTGAGAAGTTTAATCCTACACTTGGCAAAGGTTTCAGCAAAGCAAGATATTAATTTGATGAGCCAGAGAAACCTGGGAATTATTTGGGGTCCAACATTATTCCCTAAGGGCGAGTTAAACGCAAGTGATATGACATTCCAAGGAAGAGTCGTTGAGGAGTTAATCATCCATGCAAACGATATCTTTGAAGCTGATTGAAGTGTGGAATTACACGATATAACAGAGAAACAAAAGACAAAAAGACAACGTAAAGAAACATGAACTATTAATGATTAAACCGGTATACGTCTCTCCATGGAATTTGGAAAAGACTTCAAGGCTTGTATTTGATGTAGTTGTCCAATCCTCTTTCAAGGTAGTCCTTCTGTATGAGATCTCTTATGAGTGTTTCCACATCTTGTCTTTGAATGATATATTTCTCCAATACGGCATTGATCAAATCCTCCAGTGGATACGATTCCTTATGTTTCATTAGCCTCGTAATAAATGCTCTGATGAGTTCATTTCTATCCTCGTTAGAAACCCCAGGGCTTTCGTCATCTTCTTCAACTGCATCACCACCTCTCAAACGCATCTGAACTTGACGAAGTTTGATGACTTTTCGCTTATCACTGAAGTCCTTGTTCATGGAGTAAGCATTGTCATCCTTTGTTAAGATCCTGTGTTTCCCGTTTGTCAAGGAGTACAGTACTCCACTCAACGTCCCAGAATCCATACGTACAAGTGCCTTGATATCTTCAAACGATAACGAATCGTGATCATTGAACAACAAGAGCACCAAGCCTTGGAATTCACTGGTGTGTAGTTGTTTATCACCATGTGGGAAATGTGCTTCAATAACCATTGAGCTCATGGCAGGACACCACTGTAGCTTGTGCTTCTTATCGTCTGACCATTTGTCCAAGTAAAACTGCTGGAAATCCAATATCAACGAATTGAGGTCAGGTGGAAGAGCAGCAGTTCCTTTTATCACAGGCCATGAATAAGAGTTTAGAACCAAGGGGTGGAATTCGCATGACGTCGTTAACAGTTGTGATGAGGTTTGATAACCGAGCTCCAAGTCATGAGACTCTGTCATGTCGTGAACCATTGTTCTCATTGGTTTTATGATGTCCTCATTAACTTCGTTTCCCAACATCTGTAGCATACTATCCTCCAATTCCAGGCTTGGTGTTGTTCTCTGGATTAATCGCTTTGAGAGATCACCTTTCCACATCTTGAGGAAATATTCCTTATCCTGAATGGATTTGAACAGAAGTAGTATGTCTTCAAGGGAAGCCTTTTTCGTTTCAAGGGAAAGCTCTGCTGAACGGAAGAAGTTATCGATTGACTTACTCAACTTGTATAATGTTTTGCCATTCGATATGGCAGATTGAAACGAGTCTCTGGCCTTATAGACCAAGACCTTATTTGGGCTCTTGAAATGAGACACTGTCTCACTGATGTCAGACTTGAGGTCTATGAGTGGCTGCAAAAGTTCAGACATCGCAGAGTCGTCCACAACATTGTTCACTGACCAGCTGACAAAATCGGCGAATCCTTGTAGAAACAGCTGAAGATACTCCCTCTGGTCCAGTGTATTCTTGAGTATTAGCTCATTCCACAGTTTGTGCAGTAGCTTGATCTTATTTGTTTGGAACATCGACTTTGCAATCTCACGGAGGTCATCTTCATATTTATAGAGTATCAGATAATCCCATAGTACCCTGTGCATAGCATCGAGGAACTCATCGTTCATTCGACACGCTTTCCACATGTCTAATTCCTTCAGAGATGCCCTATAGTTGATCTCGAACCTATTCTCTGGTGGTATATTTGATACCACGTAATCGTGTGCTTCGGTAAAGTACGCTCTGGAGCTTTCGAGTAGTCTCTTATCGAGAGTATCCCATTTGGCCAATGTATGGTACCTGGTAAAGAACTCGAGTTCTAATGACATGTCAGAGATCTCGCCTCGACGTACTCGACACAGTATTTGCTCAAAGCTGTTGTAAAGATCATCCCATTTCCCACTAATCGTGAGTGAAGTGTATAACGTGTAGAAGCCATTTTCCTTTATAGTCTTCTTCAAGGGGTGATTGAGCAGATACGTTCTATCCAGATAGAGGAATATCCTCTCCAGTATATCCAAGCGATGGTACAGCCAGTCGTACAGGGTGACAAAGTTCTTCAGTAGCTCGTCTCCTTCTCCTAGTAGCACCTGTGTTACCAGTGAGTTGATACTGCTATCAGTGGCTTCGAAAAGCTGTGTGGCCAAGGGAGACTGCTGCCTATCACGGCAGATGAACTCCACGTACTTGTACAGTTTGTTATAGCCCACGGTGAGTGGCTGTTCATCCTTGGAACACTGTAGTACGCGTCCAACCTGCTCAAACAACGTTGAATAGATCTCCCGAAGATAAGGTGACAGTCCACGCCGATGCTTCACCTTATGCTTGCTAACATTTGACATCATTAAGGTGCTTCAGAAGCCTGACTGTGGGAAGGAAGTACACAACTTCGGTGCTCCAATGATTACAGATAATTTGCACAATAGATTGTGGATCTAGAACGATGGGATTACCGAGTGAAATCACTAGATGGCCCTATTAATACCTCCAACCTCATCAACATGAAACGAGCCCATCACCTTGAAATTCTATGTAGCCTCGTGTACAACTTTAAAGTTTGAGAAGCACGGAAACACCCGGACATGTAATCATCCTGACACCAGGAATACTCGGACATGTAGCCACCCGGACATGTAATCACCCGAACACCAGCAGATGACGTCATCCGGTACCTGATAACACACAGCTTTTTCCCCCTTCTCAAAGCTGAAACTTTTCAACTTCGCTGGGCCGTTGGTGCAACCACCACGGGAGATAAGATATCAACGAGGGAAGAGAGATAGTGCCCAATTAGGAGTCATCCAGGAGGGTTGCCATACATACCGAGTACATACATTAGCTGCGTCTCCCCGTGTAATCTTTTCGATACGCTTTCCATAGATAGAAAGTGGAACAGGCCGTACACCACACTAGGCGAAATAGGCCGTGTCCGTCTTGTATATCGAGAGGTGGGAGGATTGAGCAATTGGTGGTTTTCTTTATATACACACACATCGATGTCGTCGAACGAGGAAGACGCAAAGACCCTCGAGGTGCTGTACAAGCGTAGAGGGTACTTTGATGCAAAGAGAGATGAGCTACTGCAACAGTTCAAACAGACAGACACACATGCCCAGCTGCTGGAGATGATCAAATCCATAGTGGACGAGATTGTGCAGACCAAGCCGGAGCTGCTGTTGAAGAATAAGGGCCAATTGGCTGCATTGATAGAGGGAATTATCCTCCGTCAGAACTCTGCTGCACACGAGTCCTCCCTGACCAATTTTGGCATCGACGTTTCCAAATTGTCCAACCACGACAACTATGACGTCTACCAGCTGTTCGAGAAACAGGTCAAGAGCTCCACGGAGGGCTCCGAGGAGCTCAGAAACAGCCTCATCCAGACCCTACACACACTACGCAGAGAGAAACTACCCGACTTGACGTGACCCGGTGACGCTCTCAGTCTTGTCACTCAGCAACGACGCCAGCAGATTCCAAATTCGTCTACACAACAATAAAATAGCCAAATACTCACGCAAATGACAACATGCACCATATGCAACCCATCTCACTACGCGTAGATAGAAACAATCCGCCACTGATAGCTGCAAATTACGTCCCGGAACTTGCCATTGGAGACGTTGACGCAACTCTGTGCCGGTGGTTGAGGAAACCACAGAAACGTCCAAACGCGGAAAGTTTCCGTTTTCGGCCACAAAGCCAGTCACCTCGGAGATGCCCAGGCCTGCTGAGGCAGCCCTTCTATCCACTTCTCTGATAGTGAGCCATTGGAGTACTTAAAGGTATCGATAGCACGGTGTTTTCCCCTGGTTTGTCACTGTTGGTCTCCATACAAGCAGCTCACCAAACGATGAAGTATACTTTCCTTTGTGCGTCTCTTGCCAGTGCGTTTATCCTTCCTTCCATTGTGGAAGAGGCTCTCCAACAAGTGCTGATTTCCACAGAGGAGCGTGTTGTAGACATTGCACAGCAGCTCTCGTCAGTTGGCAAGAAGCCAACTGACAACAGCACCTACGAAGCACTGCCATTGGTTGACTCCGAGTCTCTCCAGGCGTTGATTACACACGAAGCGTTGAATGCCAGTGCGCTAGAGCTCTTTGCCATTGCCAATGCTTCTGTCAAGGAGTATGGCCATCCAACCAGGGTCATCGGCTCTGGAGGCCACTACAAGACCTTGGGCTGGATTGAGAAACAGTTGAAGAACATGTCTGACTACTACACGTATGAGAAGCAGGAGTTCAAGGCTCTTAACGGAATGGTCTTCAACCACTCGCTCTCAGTCAACGGTGTCAAGGTGTTGGACGAGAAGCCGTTCCAATTGACGCCTGCTGCCCACGTCTACTGGGCAGACTTGGTTGTCATCGATAACTTGGGATGTGAAGACATCGATTACGCGCCATTGAACGCTTCTCTGTCGACAAACACCGTTGCCTTGATCAAGAGAGGTGAATGTCCTTTCGGAAACAAGTCCAGCTTGGCTGGTAAATGGGGTGCCAGTGCTGCTCTTATCTACGACCCAGAGTCTGATGAGATCATCACAGGCACTCTTGGTACTCCAACAAACACCACAGTGGGCACCTTGGGTATCTCAAAGACCTTGGCAGAGTCGCTCATTGCTCAAAAGAACGCTGGTGTTCCTCTGAAGATCAACATGTTCATCGCTGCTTACGTTGGTTTCATCAAGACCAAGAACATCATCGCCACAACCATTCATGGTGACCAGGATAACATCGTTGCCCTTGGTGCCCACTCAGACTCTGTCGAGGCTGGCCCTGGTATTAACGATGATGGCTCTGGGACAATCTCCTTGTTGAACGTTGCAGCTCAATTGACAAACTTCAAGATCAACAACGCTGTCCGCTTTGCTTGGTGGGCTGCTGAGGAGGAAGGCTTGTTAGGCTCAAACTTCTATGCCTACAACTTGACTGCCTTGGAGAACTCCAAGATCAGATTGTTTATGGATTATGACATGATGGCTTCTCCAAACTTTGAGTACCAAGTTTACAACGGTTCTAATGAGCTGAACCCACCTGGTTCTGAGGAGTTGAAACAACTCTACATCGACTACTACGAGTCCAAGGGCTTGCCATGGGTTTTGATTCCATTCGACGGTCGCTCAGACTATGTCGGCTTCATCGAAACCGGTATCCCTGCTGGTGGTATCGCTGCTGGTGCTGAAGGTAAGAACTCACAGAACGGTGAAGTCTTGGACAAGTGTTACCACGCCTTGTGTGATGATGTTACGAACTTGAACTGGGATGCATTCCTTACGAATACCCAACTCATTGCTCACTCTGTCGCTACGTATGCAAACAGCTTGGAAGGTTTCCCATTGAGAGAGCCACCAAAGGTTGCATCCTCTGCTGATGTGCCATACAAGTTCAACTTGCACGGTAACTTCTACATTATGTAAAACCCACCACTCTTTTTTAGACCATCTATGATATTGGATGCTTTTATGTGCTTTTTTTATGATTATAAAATGTTTAGAATTTGACTTGTTGTAGCATTATGAATTAGTCAATTATTCATCTTGTTTCTTGCAGCTCTGGTTATGGCTCTTGCATCTTCAATCTCCTGACTGGTTCCATACGTCAAGTCCACCGCGTAGGAATATGCTTCACTATAGTTTCCCTGCTTCATCTCATGTCTAGCGAGCCATATTCTGGCCTTCGCTGTCTCATCACTGTGGTGCTCGGTGTTGACTTCTTCAACGTATATGGTTCTCATATTTGCATAGACCTCTGCTTCTTGGCCGAGTGTTTGGTACAATAGTGCCAATTTATAGACTATTGATAGGTCGATGTATTCGGATAGCGAAAGAGCCCTCTTATACGCCATTATCGAATCCTCAACCTTTTTCAACTTATCGAAACATTGGCCCAAGGCAATCCATATTCTTCTATCATGTGGCTTGATAATGGAAGCTTGTTGGTAGTAGTACAATGAGTACAGATGCATATCCAACACTTCGTACGCTTGTCCTAAACCATACCATGCTTTAAAATCCTTAGGGTTTGTATCAATAGCACGTCTATATGATTCAATTGCAGCGTGTGAGTTCTTACACTCGACAAATTCATGGCCCATTAATGTCCACGCGGCTAAGCAGTTTCTATTCAGAGCTAAAGCACGACGGTAGTACATGATGGCCTTTTCATGTTCGCACTTCAACGAGTAATAGTTCGCAATGATACAGCATGTCTCTGGTCTGAACTTATCCACTTCGTTTGCCAACTGTGCCAAGTATGACAATTTGGACTTCTTATCCATAACGTAGAGGATATTAGAATACGTATCCATGTCGTCCAAGCAGTAAGGATCTTGCTGAAGTACGCTGTCGAAGGTATTCTCTGCTTGTTGATACTCCAGGGCATGGTACGATACCAATGCGCTTTGAGTCTTTATGAAAGCAAAGTTTGGAAACAGCTCTAATAGTCCTTGTAAATCTTTGAAGAGTTGTTCAAAGTGTTGAAACAACTCCTGATAAATGACAATCTTACCAATTCTGACCATCGTCAAGGCACTAAAATCATGTGCAAAGTGTACTTCTAAATCGTGGAGTATCAGCTGAGCTTCATCCAAGCCCGTTATTGAAGTGATTAGCTCGCTCCACGAGCTCCAGTTGAAAGGGTACAGTTTGATACTCTTGATTAGTGTTTCTGTTGCCAACTCTGTAGACTTCTGTTTCAGTAAAAGGGCACCATAAAGATACAACAAAAAGGGATCATCGCTATACTGTGGGGACTCCAAGAGCGATGATAGTTCCTTCAACACATGTGGAGCATTGGCATTAGTCACTTTTGAGTCGTTGGCACCAAGGATTCCTTGACTCTCCTCTTCTCTTTTCCTATCACCGTCAATGTAGGTGGAGTGCAATCTCATAAACACAGCCTGGGGGGATTGGCACTTCCGTAGGGAGTAAGCACATCTGCTGAACTCCTTGGAGTTGAACTGCCCTCGTGCCAGCATCATACAGTCGCTTTCTCTATGAGGCAACGTTTCGAAGTTGTGTATCTGTTTATGTTTAACAGATGTTTCTACCTCCTCTGTTGGTTCTCTTAATCCAACGAGCGCTTCACCAGCCCACTTCGCCGCCCTCGTGAGGTTCAACGCACCGAGTAAGTTCACCGAGTGGCGAAGGTTCTGACGAAGCTCTTCAACGTCCATTGTGTGGTTCTGTGCAGTTGTTTGTTGATGTTTGTTGTTGTTTGTTGATGTTTGACATAAACAAAACTGTGAAAAAAAAACACAACAAACATCACCAACAACAAAGCGATAACAAGGCAATAGCGAACTCGGGGAATTCGAAATGAGCACAAACTCACAAAGTGAAGAGCCGATTGCTATACAGAGCCAAGATCCTTCAACGTCGTTGCTGGTGGAGCAGAATGAGCTATTGGATACCGAGTTTTCTAAGGCATTAGAGTCGATAGATTCACTTATAGCGTTATATTCCATACAACCCGATGACGAAGGCGCAAGGGAGCAGTGTTCCGATCTGCTCAAGGCCTTGAGGCATAACCAGCTACCTCTTGCTCAAGGAAGTGCCAAATTACTCGATCTTGAGAGGAGGTTCCACGAAGCGTATATGGACAAGCTGAAAGAGCTATCGCTATTGGAGGAGACTTCGTACTCACATGTGAGTAAGAACAATAAGATCTTCTTTGAGCAGAGGATGAAGAGTTTACAGGTGTTGGAGCTGGAGAAGTCCCTGGGCAAGATCTCCAACATCGAGCTTTCGAGTGGTGAACGGTTGGACGTTTCCCTCAGCAAAGAGCGGGTGATGGAGCTGCTGGAAGCTGAGCGTAAAGAGAGGGCCATAGTGAGCTTTAAGAACGAGGATCTCTTGAAACCAGAGATCAAGGATCTAAGACGTGATTACGACACTTGGGGCAAGAGGGACAACGAGCTCAAGAGGTATTTGGTTGACGACCTTGAGGCCATGGATAAGAAGGTGAAGGCCATCGTCACGAAGGAGAAGTGGGCTGATTAGTCTGGGCGTGAACTCCTAATGTTGAGGTTGTATAGCGTCTACGCGTAGTCTCTAATTCATGTATAACCTATGCCTTGAGTCCCCCTTTCCGTAGATGTAGTCCCCATTCGACGTACAGTGTGTACTTCGAGTCCCTGGTCCGTATAATAGTCCCCTGGGAGCGGTAGGCGCACGCCCAGAGACTACCCTGGTGTCCGGATGCGGTCTAGCCCAATACGGTATATACCTCTACGGTCTTCACGCATGCTCGCTTACAACCGTTACATTCACCATCACTTGTACTAGACAGGCATCGCTTCTGTTGCCACCACTACACAGTCGACTCCCAACAGCCAAGCACGGTAGTCCCATAGTCCCTTGGAACACACAGTCCCTGAAACACACACATGGCCTCGCCCACAGCGTACCACGCGCCCAACAAAAAAGTCCAAACAACAGCTATTCGACCTGTGCTCGGGCTCTCTTGGGACTTTTTTTCCAAAACGTCTTCTCTGCCTAGCGACTCTCCTTCAAAAGCCCTGGCCTCTGTTGTAGGCGCTGGCCTCTGTTTTAGGCGCCCATGCCCCACGACTTTGCAATCACACATCCCGCTGAAAATACTCACAGTCTCCCACAAGCGCTGGTTTCCCCACGTAAAAAAAGAAGGGCTAACAACACACACACGCACAAACGGTTTTTTCGCCTTCGGCTCGTACCCCCAAGGAGCGCAGGCCGCCGAAGATTTCCGCCCACAAAAAAAATTCTGCCCACAAAATTTTAAACAGAGAGAGAAAAGCTACAACGGTTCGCTTCCCCCCACACTCACACGCAGTGACAGAAGACCAACCAGGCCAGCAAAAAGTGGAAGTTCTCCTTTTAAAACCAGCAGAGAAGCCCGCAAAAAACGTACACACACACACACATAAAAAAAAAGCCCTACGCCAATAATCGTTCAGTCTCATCTTTCGGATCGGCTAAGGAAGTGAAGAATTGGGCCCGTTCAACATCGATCTCTCTTGTTACACTCATCTCGATCATTTCAACAGTATAACGCTTCAGAAGTAGAACACCATGGCTAGTGCAGGATCATCAGCTTTCAGACGCTTTCTCAACTCAGAAACGGGGCCAAAGACGATTCACTTTTGGGTATGTATACGCCTCTCGTAGGCCGTGTGTGTCTCTCTCATGCTCTCTCAGTGTGTGTGTGTGGTTGAAGCACCGTGGAGGGACTGCAAGGCCTTGGAACCAGGAAAAAAGGCTCTAAAGAAACTAACCCGCCGTATAGGCTCCAGTGCTCAAATGGGCCTTGGTGTTTGCCGGTATTAACGACACCTTCCGTCCAGTCGAAACCGTCAGTGGTACCCAGAACTTGTCTCTTCTAGCCACGGGAGTCATCTGGACCCGTTGGTCGTTTGTGATCAAACCGAAGAACTATCTGCTTGCCTCTGTCAACTTCTTCCTTGCGCTCACTGCCGGGATGCAATTGACAAGAATCACGCAGTATAGATTGAAAGAAGGCGACTCCCCTTCACAGATTGTCGATTATATCCTCAACGGTGCAAAGAAGCCAGTGGCTGCTGCCCAAGAGACGAATAGCTCGACAAAGGCTGTCTCGTCTGCTTAACACAGTGGAATGTCTTGATTGAACTTATTCTCGCGTGTGTGTGTATGTGCGTGGTTGTAATCAAATAGTCCAACAGCAGCACCAGCCATTGGCGTTTCAACATGGATCAAAGTCAACTCTTGGAATTCTTCAAGGATAAGACGCTGATACTCAGCACAATTATGCAAGAATGAACCGGTATAGTGAATGGTGAATGGTTTTCCCAAATGGTGTCGTGTAGCCCATAAGTGTAGTGCTCTAATAGCACTTTGGACGTAATACGCTGCTCTTTCCAGTATAATATGTGCAATGGAGCCGATAACACCAGGTTCGTTCAACAAGAGACAAAACTGCTCGCCGCTTATTGAGAATGGCTCTCTGAACGGACAGTGCAAATTAATTGGCTCGCTTATCCATACTAGTCTTAGCAACTCTCCCAAGTATCTTCCAGAAGTGAGCATTTCAAAAGGTTGGAACAGACACGCTGAATTGTTAGTAAGAAATGCCTCCTTCATGGTGCTAAACCTCTCATCTAACAGTAAATCGTACTCCGTTGGTTGTTCAAGGGACCCAAAGAAACCCAGCTCAACATTATAGAGAGTGGAGTCCCTCGCGAGACACATGTTAACACCAGTACCCAAAACCAACGCCATATTGGAACCTTTTGTTAATGCAAACATCATCAAACTGATGCTATCATTAACAACTCTTTTCACATCCACTCGAACGCCATGCTTATCAAATGCAGCTTTGAATACGCTATGCAATGGTGATGTTTCCAGCTGCTTATCCAAAGTCCAGCCTTTGCCCATTGTAATGATTCTGCCCTTGGGATCCAAGGGAAAGCTCCATGTGATACACACGGAATGTGGCAGCTCACCAGCAGCCTTAAAATCGATATCTTCAATACACTTCATAACTATGTCTTCAAAGAACTCATCGTTGACGAGCTTCAAGCTCTCATCAATGTCCCATCTCTTCCCAGCCACCATCTTGAAGTCCCCAGAGTCGCTATGGAACTCCACTATGCCTATCCTTAGCGTCGAGCCACCAAGCTCTATACATAGATGCCTTCCCTGGGTCCTCGTCTCTGTGATATCCACGGATGCACCCGACATGCGAAGCATTGATATCGGGGAATCACAACTATATGCTCTCTCTATCTGGTTGAGGATCAATCCATCAAGATGTGCCACTTTCGAGCTTTCAAAAGAGGCCCTAACTCTCTTGATAACCAGCGTATCGCTATCGACAGTCATTGTAATCAGTGCAACCTCCCCTGTACAATTTTGGATATTAATGTAGTGTTCGATAGCCGTTCTCAATGGTTTCTATCGCGAGACTGAAGGACAAACAGCCAAATCAGGCAACCTAGATGAATATTATATTATATTGTGGTTACAATTATATTATACCATCCACAATATTATAATCATTTCATTATAACAAGACAGATGTATCTGGATATCTTTAACAAAAACTGGGTATATATATATTTGGAGAAGACTATTAAAAGAAAAGGAGAATTAAAACAAACCATAACCATCACCACCATCCACCATGTCACTCATTTCTTCTTCTTACCAAATAGTCCACGCTTCTTCTTCTTTGGCTCCTCCTTACGCTCAGGTGCTTCATAGACACCTTGTTCCCCACCTGTGAAGCTGTGGACTGGGCCGTTATGACCGTAGCTTGTTGCGCCAGCTTCGTCATAGCCATCGTTACCATATGGATTAGAACCAAATCTTGGGAAGTCCTGTCTCACCCTGAACCCGAGTTGCTCAGACTCCAACTGATCCCTGTAACTCTGATCTCCCGTGATTGCGTATTCAAAACTTCTAATCGTGTCCAGCGGTCTTTCGTCTCTTGCTCTAGTCGGGTTCGAGATGTCGGGCTTGGATATTGGACGTCCAAACACGTCAAACATCCCCTGTTGTTGCAACATTGCAGAGTACGATTGTCTCTGTGTACCGTCATGGGAAACATCAGCAGGGATGGAGTTCTCAAAGGGCTGTGCCTCATTCACCGCTTGTAAAATGGGATCATGGACCGAGCCAGTACGCACCTTATAGTGTTGAGCATCCTCCTTGGTTAGATGAACGTCTTGTGCTTTACCACCAGAGCCCCCGGATCCTTGGGAAGCTGCAGATTTCTTTCTGAAGATAGCCATTGTTCGTATAGATGTAGTTCAATGAGAGTAGACACAAAGCTGTACACGTCAATATCCTGTTGAAAGCACACACACACAAACAAATAAAACACAGATCACTTTCTCATGAAGTAGACCGCTTTCTCTGTTACACCCTTTGTTTTGTTCTGTTTCTTTAAATAAATAAACAAAATTTTGCGTTCCTTGTTTCGCTCACCCAAAATAAACAGGAAACCACGGTGATTCCACGCCAGTTATACCAACACTCAAAATCTAAATTTTTTTTTCTCTTCTTCCCTCTAAGCCTGGAAACACAGCCAGTAAAAGAACAAATTCCTGCCCAAAACCCCAACCTCCAGTCCAATTTCGGCTTGTTTGCTTGTAAAGCCGTGTCATTTACACCGTGGTTACTAACGTGGGTACTGCGTTGCCAAAGTTTCCAGCAATTCCACGCAGAGATGGCCTTCATAGCCCACTTTTTACAGCCTCGTTTCGCTTTTCCGCAGTGCCTCGGGTTTTCGCGTCGGTGCAAAGCGCGGTGCAAGCCGAGAATTCTTCTCTTTTGTTGTTTGATTTGGCCAAGCGGACGTGTGCATCTACGGTGTTCTGGAAACGTTATTTTCTTTCAAAACCGCGTTTGTTGTCACGGTGATGGAGTTGGGGCGATTGGGATTATGACGGAATGGAGAGATTAGTATTATTAGGGGGAATATAATTACGTATAAGTATATATATATGTGTGTATATGAGTGGTTGTATACGTGCGAGGCCTGTGATCATTTCGCTTCCAACTGGGTCTCAAACTCTTCGAGGGTGATGTCTTTAATCACGTTCTGAATAGCGTTTGAAACAACCTTGTGGATCTCCTTAACCTCCTTCTCACTCAAGCCAACGTTAACCGATACGCGAAGGTGTGGTACTAGAGGTGCAATCTCTTGGGCCCATGAATATGCAGGTCTCATAACAACAACGCCTTGCTTGAGACATTGGTTAACAACGCTCTGGAGGAGGAACTGTTCGTTGTTCAGGGCCTCGATGAACTTGTCGCTGTAACCTTTCTTAACACGCTTCTCCATCTCCGAGCCTGAGCCGGTATACGAGAGTGGTAGTCCCAGACGAAGTCTGATGTCTGGATGGATTTGTAAATGCAATACAGATGATTCTCTGGCGGATCTGATTATAACCAACTTTTCCAGCTTCTTATCATTTGTAAAAGAATCGTACAACTGTCCGCTGTACTTGTGCAGCTTGGACATTAGCGGTGATTCGCCATACTCACGATCCTTGTTGATTAGTTCCAATGCCAAGGAAGTGGCTCTTGCTGTGTATGGAGGTAAGGAGGCTGAAAAGCAATAAGCCAAAGAACCAATTCTTTGGTGGTAGGACATGACTTTATCACCAATGCAGAATGCACCACTTGAGTTGAACGCATTCGCCATTGACGCAATGGAGATGTCAATTTTGGAACGAGGGATTCCAAAGTGTTCTGGTAATCCACGTCCACTCTTACCCAAGACACCAAAGGACAGGGACTCATCCAAAAAGATACGGAATTTGAACTTCTCCTTCAGTTGAATAACCTTGTTCAAATCTGGATAGTCTCCAACATTTGCAAACAATCCTTCTGTGACGATGAATTTTCTAGAGATAGGTTTCTCATACTTGAAGAAATCATCGCGAAGTGCAAACATGATTCTCTCCAAATCTTCCATATCGTTATGTTTATACCAGTAAACGTTTGCTCTTGATAGTTGTAACGCCTTTTGGATTGCAAGATTACAATTCGCATCTGCAACAACAAAATCGCCTCTCTTCAAGAATGAAGGTAACACCGAACCTGCTGTCGTGAAATCTTGACCGTACAGGACACACCCTTCAGAGCCAAAGAACTGTGCCAAATCATTCTCCAATTTGATGTGGATATCTTGATTTCCGTAAAAGTTTGGTGGGCCACACGCACCAACACCTGTGTTTCTTATCACTTTTTGTACTTCATGTTTGATGTATTCGTTTGAACCGAGATCCAGAAAGTTTAGGGTGGCTGCGTTTATCATCTTCTTATTATCGTATCCCTGGAGCTTAACATGGGCTACGATAGCAGCCTCGTTCACTGGTATGGAGTCTAGCTGCCATTGCTCGCGCTCATCAACGGGAACGGCCAGGGGTTCCGGCTCCCAATCCTCGCACAGGTCATCAACCTCAGCCTGTGTCAGTTTCACAAACCCTTTCTTCTTCACAGAGGATCTCGACGTGGTGAAGTATCTAATAGCAAAGACCAGCAGTCCAAGCTCCAACAATGTTCTTATTGGATCATTTCGATGCGACGACTTGATATAACGAACAACAATCGACCCGCCCGGGACCTTCTCCATATAAGTACCCGCCGTTACCAACGACTTCTCAAGGATGTGATGGGACGTATTAATAACATCCTCTATTGTTATGTTCTGCGCCATAGGTTCCTACGGTGTTCTGGCGTATCGTCTGTTCAGCTTCAATGTAAGAAATCAACAGACGCGAGTGGCTAACAACGTATTTTTCTCTGTCGTTGTCCTGGTTGACGCTGGTGTCGTCTCACTTTAGTTTGGTTTGTTTTTGCCTGATGTCTTTCGTCGAGTGGAAATATCAAAAAGGCGAAGGAAAAAACACAAGCAGAAAGAATCGCGTTTTAGCCCCTAAAAGTTGTACTGTTCTTTTTTTTAACCGCGGCTGCCTCCTATTTCTTGGACTAAATCAGGAAAGTTTCCTCTTTGGGTCAAGCGGTGAGAAGTGGTATTACCCTACCGTCGCGAACTCGTTTTTTTTTCTTGTTTGTTTGTTCGTTACTCTCACGCGCGCGCGTGCGCGCGCTCAGTATTTTTTTCGTTGTTGTGTTTTCTGGCTGGTTTTGATGTTTTGTGCAACATTTGTTTGGTGTTTACTTCATCTTCAAAACCAGAACGTAGTGCAGCATTGGAACATCGAAGTAGACGGGAAAATGGCTGGTTTGGACTTTGAGAGGATCTACTTGAACAGCTCTCGAGCACATGGACGTTTCCGTCTGGCCGATAAAGGTGTTGGTTGGAAGGCCGTGGCCACGGGAGGCTCCTCCACGACAGCTCCCTTTCTGTTAGGGGTTGATGAAATGAGCAGTGCGATGTGGTCCAGGGGGTCACGAGGCTGGGAATTACGCATCCAGACGAAGGATAAAGGTGTTGTTAGACTGGATGGTTTCGACCAGCAAGATTTCCAGCAGTTGAAGAATGAATTCCAGAGAGATTTCAACATCCAGTTGGACCACAGAGAACACTCTCTAAGGGGTTGGAATTGGGGAGACTTGGACTTGACGAGAAACGAGGTTGTGTTCCAAGTACAGGGTAAACCTGCTTTTGAAATCCCTTATTCTATGATAAACAACTCCAACCTGGCTGGTAAGCATGAAGTAGCGGTGGATATGAGCACAGAGCAGAATAGCACACAGGCTGGTGACGAGCTAGTTGAGATGAGATTCTACATTCCAGGTGTTGTGGAGAACGATGAACAGGACTCAACAACTCCCGAGGGGGAGGCAGCCAAAGAGGAGATAAGCAAGGCAACTGCATTCTACGAACAATTGAAGGAAAAGGCCGATATTGGTATCTATTCAGGAGATGCAATTGCATCGTTTACAGACGTTCTATTCCTAACACCTCGTGGCCGTTTTGATATGGACTTTTATGAAAATTCTTTGAGATTAAGAGGTAAAACCTATGATCACAAGATACATTATTCTCATATCGAAAGAATCTTTTCATTGCCAAAACCTGATGACATTCACCATTTGATGGTTATCCAAGTCAACCCACCACTCAGACAAGGTCAAACTCCATACCCATTCTTGGTTTTACAAATTGTTAATGATGAAGAGCTGGAGTTAGAGATTAACCTTCCAGATGATGAATTTAAAGAGAAGTACGAGAATCGTTTGAAGAAGAAATACGATCAACAGACACATCTGGTGTTGAGTCATGTTCTTAGAGGCTTGACTGAGCGTCGTATTCAAATTCCTGGATCATTCTCTTCCAATCTGGGCCAGGCAGGTTTGCCATGTTCGTTAAAGGTTAACGAAGGTTACCTCTATCTTTTAGAGAAATGTTTCCTCTTTGTTCCAAAACCAACGGTGTACATCCCTTACTTAGATGTTGAGCAAGTAATCATATCAAGAGTTGGTGACCTACACGTCCACAGAACATTTGATCTCGAGGTTCGTCTACGCTCTGGTTCCTCTCACAAATTCTCCAATATCTCCAAGGATGAGGCATCTGGTGTCTCCTCTTTCCTCAAGCAGAAAAATGTACGTGTTAAGAATGAAGAAGAAGAACAGAACAACCGTATTAAAGCTGCTCTGGCTGAAGAATCAGACTCTGATGCGAATATGGGTAGTGCTGACGAAGACGAGTCCCCAGATGAGGATTTCAACGCTGGTAGTAGTGACGACGACGATGATGACCTGGCTGAAGAATACGATTCAGATGCTCCAATGAGTGACGAGGATAGCGATGGTCCACCTGCAAAGAAAGCAAAAGTCTAATATAAATTGCTTCATCTGAAACAAATTGTGTTTTGTTGTAGTTATTATATGATGTGCTTCTTCATTATAGAGACGGAAACATCCGGACACCACCCTCCACGCTGCACCTGAGCAGTCGTGCGATGAGGTATTAATTACTTTCAGTAACAATGTAATAAAGAGATATCAACGGGCTCTGTCCAATTCAGTGATCGGAATGGATTCGTACCTAAAGATATGGCAAAATGATGAGATTAACCCCTTGGATTCTGCCTTCAAACAGCAGAAACTGCTAACATTGACAATGTTTGTTCTATCACCAGTGATGGATGAGGAAGACAGACACAGACAACTGATTGGTGTATATGACACATTGATGAAGCTCCTATCCCCATGGATTGATCACTATGTGTGGGATTTTGAACCCATATCACCAAGAATCTATACACATGATGGTTATGAGTATGTATTTGCCAATTTACAACTTGGGGAGTTGATATCAGACGAGTGGCTTATAACGTGGTTATTGTACAATGTATCACTTCAATATGAAGATGTCTTCGTACAGGTTTATGACTATGAAGGTGAATTTGTATTGATAGAATCATGGGAATCGTTGCCATCATGGGTTTCTCCAGAGGTTGCTACGAACCGTGTTTGGCTGAACAAAGGCCGGTTTATCATCATTCCAGATGTTTACTACATGGATAGGTCATTAAAACTGGTGGAGGCTTTGACGTTCTTAACAAAAGCGAGCTATAAATGCTTGATAAACGTTGAGATGAATGCAATTATTGGAGAAAAGCTGAAAGAGTATCCTTATAAGGCATTAGAGTCTCAACTAAGTGTGGACTTCCAATTGGAAGCTGATCTTATAGGTCCATTGATCGACAACAGTAATCAACTGAACCATGTAATTTGGGATAAAGTTAAAGATGTCAGTATCATGAATGATGGACTGGAAGAAGAATACCCTATTGGTGAAACTGTTTTAGTCAAGGCAAGGATGAGGGTAGAAACGTATCTGTTGTTGAAAACAACGCTTGAAAGGTTTGAGAAGGATGATGTTGTTGAAGATGGTGGGAAGTTCATCAGTATTGCACTAAAGGAGTACTTTGAGAGAGAAAATATTAGCCTAAGGGCTCTCGATCAAGATGAATTGGCCGTGTTTAACGAGCAAAACAGCAAGGATTTATTACAAGTGGAACTACAAAGAAATGGTGTTATTGAAAAGTTCACATCGCCTCTGTTGGAATTTGATAACATTGAAGATGTCAATGAGGAGGGAACTGATAATGAGAAGATAATGATGGAGAAGTTGGAATCCTTCTTCAAAGATACAGAGGCTAATATTGATGGAGTGGTTAATAAATCTGAAGAAGAAGCCACAGAATCTGATACAGATGATGATGAGAAGACGAGAGATTTCCTCACCAAAGCCAACGTTGACATAGATGAAGATGACTTTTTTGAATTCTTTGCAAAAGAAGCGTTGAAGATGAGTGACGAAGATCTTGATCAGTTGAGAAATCTAACAATCAACGATGACAGTGAGCAAGAAGAGGATGATGGTGACGATAACGACAATGAGGATGAGTTCAACTTTGACGATACCCCGTTGTCTCATGAGGAGTTACAAGAATCTCTACGTGACTTCCTAAAATCTCTGAAGGAGAACCCGATGGATGGGCCAGCTTCAACGTTTTTAGAGAATTTGAAATGAACTGTGTTTTCATCCATGTTGATGGTGGTGGTGGTGGTAGTAGTAGTAGTAGTAGTGTGGTCCTAAACAAATATCACACTTCCTCAACACTTTGTCCAATATTGAAACGCAAAGACACACACATGAGACCCAGTTCTGTTCTTCTACAGATTTCGAAGACTGCTAAAGCCATCAAGCAGCAACCTTTGGTTGTTGTATCGTCCATTGGTAACCCTGAGCCCCAATACTTACACACACGTCACAGCATTGGACATGAAGTACTGAACGAGTTGATTCCAAGAAACAAGTTCTCTTCAAGCCCATGGCCCAATTGTAATATGTATAGAGGCTCTTCGTCCGAAGACGCCATCTTTCTACAAACCACGGGTTATATGAACCTTTCTGGTCAATATCTACGTAAGCCGTGGTTATCGATTCGGAAAGAGTTCCCAGATCGTGAAGTTCGGTTTGTTGTGCTCTACGATGAGATGGACAAACCCCTGGGGAAATATCAGCTGAGGTACGGCAAAGTCTCATCCAGAGGTCATAACGGGCTGAAGGACATAGTCAACAAGTATGGGAATGGCTTCTATAGACTCGGCGTCGGTATTGGTCGTCCCGAGTCGAGGAAACCAGACGACGTTGTAAACTACGTCCTTTCGAAGATTCCACGCAAAGACTGGGAAATAATCAAGACCAGTGTCATCCCAGACGTCTTGGAGATCATCAGAGGGCTACGTAAGTGACAGAAACAGCAAAAACAACCCCGTCCCACCGTGTGTACATAGAATACGAACACTGGTAATTATAATACTTGTCTAATAACATTGTTTATACATGTTTCTCTTTCTATGCCTAGAACACCACAGTCCACCAGCAGAGCGACGCAAACAAACAGCTACGACTTCTCCACAAGCTGTCGTATGTACAGCACGTTATTACATCTGATGAATAAGTCATTCCCGAGCTTCGTGGCTTGTCCATCAACAATCTCCTCAGGGTCGCTGAGAGAGATGTTGAAGTAGTTATCGCTTGACTGTAGCTTGCCCTTGTAGGAGGTGTTGTTGAACTTCAGTTTAACAAGCACCTCTGTGCCGACGAGATCTCTGATGAAGGGCTTCGGATTTATAATGTTAAGCGACATAGTTGATCTTTGATGGTGGTTGTCTCGCTCTTCGTGCTCTCCGTGCTCTTCCCTTGGTAACAGCGACAAGTTTGTAACGGCGTGAAAAAATTCGCGGCTCTATACCTCGTACACAAAAACGGGAAACATCAACAAATCAAAACAATCAGCGGTGAATGTAAACAAACCCTCATCGGGAGCAAAGCCGCGGTGGTGATGGAGTTCACTTTGGATCTCAGTGTTGATAGAGAGAACTTGGAGGATGCCTTGAAAGGTGAGTGGGTGTGGAGCTTATGGTGGACGACGTTTTCGCCCGTCTTGGGACCTGGAATTACTAACATGATACCATCTCTCAAGCGCTGATATCAACGATACTGTTCTATAGGACGTTTGGCGCTGTTGTTCCGGGGACAAGGGACTTCCTCGAGACGCCATATGTATGTGTCGTTGTGTGTTTTGATGTCTCTGTTTGGACATGTGTGTACTAACTTATGGGGAAAAGCCCGTCATTGATAACGAGGAGATTGAGAAGGAGATAAGTGAAAGAGTCGGATACGTACTGAATAAGCTTGACCATGATCCGATGTCGTCTTCCACCACTCCATTCGGATCGCCTGGTGGAAGCAATAGTACGAACCCGTATGCAAACATAACCTTTGATGACGACAATTCGCACCAGCAGATTAAAGAGGAAAATGCACGATTTGCACAGCTGAGCATCAAATTCTACGATAGGAAGCGTGTTAAAAGGCCGTCATGGTTTGGCAAATTAGAAGAGGATGTACAATGGGAAACGTGGCTCATAAATGTAACATTGGTACCGCAGCAGGGCAAGGATCAAGATCAACGGCAGCAGTTCTACAACCAGTTGAATGGACAAGTTGAGAATCTCATTTTCGAAATCAGCAACAAGGTTGATTCACACAAGGATCACATACCTGTTATAACAAGCGCAGAGTTGATGCCATTTGGATATACTATACAACTAGTTGGGAATCAAGGCTGGACAGGGTTTATAAAGAAGTTGCTTGAGTAATATAAAAACTAATTTGGGGATACATATGTGAATCTGTGGGGTTACATTGGGGCCTTAGAGCTTTGACTGGACGTAGATTGAAGGACCTTCAACAAGAATGCAGTGTCCATCAGCAGTCAGCTCGATACCTTTGGATTGAACGAGTTTAATACAGTCCTCGTCATAACTACCTGGTTGGAACCAGATACTCTTGACACCTTCTAGATCAACATCCAGCGCGGTTTTAGTGACAGACGGTGGTGTCAGCACACTCAAGCTTAGTCCATCGTTGCCTGGGTATTGACCTTGGATGTACTTCAACGTCTCTTGAATGGTTGGACACGTCTTTTCACCAACGATTTCACTTGCTGTGGGGTTTATTGGCACAACTGGTAAGGCATGATCAACATACCAACATGTGATCTTGAAACCGAACTTGGCAGAGTTATTGGATGCCCCGAGCACAGCATAGACTCTTTGAGGTGAAAAGAAGGGCATGTCTTAGCTTACTGGGATACTGTATCAACTGGTATGAATGGGTTTATGGCTTAAATTAAACGTTCTCGGACCCCCACAAGCAGACTCCGTTGGACTTACCCTACCGTGTCCTGTGATGATAATTATAAAATTATTATATAATAATTATAACACTTGTCCAAGAATCATAACCTCTATGTTGGTACGCTAAACACCGCTTGTAACCATATCCTGTACATCTTGAGCTGTCTCTTTCTATTCACAATGAGTCTTCTATCCGTACCAATACGTGATTCCACAAACTTCTTGGTAAATATGTCTCGAAGCTCCTCCTCTGTAAAGAAGTACACCCTGGTACCGTCTCCTCTGATGTAGAAGTTGTCATCCAGCAATCTTCCCTTCTTGAAACGAACCTGTGCTAAATCATAACGTCCGTAGTCTCTGAACAGAATCACACCTCCTGGTTTCATCACCTTTGCCAAGTTCTCCAATGCTTGGTCCCATTGTGAGGGTGACAGAGCTGAGAATACAAAGATCATTACGGCAATATCAACACTGTGTTCCTCCACTGGAATGGAGCCTTCTTCATTGGCCAAATCCCAAACGTGTGCTTCTGTGAATTGTGGGTTGAAGTCTGGTGATTCACGTACGAGTTCAACTGCCTTTGAGGAGTAGTCTGCACCGACAACCTTGAGCAACGGGTTGGCATTCTCCCTGATCAGAGGGAACATCGTATTACCAGCACCACATCCAATCTCCAATATCGTCTTGGGACCGGCCTCTGGCTTGATAGCATCGTATAACTGTGGGAACTCAATCTGTAGCCACTTGCGGTCCTTGAAGAAGTTCTCCCTGTTGTTTCTATAGAACCGATCCCAGAACTTCGCAGGGTTCTCATTATATCTCTTCTTATCGAAATCGTCAACTGGATCGTCATACTGCTTGGTGATCTTCTCCATGGCTTCGGCAACCTGCTCTTCACCCCATTCAACGTTATCCCAGGCATTATGTGCCCAAACATCCTTGTCTTCGGTCAAATGTCTCTGGCCGAATACAAAAGGGTCATCTCTCCCGATTCTGGTTGGTGCTTCTTCTTCTTCTACCGCTTGTGACATTGCTTTGCTCTAAATATCACTATGTGATGAGATGAGATGAGCCTCTGTGCTCGCTAGGCTGGGCTGAAAAAAAAATTTTTTTTTCTGTAGGCAGAGCCTTCTCTCTAATTCGCTTCCTCCCAGCTCGGCCTAGCGTGTGGGAAACTTCTCCAAATCTCACTCTGTGCCTTTGTAGAATATCCAATTGATTCAATTACATTGGCTGTGGCATTGAGAACTGGCGTTCTGGTGTACGTGTTGCTGGTAGTGTGAACTGTGAGAATCGCATTGCGTGTGGGTGTGGTTTGCAGCTGTTGTTAATCCTCTCATCAAGCCATAAGGACACTCAACCGAAAAGGGGACTTTTAATATCAACAATATCAGTCCACCCTGTCTCCCGGTTCTGAATACTTGCCGGAACTGCTCACACAATGATACTACCAGAGACGTTGCCTTATAATAACCCCCATGTCTCTCGGAAAGTGGCTGTGGTTACTGGAGGTAACTCAGGGATTGGCTGGTTTACAGTACTACACCTCTATCTTCACGGTTACACAGTTTACATCATGGGAAGAAATTTGAACAAGATCACCAGGGCCATTAGGGAAATAGTGGAGGAGGCTTCGAAAAGACAGGATAAGAGCGTACGTTTGAACCAATTGGGAGAATTAAAGCCTCTAAAACTGGACCTGCTGGACCTGAAAAGTGTGAAGAACCTCGCACTTAATATGAGACAGCTGGAACAGCATATTGATATACTGGTGTTGAACGCTGGTATAGGTGCTGTTCCACATGCAATCACGAATGATGGATTTGAAGTTCAATTCCAAACCAATTATGTATCACATTTTCTACTGACTCAACTGCTGTTACCTCTCCTGGACCATTCTTCAAGGGTTATCTATGTGAGTTCGATTGCCCATTACTTGGAGTTCTTCCAGTTCAACAGAGAATGGACGTTCAATTATAAGCCAAATATCATATTCACCTGGTTCAGATATGCAATGGCAAAGTCTGCTGCTATGCAATACCTGAAACTGCTGTCGATGAAGAACAATCTGCTGTGCTATTCGGTTCATCCAGGCTATGTCATGAATACCAATTTCTTCTCCTATTGGACAAGAATTCCATTTGTAGGGATTCTTTTTTGGGTATTCTTTGAGGTATTCGGGTATTTATTTGGATGTACCAATGAACAAGGATCCTACGCAACGTTGACGTGTGCCTTGAGTGAAGAACTCGAACCAAGTGGGAGCTATTATACAACAGGTGGTGTCCCTTCTGTACCAGGCAGGGTGGTTAACAATTTGGATAATGTTGGTTATAACTGGATATGGACTGTGAGACAACTACGACAAAGAGGTTATGAATGTGATTGATAGCCAGTTTCAATATTATATTCTATGGTATTCTCTGCAATGTAACGACGGGTTCGCCAGGAATGGCTTTACCAACGGCTTTACTGATAGGTATAACATCACCATTTCCAAACGTAACAATTCCATCACTGTGTCTGAAATGTACAATCTCCAAGGCACAAGCTTTCAAAAACTGCGGTGCTTGCATCACTTTGAGCTCCATCTCATGAATCATACTGGCTTCGTTATATTCAATCAAATGGTTAAAAACCTCAGAACTGTTCTCAGCTTCAAGTCTTTGAATCAAGTGCATAATAAACGGCATGGCAATGCCTAAGTTACCTTTAACTTTACTCTTAACAACGCCCATATCCCATAATTGACCAGTTTTATACAATTCGTTGCACAAGACCATACATTCTTGTTGCCATTGAGGGAAATCCAAGGCAATGAATATAATGATCTTAATATGGGACCCGATTTCGATATCGCATATGTTGTTCTTCTTCTTCTTTACTTTGGAGAGTTCAGCTTCACGGATTCTGCGAAGTAATGAACGAACATAGTTCAACCTCATCGAATGCATAACGTCAATGGTGTCATTGAACTTGGGAAATGTTTGTACTTGGACGCTTGTGTCATGACCTAATAACTCTCTCCATATATATTCACAGAAATGAGGTACAATGGGAGTGAGTATAAGAGTCTGAATTTCAATGTACTTCATGACTAGATCACGGTTCATGACATCAACGGTATCCCTGTAAAAATCCCTGAGGGCCTGGAAGTCGAAAAATCCACTGCGTAATGCCATCTTGTAGTTTGTTTGGGCAAAATGGTTGTAGGTTTGTCCAACAAGCACTTTCATCTCATTTTCAAAACACTTATCCAATAGTCCAATTTTAACGCTAGATCTCAAAACGATATTGCCATTGATAATATCTTCACACCATTCTTTCAACGTATGTAGCCTCAAAATAGCAGAATTTGCAGTAGATTCTTCAAAATTTGCATCATCGACGGTATCACCAGCATCCGCTAAGGCAATCCGAGACGCATCGGCTCCATACTTTTGTAAAATGTCTTGCAAAGTCAAGAAATTACCTGTGGATTTGGACATTTTATGGTTGTTTAAGAGTAAATGACCATTAACCCTAATATTTGTTGGCCAATACTTTGGTGGAAACATCACAGCATGTGTATATATGAAAAAGGTCAAATGATTCGGTATCAAGTCCTTCCCAGATATGGACACATCTAAGGGATAGAAATATTCAAACTCGCTTCTCATTTTTTGTAGAACATCTATTGGAATATCAGTCTCAACATTGTCTCTGTGTAAAAAGATATAGTCGAAAACCTCTGGAGTCATCCGTTCTGGCGTAACCTGGGAGTCACTTAGTTCTGCACCATAGAAATCCTTGTGAAGTAAGTGACATATTGTATAGTACGCCTGGTACATGGTTGAGTCCGATAGTGATTCCACTAAAAACTTCTCATCCCATGGTAATCTGGTCCCAAGGCCGTATGTACGGCAGACGGCCCAGTTTTTTAACCAATCTAAGACACTTTCAAACGCATTCATAGTAGTTTGATTCATATTTTTCATCCTATGAAGAGCCTCAAAGGCAAGAGATTTCCATTCCGGCTCTCCATAGTCAACATACCACTGATCCTCCAAAGAAACAACGCAATAATCACCAGAACGTGATACCACAGGAACTTCTGGCTCCGAATATACAAATGCTAACCCGTTTTTCAACAACAAATCTTTAATCTTCTGCCTTGCTACTTCAAGTTTTTCACCTTTGAAATCACCGACCAGCATTATGCCACTGTTCAAACCTTCTTTATACGCTGCTTCTTTAGCATTGGTGAGCCTATCTGTTTGCTTTGATGATCTGATGTTGAAGTCATTGCAAATAGCTGGTGCACATTGATCACCATATTTAGTATTAATGATAGTTATAGGTTCCAAGATCCATTCTTCTTTGATGCCATATCTTTCTGGTTTATTCCGCAATTCCTTGGAGTGAATGAAGTCATCTGGTGAATCTGAAGGGACACATGCGACGACACCTGTTGCTTTGTTTTCTAGTATTGTATTCATCGGCAAGACATGCAACTCTTTATAGTAAGCCAAAGGTGAATGGACTCTGGAGCCTATCAATTGAGAACCCTTAAGCAAAGCTATATGTTGATGTTGACCCCGATTTGGAGTCAATTTCTGATAAGACATGTTCTTATAGGATTGCTCTGTCGTGATGTAATAACAAGGACCGTTATCATAGATACCATAGTCTATCAAAGGAGAGACACAGCAGCCAGTTTGGCCATATAGTGTCTCTGGGCGGAGAGTGGTAGCTATCAAGATCACCTTCTTGGAATTATCGAGATACTTCATGATAGATTTATCTGAGAACTCAAGAACCTCCACCTTTATGGCAGTGTACTCTTTCGGTGTAATTCCCTCTCCCGATTGTCTATCGTGGTCCATGCAAGGTTGGTTATCCTTCACAGAGTATATCGTGTAGCGTTCACCGAATTTAATTCTTCCTATATCTTTCAACCTTTGAATCTGCCAACGGACAAACTGATCATAGAAAGGGTTAAGATCTGTTGTGATCATTGATCGACGCCAATCAATTCTCGCTCCAAAATTAGTGCAGTCTCTTTGGCACAAAGGAGGGAAATGCTCAAGCCAATATTGTGGATCTGCAAATCTATAAATCTCCTCTCTTGGTATCCCTAACTGTAGCATGATCTCAAATTGATACTTAGCATGTCCCTCTTTAACCGCTGTTTTGGTTTTCTTCCCTTTATACCTGCACGACCCATCTTCACTCTTCATCTCCTCTCTCATGCTCTCCAACTCCACAAGGCCCAACTCTGCTAGAGGGACATCCGTATAGTGCTGACCAAAGACCTCGGCCTCCCTAGCTAACTTATCCGCACAGGTTCGAATTGGCATTCCAGTACAGTGGAACCCAAGAGGAAACAAAGTGTTCTTACCTCTCATCTTCTCAAACCCTACCGCAAACTCCACTTTGGAGAGGGTAAAGCTATGACCAACGTGTAAGACGCCGTTCATATAAGGGTATGCCATTGAGGCCATAAACTTCTCAGGCGTTGGAGTCACACTCTCTGGAGGGCAATTGGCCTCAAACAGTCTTTCCTCCTGCCAAATCTTTTGATACTTCTTCTCGATCAGTTTCAACGCGTCTCTTCTCGAGGTCTATACCGGCGCTTGTATCAGTACTCGTTCCAAGACAGCGCAAAGTCATTAGTTTCCACTTACATTGACCTGAGACCCACCAACAGCTGACGATAGAGTCATGATTTCGCTAACCGCCCCGTGTCTTTATACTAAAGGAGAAGGAAAAGTGGCGATTTGTTTATTTGTTTACTTTTTGTTTGTTTTGTGGTGAGGGTTTGATAGACATTCCATATTGGGCAATTACACGGATACGAGACATAATCTGCAATGAGCTCATGGTTCGCCTATGGAAGCCCGCCCTCTGTGGATGCTATCATTGGCTCTCCTTTCCATCTAAAACCACAAGGAAGCCACCAACAAGGTGGAGAGACCCGCATACAAAGACCTCGACATCAACGCCGAGGTCTCTAACGATTCCCACGCTGGATTCGATGTCTGCAACAACATGTCTCTTTGATGAAGCATCCAACGAAGACCATTTATCAGCCAGTAGTCTCTGGACCTCGAGCTTATCCACCGCCTCCTTGGACGTGTTCATGGAAACAAGATCTGCAGAGTAGCTACCACTGGACCAAGTCACGTTGGTGGTGAAGATCACCTCATCGAAAGGTAATTTACAACTGTTGAAGAGCACCTCAACGAGATGTGCTGCGTCTCTTGTCTGCTGGTTGAAGAGAAGCACCCTCTTCTTGTTTGGAGATGCTACTGTGTTGAACCACTTTGTAGAAGCTTCGATGCTCTCCTTTGTGTGCGCACCATCAATGAACCAAGTGATCTTACCATCCTTGATGGTTTGGCATCTTCCTGGCCAGAATGCCTCTTTCAACCCTTTACGGGTCTTGTCTTCATCAACCGAGATGTTCAACTTCTTCAGGTGCTCGCCAGTGAGGGCAACTGCTAACGCAGCGTTGCCCCTTTGGAAATCACCTGGAATCCCCAGCTCATAGCTTTCAGCTAATGATTCATCAATGACTTGCAACTGATCACCCTTTTCCGATGCTCTCTTCTCCAACACAGCCAGAGCAGCAGGCACTTGTGGCACTGTGAATGCAGCAGAGCCAGGCTTATAAATTCCACCTTTGTTCCACGCAATTTCCTCGATGGTGTCACCAAGCATGAAGGTATGGTCAATACCTAAGACAGTTACTCCACAGGCCGTTGGTGCTTCAAAGATATTTGTGGAGTCGTACTCTCCACCCACACCAACTTCATAGATTGCAGTGTCTACGCCTTCGTTCATAAACACATGGAAGGACAGAAGCGTGAGGTACTTGAAGTACATAGGCTTCATCCCCTCATCCATATGAGGGAACGTTTGAACGTCTGATTTCGTGGAGTTTAACATATCCCAAACTTCAAAGAAATACTTGGTGAACTTCTCCTCTGCAATTGGCTCACCATCGATGCGAATTCGCTCCCTCACACTTTTCAAGTGAGGCGAAGTGTAAAGTCCAATCTTGTTGATCTGTGGTTGATACTGTTTCAGTATGGACTGTGTAAAGGCACAAGTTGACCCCTTCCCCTTAGTACCAGTGATGTGGATAACATTGAGCCTGTTAAACACAGTGACATCAGGATAACCGATACGACGAGACCACTCACGCATCTCAGGCATAGCAAGGGCATTCTTTCGTATCCCAAGCTTACGAGTGGCTTCAATAGTGGCAAAGTTGGACTGCAAGGAGTTCAAACAGTTTATAGCATCCTAGTGGGTGCAGAGATAAAGTCAGTGTACGGGAACATTACGAAGCAGAAAGTAAGTATACTAACAAGATATGTTCGACGCATTGTTCCATCCGGTTGATGCTCCATGTGAAAGAGTGGATTGATCCAATCGTTTACGTTCCTATGTGTTCTTACACTTGCTGTATATGGAGGCTTTTCACCAGGAAACTGTTCAAGGAGGGATCAACTCAGCGCATCGAAATCAAAAAAATACTCTGAAAAATTCTGCGAGTCCTGTTCATGCAGTAGACATCTGCATGTGAGGCTCATATAGGGCCTAAGACTACAAGCCAAAGAAGTGTGACAAAACAAGCTGGTCATGGGTGTTGGGGATGCTACCAAAAGGGTGCTTTATATACCAATTTCTGTGTTGAAGTGCCAATGTGAAGCTTCCTTGATTTCAACCAAACTACGGCCCAATTAGGCAATACAAAAGTCCCAAACCAGGTCGGCAATTGGCCAGAACCATAATGCCGGCCCATTGATACAAAGGTGGTTTTATGCCCATATCTTTTCGAAACTCTTTGGAACTGATCCCTGTTGGTATCTTGTGCCAGACTCTTTGACTTCAGCACGATATCAATGTTATTACAGAGTGTTTTGACCCAAGAGTACCTCTCCACTAGGCCTTTCAAGTTGATGTCAGTAACATCGCCAATGGCGAAGACGTGACCTTGCGAGATTGCGCTGCATTGGAAGGTCTCATCGATACGGATAAACCCAGAGTCGTTACACAACTCTTCAATATCATTTGGTGGAACCAATGCTCTGGTTCCTGTGCTCTGTACTACGAAATCTGCCTCAATAGTCTCGCCGTTGTTCAGTTTCACAGTATTAGGGGCTGAGAGTTGGGCACGAGCACTCAGCACCAGGTCAATCGGTGTTGATTTGAAGTACGCAGTGATACGTTCACGTAATGAGTCACAGTATAGACCATCGTTAGGCATTAGCAAAGGCTGTGAGTGGATTATGGTGATCTTCTTTCTACCTTCCTGGCAATCTTTTCCAAACTTGTCCAATAACTCCCCCGCCAACTCAACATTGTTGAACCCACCGCCTATAAGCACAACATGCTGAGCAGCTTCAAATGCATCCCTCTGTCTCTCGAAATACTCCGAATACTCATCTTGGAAATCAACCGTTGTACCTATAGGATCCAACCACTTGGCACCGGTAGCTATGACCATGGCATCAAAGACTACTTCTCTGCCGTCATTCAACAGCACCGCTTTTTCATCGAATTGCGTCACTATTCCCTTTTCAATACGCACTTTTTCGTCCACAACTTCCCTCAACGGGAGAAGAGAGCCCTCGGGTTCGTTATAAACACACACACGGATAGAGGATATCAAGAAGTACGTATAATCTGAAGGCGATATGAGAACAACTCTGTAATTGGTTTTCTTCACCAGAGTATTGGCGCACAAGATTCCATAGAATCCAGAGCCAACAATGACTACGGTCTGTACTGTCATTGGCAACAATTGAATGAGGAGCTTGTCTCGCAGTTATATCAGGATCACTACAAAGGAAAGAAAAAGAAGTGAGGGTATTTTAAAACACCCAAATTATTATAAACTCCACGCTCTTGATGATGACCGATGATTCGGTGTTAGACGGACTTTAAGACATTTACCGGGAAATCTATTTCATCCATACACCAATACATCTGTACACCACCTCCAAAAACGTAAACAAATCAGTAGTGAGCATTAACATCAACAACAACTCTCTCACTCCCTTTCTTTGTTTCTACTTCTCAGGTTTCGCTATTTGACTATGTATACACCTGACTTGACACCACAGGACTTCCATCGTCTCTGGCTGGACAATGATGAGAAGAAGCACTCGAAGTCAAAGAGTGAGAAGGCATCCTCATCGGAATCCCCAAGAAGTGCACCACCGTTATCGTCGTATTCATCAACAAGGCCCGGTGCCTCTCTCGATAACGCTGATGAGGTACAGCAGAGTATTTCACAACGGGTGAGACAGCTCAGAGATATAAGAACTTTGGGGTTCGAATACTTGACACCTTTGGGAGTTGGAAAGACAATGCAAATGGTTCAGGATGAGCTCGAGCTAAGAAGGCAGTTGAACGACCAAATGAATGACGGGGCACCGACTGCAGAAAACTTATTAGGTGAAGCCACCCTCGAACAGCAGTTACCACTGCAAGAAGAAGGACAACACCAGTATTCGGTGACGGAAGTACAAGGTGCTGAGGAGCCGGAAGCTTCGCGCACGGAGGAAGATGGACCACTTCCAGAAGCTCAGAACCTGGAATTACTTGGAGATTTGGATGACGATGTACCTGAAGCAGATGAAGCGGTTTACGATATGAGCTACAATGATGAAGTTGAAGATGTAAGGACTTTTGAAAGCCAATATGATCGTGGATTTATGGTTGCGGAACAGTACGAAGCGGATTCTGCTGAACATGAAGATGCTCAACGCAGAGACTCTGCACCAGTAGCACATTTCATCACTCCAACCCATATCAATGGTGAGAATCAACACCGTAATGAGCAACAGAGAAGCTTTGAGTCGGAACAGTTGCCGATTTCAGAATCTTCGTTCGATGTGTCAAATGTATCTATGAATGGCTCTGATTTGGATATGACGATTGATGATTGAGTTTAATCTCGTCAACCTTGGCCCTTTGCAGATGAATTGCAGGAACCATCCATTTTCCGCAACTACAACGAGAACCCTTCCAATTGAATGCACCAACTTTTGTATCACATTTTGGACATTGGAATTTACCCTCCAACTCTTGTGAATTCTGCAAATCATCCTTCATCCAATTCAGTGGTTCAACGAAATAGTGGGAGCATGTGCTTGCTGCAGATTGTACGCTGATAACACGTTTTGAATTTGGAACCTTACGAACAAATCTGCTCTGTTTCGACTCCTCTCCTGGTGGAACATGAGGAACGAATGAGGTACTCAACGCCAGAGGTTGTCTGCATCGTTTACATCTAAGTTGTGTCAATTCCTCACTGCTCTTTGAAATGTCAACTTTCGACTCATCTATAAAGGTAGAGTCCTTGGATAACAGTTCTCTTCCTGTTGGGTCTGTTTGGGTAGAGTGAGATAGCAACCACTGCCTATATAAATGATTGTCCTTATCAAGTACACAATCCATTGCATAGTACAACTCCAACTGTTCTCTGAAGCTCTCATTTGGGTGAATATGGGGTCTCTTTCTCTGAATTGCATGTAAAGCCTGTTCGGGATTCAAATTGTACTTCTTCATGAGATAACTAGCGAGAACAACAACGCTCCTACTCTCACCGGCTTGACAAATCACCACAACGTTGGTCTCATGCTTCCCCTTCACTCCTCTTTGAATCTCTGTTTGTCCAGGAAATAGAGCTCTATTAATGAAATCATTGGCATCGTCAAACCATTCTATGATGTTTGTACTCTCTAGATCATCAACTGGAATGGAATGGAGCGTATACTTGTTGAAAGATGGTGGAAATGTTCCTTTGAACACGGATACAATATGTGTTATATTATTCTCCTCGCACTCTAATCTATTGGTGAGTAGATGTGGATACGATGAGATGTACAAACCACCCAGGACTCTCTCCATATTTCAACGAGAATTGATTCACTAATAACAAAGCTTTGTTAATGATCCCTCTACTCTGCTTGTTGAAATTTTTTTCCGCACAGCGATGACTATGGTGGTGTCCGGATGTAATATGACATAAAAATAACCCTCTCGCCTAATGGCCCATGGCTTAATTCTGGTACTGAGTAACCAGCTTGAATGAGGCTACAACATCAGGTTACTCAAGGTAAACTTGCTGATGTCATAAGCTCAATCTGCTCCCAGTCTGTAAAATTTCATTGATGTTGAAGATGCCCGATGGTTGTCGTAAGTTATGGCTCTGTCTTTGGCAATCGGGGTATTTCACCAGCCTTTTGAGGTGATGAGCCTACGACTTGTTAAGTAAAGAGACGAAATATGTTAGCAGCGTGACTAGATCAAGATCCTTGATACGCTAGAGATAGGAAACATACCGAATGTTTAATAATAGTCATTAATAGAAGTCAGAACCTGCTGATGTCACGCGAGCAGAATGTTTTGTAGACTACGAAGGACAAGCCTATTGCAATGTGCAAACATCTCATATGTCCTCTAAACACACTACTGAATATATGGATGAAGGTATAGAGACTACCCAAGGTCATAAACACATTCGTGAGCCTTGCCAACCGATGATCTGATTTAGGCTTTGATTGAAACTCTCTGTTCTTCTTCAGAACAAGATCTCTCAGGTATCCAGGATCAAGTACTATTGGAAATAAAAGGCTTAAACTAAAAGAAAATATATCAATTAACAGGATAAAAAGATAATCACAAGTCCTAAGGAGAGTGTATCAGACGAATTCAAAAACCAAATCGAATAGAAGAGGTTTACATTAGAAAATTTGATCAAAAGTATCAAATATTCAATGTCGACGAAAGAATAATAAAGACACGATCTGCCGATCAAGAATTCTCGATGACTTCGTGTAAGAAATTGGTCTCATATGGTGCACAGTTTGAGATCACAAGAGGAACAAAGCACAAACAAAAGAGAGCAGCATTGATGACATCTGTGATCTACTGCCTGTACCTTCATAGCTGGAAACTAAACTTGCAGATGTGGATGTTTCCGCGGCTTCTTGACCAGACTGGGTTGTACCTAATGTAGTTTCACTAACTGAAGTAATCTCTGACGTGTGCACTGCAACTTCAGTACCTCCGGTAGTGCTTACTTCGCTCCAACCCTCTGTAGAAAAGGTACCAGCTTCAGTTTGAACGACAGATCCAGCACTAGGGTTGGTTTTTTCACCTTCACCTGTAGTGGAAGGAGTAGGAGATCCAGTACCTAGAGTCGTTAGATTTTCTGTGCCAGCCGGTGACTTACTCGTACCAGTGGAGGCGCCAGTGACAGAAACAACCTCTCCTTCACCGCTTCCAGGAGAAGTAGTTGTTCCATATGAAGGAACAGTAACAGTAGTAGTTCCGGCTCCTGCTGGATTGGTGGCACCTGTGCCAGTTTCTTGTTTCGTTCCTTGGTACGTGGCACCTGTGCCAGTTTCTTGTCCCGGTCCTTGGTACGTGGCACCTGTGCCAGTTTCTTGT